GTCTTGTTTACTTATGGGTAGAGAAGCAGAGGCTTGCCCTGTTCATTCTCAATAGGAAGGATATAATGGGTAACAATAACATTTTTGTCTCTCCAGCTCTGCTTTTGTCACAGTCTCTCTCTTTGACCTTGCAGCCCTTCCTCTGATTAAAATTTGGCCCTTGGACTGAAAAAGTTCTCTGTGCCTTTCTCGGACCATCTGCTTGCCTGTTGGCCTGTAGCATCTGTATACCTAGTACATGCACTCTTAAAATTGCACGAAACATCAACATAGAAGAGTAATTTTCTGTAAGCTCCATATGAGATTTCCATGTTTGCAACAACCCTTAATAATGGTGCAACTGTCTTGTTCTACTCATAGACGGAAGGTGGTAGCAGAATCCTCTGTGCTAATCACATCTAGACTGGATTGGAATCATTAGGTTTATTTCAGTTTATATTTTCTCAATTTCAAGGGCTCTTATTCCCAAAGGATCTGTAGTTTACTTGGCCATTGTCTTTCTGCCCAACCACAGGCTCCTTTCCCTCCCTGCCTCCCTTTCACAGACGGAACTGTGTCCTACACTAAGAGTCATGGTCGTACCAAAGTTACATCAACCAAGATACAGGGTTCAAAAGGAAAGCTAAACGTTAGAAGTCCATTAAGATTATGGCACTAAGCATCTTCTATATCAGAGAAAACAATGAATAGTGTGGAAGGAAGTAGACATACGTTCACCACTTGCAAGAATCCATTTTAAATTACTGGACTCTGTGCTCTTGAATTCATCTCCAAGAAATTAAGGGTCTGCTCTTATGATATGGCTACCATTTGGAAGACATTGGATGCACTTTTGTTTAAAAGTGTTTTTATATGGTGTTTGTAATGTGTGGGACCCAGGTTCAAAACTCCATTGAATCATGACTCTCACTGAGACATTGACTTTGGGCTGGTTACTATTACTTGGCCTAACCTACTTCACAGAGAGAGATAGAGAAAGCGGGGTGGGGAAAGAATCGTATTTGACACCTTGAGCTTTTTGGAAGAAAGTGGGATATAAATGTAAGAAATAGAATTGTGAGAACTGAGCAGCATTTCTATTGCCCCAAAGAGACTACCCAAAATAGTAGTAGGCATTGCCTGGAAACCAACCAGGCATGATCATTGGGATGATCAATGTGTTGACCATCTCTCACAAAGTCTAGGTAGTATGAGAACCTAATGACCTGCAGACATTTCTAGCAGTGATGTTCAGTCCTCCCAAACCAGGACTGGTGAAACTTGACGAATCTGACCCACCTGGGGTTTCATTCTGGCTCTCTGGGGTTTCCCAGATGGGAATGGGGGTGTGCCTTTCCCTGGGCACACCCCCGTACTCTCCACTAGTAATCATGTTGTGGTTTCCTGGCTTTTGCCTGGTTTTTTCCCCCCTCCAAGACTTAGTCAATGGCAGAAGGAACCTTCAGCTGAAGTCTGCAGTTGTTTTGTCTCTGTCCCTTTTGCCTCACTCCCTTTTGTGTGCACCTGCCCACCCACAGTGTCTCTAGAATTGCATTTGGTTCTCAGGCTGAAAGAGGGTCAGTTGGGGTGTCAGACATCTCAGTGATATCAGGACAACCTCTGGCAATGATCCATGAGTCAAGTTTCCCTATTTCAAGGGTATTTCAGTGTTTCTGGACATCGCATTTTCACGCATCTGGCTCATGCCTAAGCTTTTCCCTGCTCAGTGGGTTGCATCCCAAAAGAGCAGATTGATTACTTTTCATAGGTGTGCCTATCAAAGGGGAACAAAGAGTGATCTGCTTTCCCTACCCAGTTCCATGCAAGAAAAGCCGTTTTAAAAATAAGTACTGACTCTGATTTTGTCAGCCTGAAATGCTGACATGCCATAAATGCAACTGAAGTAGATTTTTTTAATTAGGTAAATTTCAAACAAACTACTGAAAGTATCATTTGATTGCAATGGGCATTTAACTGTAATACCCAAATGTGTGTTTTTACCATATATTGTGGCATCAGAGATTTCCTTTGTTTGTTTCCTGCCAAATTATGTCAATACTGCAGATGTTATATACAGTAAAAGGAAAGGCAATTGTGGTAAATTAGCATAAGGCAATTTATAGAACAAAACAATGTTCCTTTCATAGAATACTTACATAATCACTTTGCTATAAAGCTACCTTATGATGGATTATGGTGAGTTTATTGTTGTGAAGCTGAACAGTTTATATGCCAGTGAAAAAATAAAACAACAAAAACCATATTGGTTGTACAGCAATGATCCTTAAGCTGCTCTGGATATATCACATCAAAATCAAACCACACACAAATACTAGAGTAGACCTCATTGATGAGAACTGTCACTGTCACAACCTCCATCATTCACATATTGTTCCCTGTGGAAAGATGTAGCTAGGATAAGCATACACCGGTGTTCCTTTGCTGTACTGCAATTTGATATTATACCAGAGAAAACTCTTGATATTCACAATATTGAAGACACATTGGATCCAATTGAAGTTGGTGGCTAAGCTTATTGAATTGGAATTGGAATTGCAGAAATGGGAAATGTTGCTTCATTTGTGAGTCCTGTTTACTCCCTTCACATGTACCTGAAGTAGTGGAATGATCCCAGGCCCGTGTCTCATGCATGTGAACACTGGAGCCATACAGGTGGGCCAGTGGCATTCATCATGCCCTCCTGCTTGTTGCTCCTCCTTTTGGTCAGGGGATGATGGGACAGGAAAGGCCTTAGAAATTCCCTGTAACTTTGTGGTTCTAATACTGAATAATAAATATTTGTATGTATACTGTAGCTGTGTGGGACTGCACCACAGACAAGTAACTCCAGTGTCACTGAGAGAGTCAGTTGGAGACCAGTGATGTTGCATCTTTTCCTGACAGAATGCTCTGTGCCTTTAACAGAAGAATTTAAGCAGAAGGCATTCATCACTAAAGCTTTGCTGCTATATCTTTGTGCAGAGGAAAGCTACATATATTCAGTTTCTGGCTGTCATACAGCTATTAAAGGTATTATGCATTTCTTAGAGAAAAAGTGGTCGTCCTAGCTGAAGCCAGAACAGTGCAGTAGGTAAACATTAAAATCCTTATGTGGCTGCTGAACATATGGTCTAGCCTTGGGCGAGTTGCTGACTCTCAGTACAGTTTCAGAAGATTGTTGTGGCATATGTGAGACATGTTAAACACATTGGATTGGATCCAGACTTAGATATAGAGTAGATCCACTAGAATCAGTAGGACTGAAAAGTAGGCATGACTAAAATCCCACTGACTAAGTCTGACTCCAGCCGAGTGTAGTACTACAGAAAGGTATGGTATAATATAATCTTTTAGCATGCATCTGTATAAGGATGTTGTTGTTCTTGATTACTTGAAGACTGTGTGTCTTTGTTGTTGTTAGTGCCATTAAGTCATCTCCAACTTACAGGGACCCTATGAATGAAAGTCCTCCAAAATGTCCTATCCTTGACAGCCCTGCTCAACTCTTGAAATTCAGGGCTGTGGCGTTAATCCATCTCATATTTGGTCTTCTTTTTCTTCTCCCACCCTCAACTTTCCCTAACATGATTGTGTTCTCCAGGGAGTCTTGCCTTCTCATGATGTGTCCACAGTAGGCCAACCTCTTGTCATTCTTGCTTCTAGAGAAAGCTCTGGTTTGATTTGATCTAGGACCCATTTGTTTGTGTTTTTGTTTGTTCAGAGTTTTAGCAAAGCACTACTCCAGCACCATGTTTCAAATGCATCCACTTACTGGAAACTAGATAAACTCTAGATGAGTAAGTGGTTAAACTATTTTTCATATAAGTGTAACAAGCAAAGCCATATTATATTTGGGTTGTTTTTGTCCCCTCCTCCATTGCCCCGAAATTCATGAGCAGGAGCCAAAAGGCACTTTGTCTGATGTAGTCTTTTCACATTAAACTAATCCCCTTTGAACATACTACTCAATTTCTTTATTTAGCTTTAAAAATGAAGATCATTAGAGTGGAGTGCCACTATCAATTACCGTGAATGAGTTAGTAGTCAATAATACATCAGGCATCTGCCATAGTCCATACTAAAGCCTTTAAAATACGTCATATGTCTTATGATTTTGAATTAGAATGACATGGATTAGGATAGTTTTCATTCTACTGTTTTGTCACTGATCTCAAGTCATATCAGGGGAATCTGCCCTACCAATTTGCATTTCTATTTTTTGAGGTGTTGGAGAAAAAATGTTTCTTCCTGATAAAACAGCATCTTACTATACATTGTTGTGTTGTTCTCTGAAAAAGGTGTGAAGGATTCACTATGATTTGTAAAAGCAGTGAAACCTGTGTTATTCTTAAGAGAATATAAAGTGATTTAGTATTTTGTCTCTGACAGGTGATGGAACAAACTACTGCCAGTGCCATGACATGAATTCTGTGGTTCATTTGTCATTTCTGAGATTATAGTCCCCACATCATAGGCACAATCCAAATTAACTGCTTTAAATCCATGTATTTCAGTGAGTGTTTCTAAACCTATGCATCCCCCATTTGAAAGCAGCAGAACTTAAGATTGCTTAACATTGGCTTTTAATTGTGCTTTGTGTTTGTTTTTCAAAAAGACAAGTATAGAAAAAGACAGTGGTTGAGATGTTCATCTTTATAATTTCATACTGATGGGAACATGTATTTGTCTTGTATATATACAGTGACTGAAACTCCCTAACGCTGAAGGAGTAGGTAAGGCCTTCTACAAGTATGTCAGAGAGTCTGTGAAATTACTGAATGTAAATGAATGTTCACTCTCATGCTACTAATGTTTACAGTGTTTATTATCATTTCATGATAATAAAATGAAATGTTTTTCTTTGTTTTTATGACTCTGTTTTGAATATAAGTCTTTTAAGGTTTCAAGACATGGAACAAAATCCTTTGGGTGCTGGCTTTTAGGTTGTTGATCATTTTGGCAGCTGTTTGTTCTTCTGTGCTTGGTAACTAAAATTCAACCATGTTGTACATGACTTTTAGGTTGCACCTTCTATCTCCTCATCTGGTGAGCTGCTGCCACTTCCCCATCATGGCACAATTGTGGGCCCTTCACTTCACAATGAATCCTATCTGTTGGCTCAGCAGAATGGCAACCTTTCTAGTGGACTTGGAGCAGCTGCACGATCCATTGCTCCTCAGATTAATGGGAAGTCAACTAATGAAGAATTTGAATTATTGATAAGAAATATGGCACAGGTAAAATGAGAAACATCAATTAAACCGCAGTTTGGCACAGTGACCTGATGTTAGATGGTTGGGAACATTCCCTCTACCTGACTCACCTGTCTTGCATGGGCATTCCCCCTTCCTATCAGTTCCAAAGTTTAGGGGTAGACTGATGCATGATTAGACAGAAAAAGGGCCTCCAGCATATTCCAGCCAGTGTGCCCTAGCATGCCTCGGCTATGGTGCTGGGGTATGCTGGGAGTTAGGGGCCTTTTTATTTCTAAATTTGCATAGGATTGCTCTTGTAACTATGTTTGCACCTGTATTAACGCTAACCTTATTTATTCCAAAACCCACTTTAAAGATTGGCATCCTACTGGTTAGTGACTGTGCCAGGACGAATGCCAAATGTAGTTAGTTTTAAAACTGAACATGATGGAGAAGAGTCTGTGAAAGATGCAACAAGGATCAGGTTGATCTGAACAGTGCTTGTTAGATCATTTTATCTGTAATGTATTTATTTGTTGTTTGCCTGTTGTTTATCTGTTGTCTTTGTCGTTCAGCAAATGAACCTGACCTGATATTTGAAATCATGTTGCTTCTGAATTGTTTTGCATTGAAATGGTGACCTTTCTTCTCATGCTTGCTAACAGGGGCGTCTTGTTGAAACTATAGAACTTGTAAAGCCTCTAAGTGGTGGCCTAGGTTTTAGTGTAGTTGGCCTGAAGAGTGAATACAGAGGTGAACTGGGAATATTTGTACAGGAGATTCAAGATGGAAGTGTAGCGCAGAGGTGAGATTACCAGTAACTTACTTTTTTATCCATAATTTAGGGAGAGGAAAAATTTATAACAAAAAGCACACACTAGTAACCACTACACCAGACTGGCTCTTCTTGTTGTTGTTATTACACTATCAATCTGCATATTGTATGAGCCATGTACTATGCCAAGGAACCGGGCTCTTAATGTTAACCTGTGTGTTGTGAGATGAATGAGATGTGAAGTGAGAGACAAATATTTTAACACAGGAAGAATGCAAGCAAGTATAGCTTCTCTGTTCCAATAAAAGCCATATTGTAAAATTGCATTTCCAGGTAACCTGTTGCCTTGTGTTTGGAACAATACCCAGAGGTAAACTTAGAGAAATAAATTTCTTGTTCTTGTAATGATTCAGCCCATGTCAATAATAATTGAATATTATACTGCTAGTATTTCTGTGCCAGATCCAATCATTTGCATTTGTCCTGCAATCTGAATAAAAATACCTGTACTGTATGTTTGGTGATGCATTCCCTGGTTCCATTAAGAGAAAATAATATACTGAAAGAGTTTTTAGGCCACAACTATTCAGAAACAGAGGAGTTTAAAGTTAATTACATTCTGATCTCAGTGGAGGAGAATCAAGCCTTATGAAGCAATGGGACTGAAAAGGGCCTGACTTCAGGTGACTGGTCCCCAGTGTTTTACATAGATAGGGTTTGAAGAGGTGCAGGTCAAATTTAAAACTTGATTTTCTTTCATTTGCTTCAGTATAAGTTTGAAGAAAGCTTATGTGACTGCTTGATAGTAAATTCCTTATTATAATATGAATCCCTTTTAAGATGAGAGTGGAAAGATGTGCTTTGTAATATAGGTCCCTTCTTTAAAAAAAAATAAATAAAATTGGTCCCCCCACCCCTCCTTAAGATTTTGATGAAAGTGTTTTATAAGTAAACTGTATGGAATGATGAATATTCAGCACTTTTACTGTGAATGTAGAACACTTGGTCTGTTAAGTAGCGGGCTCAAAGTCAAGAACGAAGCTCTCAGGCTACAGCAAGGAAAGCTGGAAGCAACCAATATGTAATATGCTTAGTCTCGGATGGGGGTGCAGCGAGAAGTAGCTAGCTTTGGGTGAAGCCAGGAGAGAGTGGCAGTGGGATTAGCTTCAAAGGGAGAGGATCACCAGGGTGCCGTGATAGCTGCTCACAGCAAAACTGCAGGGAGAGATTTAAAAAAAAACTTGGAAGAAATAGAAAAACAGGATTAAAAGAAACTTACTTTGGGAAAACTGTCAAAAAGCGTAACACTTTTTGTTGATTTCTTTCCTCTTCACATGCATGTAACAGAGATGGAAGGCTACAGGAAGCAGATCAAATTCTTGCTATTAATGGGCAAGCCCTCGATCAGACAATTACACATCAACAGGCTATTGGCATCCTACAGAAAGCGAAAGATATTGTCCAGCTGGTTGTGGCTAGGGGCTCTTTGCCTCAGCTTATCAGTCCAGTAGTGTCTCGGTCTCCATCAGCTGCTAGCACAGTCTCAGCCCACTCCAATCCGGTGAGTATATCACCAGCACAGTGAAGCAAATACGTCTTCTTCTTTTCTCAGCATTTTTTTTCTCAGGTTGCTATTTCAGTGCTGCTCTCTGCATTTTTATACTTTAATTGTCTTTCTTAAAGCAAAGATTTCTGTAATATCTTTCCTCTGAATGTGAAGCAGCCAGTTGGAGATGGTGCATCTTTCAGCTTCCCATGTTCCGAATGTGTCTTTTAGTGCGCAGGCAACAATGAGGGAAACCATTAAGGTCACTTCATTTTCAGTGTAGGTGATGCTGAAAGTCAGTTCTACTTGATGGGAGAAATGTGAAGCTCCAGGAAAAGAGGGTGGGGGGGGGGTGCCAAGGAAGAGAAGTCCCCTCCATGTTTTTTTCTGGAAAAAAAATTCCCATAGAATTTTAAAAAAAATTCAGCCCAGTTTTTTCCTTGACCTTTACATCTCTAGGGAGGCCTGCTATATGTATGGGTTTCCTTGTCTGGATTTGGTGCTATTTTATGAAACTTTTGTCCACTGTCTTTGTAGGTTCACTGGCAGCATGTGGAGACCATTGAGCTGGTGAATGATGGATCAGGTCTTGGATTTGGGATAGTGGGTGGAAAATCAACTGGAGTGATAGTTAAAACCATTCTTCCAGGAGGAATCGCAGACCAGGTATAGATACTCATTTGAAGCCTCAAGTGGTACAGAATTACAGTACAAATAACTAATAAACATATGTCTTATTTCTAGAGGTAAAAACAGAGGGTGCTAACTTTTTATATGGGAAAATGCCCCCCACAAAACAAAACTATGCAACCATACTTTGAAAACCTCAGCCAGGCAATGCTTTATGAATTATTAGAAGAAAACGTATTTCATGATTACAATTGGAAAGGATCAGCTATCCTACCCCTTTTTTTCTGATTTCCTAGGCAGGGTGAAAAGAAGGTAGATGGAAAAGGAACCGCTTTGGAGATGTCTGTTTTTATCTGTGATTTTTCAGACTCAATTGTTTCTGGAAATTGCTCCTTTATTTGATGTGGGTGAGGCATTCTGCAGCACCTTATGGAACATGGAAGAGACATGAGCCCTGGCTAGGCATTCCAATGTTCTGCTAATCACAAAGCTTGCTTACAACCGTGTAAGCACATCTAATTTGGATCCAGTGGAGATGCTGTCCCTTTTTTTAACCCCTCAATCTACAGGCAGTGGGCTGGAATTTTGGCATGAAAATGGGAGGGGAGAATTGAAATCTACCTTCCTGAATTGCCTTAATCTCAGTCCAAATAGGGGCACACATGCTTATAGGGAGATAAGGGCTGAGGAAGGTTTAGTTTGGTTGTAAAAGTAGCGAAAGTAAATGTGAGGAGACGTGTGCTAGCTCCTCTTCTACCCCAAGTCACTATTCCTGTTGCCTTGTACATATCAAGGGCAACTTCATAAAGCCATGATGGCTCTTCATGTGATCTGGAGTCTTGCTTAGCCCGTCCCGTCCCTGCCCACCCCCTGCCCATTGGCTTTACACTCTTTCAGAACACCTCCCAGGTATGCAGCTTGTGTGTCCTCCTAGTTATGGGTCTCCACCTCTACTTCAGAGGAGTCTGGCTTGCTAATGGGAGGAAGTGACTCACTGCTCTGTTGGTGGCAGGTGCATTGTTGTTACTCAGGTTGTTTCAGTGACCTGGTTTGCATGACGTAACAACTCACCATGGGGAGTTAAGTCATGGCTGGTTTTCTTGTTTTCCACAACCACCCTGGGTTACCCACAGTCCCTTGATTTTTTTTTCAAACAAGTCACCCTGAGTAACCATGGGCTCTTATAGGGCTTGTTTTATTCATAGAATGTTGTTGTCTTGTTGGACAACCAGTTCCACTCTGGGTAAATTCCACAGCTAGTAATTTGATTAGCAGGAACACAGAAACTCCTTACGACTTTACCCAAGCTCACCCTGGCCATCTCAAGTGCCAGCTGCCCTTTAAGGTGACTAGCTCTGCCTTGCTGCACTCCCCACCACAATCCTGAGCCATTTTCGTCTCATTGCAGCTTTCTTGCAGGTTGTTTGTATCTTGCCGGAACAAAGGCTGGCTTGGCAGCTGGCCTTCGCAGTCCCCAGTTTGACAGCCACAGACTGCCCCTTGGAGTGCTAAACTGACATGTTGGCAGGGCAGTGCTTGGCTGTACTAAAGAGATTATGTACATTTTAACCTTTTTTTCCAAGTAGGTGCACTTGCCTTACTGCAGACCTTCACAGTTGTGCAGCTGTGTGGACTTGAAATCTTGGTTGTTGCAGTGTCCTGGGGGGGTGTCTGTTGCTAATGTGCAGCTGGTGCCATGCCTGGACATTAGCCAGAAGTTGCTCCAAGTGTCCTCTCCCTTTTGGTCTCTTTTTGCAGGCTTAAAGGTATTTGCTGGGGTTTATACCCCCTTCCTGTAAAAATTCTCATCTCCCCCCCCCCCATGGTTTCCATCCTGGTCCACGTTTTGCAAATTGTCATGAAGCTCTGGATGCTCAGGAAAGTTCAAAAGTGCATTCCTGCCCCCTTTTTATGTGGGAAAGAATTCAAAACAGTCAAAACTGGGACCTTTGAAAAGGGCTTCTGACTGGACAATGGTTGGGGTGTTTGGACAGGTTGCAATTTAAGTGCAAATATAAATACATTTGTTTTTATAAATTTAAATACATAATATTTATATATGTGTAATATGTATAATTTCTGCAGTCAGCCGTGGTAGTCAAAAAATACCCATTGTCCTGCTCAAACTGTTTTTAATGTAAAAATGTGTGCATTTTCTTTTGTGCAAAAAAAAAAAAATGTTTTTGCTAGTCATGGTGCTGCTTGGGCACTTTGAAGGGGTTTCCAGTGGCTGTCAAAATGGGAATCTTGAAAACTGGCTGCCAAGTTGACTTTTGTGCTTTCCAAAAATTAAAAAAATAGCTTTGAAAAGCTGCTCTGAACTGACATTGTCTCCTAACAGTTACTATTGCTAAATAAACAGTCCGGAGAGGCAAGAGACAGCTTGTTCCTCCTCTTACGTTCTCTGATATACCACTTGGAGGATTGTGGAGAAGGCTGCAGATCACTCACAGTGAGCCCACTTGGGGGGGGGGGGCGTGCGTGTGCGGGGGAGGCTTACCATGGGTTGGTCCCATAACAACCAACCCACTCTGACTGATTGCCAGGATGAGCTTGGGTGACATATGAAGCTGCCCAGAATGACAGGGCAGGCATGTGTCTGTATGTGCCTGGGTTTGAGGAGCTTGTACACAGGAAGGAAGGATCATAGCTAGTTAGAGGAACAACTCTGGTGGCAACAATTGCGCATCGTGCATAATTTTTGAAGTAGAAGCACTGACTGTTTGGAATTGCTGTGTGGGATTTGGAGCTTTTGTTTACCACACTAATGTAAGAAGATAACTCAGTTGTTCAAAAACTACAAGTCATTTTGTCTCACCTACCATCCCTGTGAAATAATGTCTTGCTAGGGTTTGTGCCTGTGGTACAGTTGAATTTCTTATGGGGGCAATTTTTAAAGTCATTGTTCTCTTCCTTATGCAGCATGGTAGACTGTGCAGTGGAGACCACATCTTGAAAATTGGCGATACAGACCTGGCTGGAATGAGCAGCGAGCAGGTGGCCCAAGTCCTGAGGCAGTGTGGAAACAGAGTGAAGCTGGTTATTGCCAGAGGCCCGGTAGAGGAGCCTGTACCACCAGCCGTTCCTCCAGGCACCCCAGTGCAAACGGTTGTGATGGATAACCAGGTGATGACAAGGCAACAGAAATTTAGGAAATGCATTGGCCATACAGGCTTGAATGGTGGCTCATTATTAAAAGATTTCACAGGCTACTGTTTTCATCCAGGGAAAATGCACTTTACCATCACACCATTTTTATTTAAAAGACATTCCTTGCGATAGGCAGTGGAAAAGCCTATGGTGGGGATTCTAGGGAGCCAGACATAAAAACATGCAAATAATTTCTAACCCACTAACCTCCATGTGCCACTTGAATGGTGCTTTGACAACAGCTGAGCAATCAGTGTGTTGCAACACCTCCTACTTACTTTGCGGCAGCCCTTTCAGTCCAGCTGGAGTATTAAAACAGTTTCTCCAATATGTCTTTCTTCTCCTGCTTTCCACATTCACCTCATCATCCCCAGCATCCATTAGCCATCGCTTCTTGTGCCAGCCGGCACACAGCTGCAGTTCTTCACCTAGGTCAGCTGCCACACATTCAGCTGCTGCTAGTCATGTGCCAGCTACCATCTTCGCCACACATCATACCCTCCTCTTCTGTTTTGCTGTTCTGGCTATTGTCCTTTGCGCTCTCAGAGGTGCTCTCATTTACCAAAACCCCTCCATGGTTCTCCCTGAGTCACAGATGATGGCTTCTTTTAACACTTTGATAAGCTGCCAAGGAAGAAGGTTGCTAGTAATGTGAGAAATGGAAAAGGAGCTGCAATACACTGCCTGTGTGTGTAAACAAAGAAATACCAGGAAGTGGAAGTGCCTACATATTTCTGCCTTTGTGTCTTTAAAGATTTTTTCCTCAATTCTAGCCAGAATCTCTTGTAAAGTGACTGCTATTCAGCAGGATGCTTCAGTTAATGTGATTTTATTCAGGAGAGTGAGGTGCTATTTCGTGGAGTTGTGGCTGCCTCAAAATACAGAGAAACAAACAGATAAAGAATATTTCTGTCAGAGACACGGTTTAATTCTCATTGTGTATGTGTATGTTTTAGATTATTTACTGCCGCTTTCTTGGTGAAAGCTTCGAGCAAAATTTAAACCATTCCATCTTATCAAATATAGTTTTGATTGATAGCTAATTTTATACTATTAGTTCTGTCTGGAGATGAGTAGAAGGGCAAGTTGGTAGCTCTGCCTATTTGAACTCTATGAGATAAACCTAAAAGGCTGTTATTATTGGTCCCTGAGTTATTTTAACTTTCCCATCGTAGAATTTTGCCTTCTTTCAGATCTGATTTCTCTCCTTCCTCTAATCCTTTGTTTCACTCTTCACTTCAGCACACGTCAGAATTTTTAATCTGCCAGTGGTACCATCCAGGAATGGTGTTGTACTCGGGGCATTCCTCCTGGTAGAAAGGAAAAAAGAGATTATTTTTCCAATTCCATTGTCGTTTCCTACCACTCTTCTGAAGGGCTCCTCAATTTTCCAGAGCAAAATTTGTGGGGAAATAGGACAGCGGGGGAGCGAGAAATTGGCAAACATCATTTCCTCCCATATAACATTTTGCTTCTTTAGGATGGTTTTGAAAATTTTCCATGGGTATATACTTGAGATGACAATTTGTTGGGAGAGATAATTACAGAGCCTGATTAGATGCAATTCTATGAAGCAAATGTGTTATTTTTAATAAAGCAGGTTTAATTAAATAATACTGTATTTTTAATAGATAAGATGTATTGTACCCACAATTTGGCTTTTCTCCCTATTGACTTACTTGGGATGAGTATTTTTGGCTAATTTATTTTTTTACTCATTATTTTCACTTAAAGTTACTGAATTGTGACTTATTAAGATTTGGAAGGATATCAACAATATGTTCAGTAAAATGATTTGCTTTAAATTTTTAGCTCTTGAATAGAATGTTTTAGATTTGGTCCGCTTGATTTATATATCTTACGATTTAATTTTAATTGTTATTTTTACCTTTTATTTTGAAACAAATCTGTAATAATCATGTTAACTCTTTACTTTGTTGTGTTCTGTGGTAATGGTCTCAGTGGAGCTGAAGCTTAAAGGATCTCCCAACTACAAGGCATAGTATAGAGACCTCGAACTGCAGGTTGTTGTACAGAGAAACAGTGCAGGTCCACATTCAGAAAAGTAAAGGCCTGCCTGACCTGATGTTACAGTTAAAGTTAACTTTGTCAAAGCAGCATTAGTTCTGCCAGAATGTCACCATCTGCGTAGCCAGCATCCCAGTTGCCTGATGAGGGATGCCCATAATCTATTTGCAGCCTGGATAAGAAGCATGACTAGGGTGCCAGTTACCATAAGGCGGGGCAGCGAACTCTTTCATCCTGAGGACCATATTCCATTTGGAACAAGTTCTTGGGGGTGACATTGAGTGATGGGCAGGAGCAAAGGGTGGAGCCCAAAGTACTCCTAAATATCAGCATATTGTAGCTTTACTTTCTTACTGCCAGTGACTAAGCCTTAGGGGAAATGTTTCAATTATTTAGAAGGGGGAAAATCTTTTCAAAAGCTGGGAAATGATCAACAGTCGGGGGAAAGCACATGAGAGCAACAGAAGGGATTGAGACTTCAGGGATGCTCTGAACGGCTGGATATGGCCATCAGGTCTGAAGTTCAACACCCCTGCCCTAAGGATGGCCTTTGTGGAACATTACTGCATATATATTTCTTTTTCTAAGAGAGAAGAAGAGACACACGTTGAAAATGTAGATGGAAACACATTTGATGTGGAACTTACAAAAAATACCCAAGGATTAGGAATAACCATTGCTGGCTACATTGGGGACAAGGCCTCAGGTAATGTTAAGAAGAAGTCTGAGAAGCAACAGGTTCCCAGACCTCTGCCACTCCAGAGCCTCTGTTTGCCATTTATTGGGTATTTAATTGAGCTAAATGATTAACATAAAGAAAGATATAATAAATGGAGTAATCCTTCTGCCAGAAAAGAAGGGTAGTTAAATATCATTTTTAGATTGTAAAATCCAGTGATGGTTTTTCTGACTGTAATACCTTGAATTCATTGAATGCATTTGCCTTTGTACGAAAACAAGTCTTGATGTAAGTCTTGATACTTCAATCTGCTTATTTTCAGAGTTAACTTAATTAGTAGACTTAGATCTACTTCCCTCATGGCATTTATAGCACAGACGCGTGCATTGAGACTCAGGTATATGTGGGAGACTAACGAATGATATATAAGATAACCGATTTTTAAAAGATACTGATAAAAAGCATCTGCATGTTCCTGGGAACCAGTAATCAATTGGAACACCCTGATTTTATGTAATTGTGTGTTATAATGTAATTTAGTCTCATGTCATTTATGATACGGCCCTTTGAGAAATAAGGCCTCAGTCAGTCTGCATTCATGTGACATGCTTAGATGGGAATCTAGCATCAGACTTGTCCTAGAGAGCAGTCTTGGTGTGCTCCGGGTTTGTAGGCTCAGGCCATAGGGAATGACATGGCTTTAGCTCAAGTGTTGTTTTAATATCATAACTTTTACTTTTAAATTACAGAACCTTCTGGTATTTTTGTAAAGAGTATTACAAAAGGCAGTGCAGTTGAGCATGATGGTAGAATCCATGTTGGAGATCAAATTATAGCAGTAAGTAATAATGGGGGAGTGCTTTTAATGGCGTTTTATTATCCACTCTTATTGCCTCATTGAAAAATTGAAAACAAACAAATGACTGGGTCCAGATGGTATTTCTCCAAGAGTTCTTCAGCTGAATTCTACTTTTCTGACAAAAAATATTTAATATGTCCCTAAGAACTGCCTATGTATCAAACAACTAGAAAATGTCCAGCGTAACACCAATCATGATCAGGGTGGATGGGTGAGGGAATTGGGAGACCCGGGAAGTGACAGGCTTGTTGGCGTAACATGTGTTCTGGCCAAATGCATGGACAGCAGTTTTAAAGAACTTCCCAAGCATGTGGAAGAAGTAGTTTTGCTGAATAAGAATCAGCATAGCTTCTGCAAAAGTAAGTCTCTTCGAGGGTTTGTTGAGGGTGTCTACAAGCATGTGGATAAGTCAATGTTTGGGGACTTTCAAAACATTTTTGATGGGTTCCCTCACCCAACTGAACAAACTTTGCTGTTACAGGATGAAAGGAGAGGTCCTCTAATGGATCAGTAACTAGATAAAGTACAGAAAGGACATAGGAATAAATGGACAGCTCTCACATTGGATACGTAGCAGGCTTCCCCCAGGGTCTTCGTTGGAACCTGTGGTTTTTAACTTGCTTATAAACAAATGAGTTAGGAGTGAGCAGTAAGGTTGCCAGGTGTACTGATGGCACTTCATTATTTAGGATGGTTAAAAATGGAGTCACTCAAGAGTTCAAAGTGGATCTCTCCAAATGAGGACAGTGGGCATTAAAATGGCAAGTACTGCTCATTGTAAAAGGTAAAGGTAAAGGTTTCCCCTTGACATTAAGTCCAGTCATGCCTGACTCTAGGGGGTGGTGTTCATCTTGGTTTCCTAGCGGAGGGAGCCAGCGTTTGTCTGCAGACAGTCTCTGTGGTCATGTGGCCAGCATGACTGAACACCGAAGTGCACGGAACACTGTTACCTGCCCACCAAAGTGGTACCTTTTTATCTACTTGCATGCTTTCGAACTGTAAGGTTGGCAGGAGCTGGGACGGAGCAACGGGAACTCACCCCGTTGTGCAAATTCGAACCGGCGACCTTTCGGTCAACCAGCCCAGCAGCACAGCGGTTTAAACCACTGCGCCACCTGCAGTCCCACTGCTCATTGTATGCAAGTGTAAAGTGCTTCACACTGGGGCATCTTCCCCCACTCCATGTATTAGGATCTGAGCTAGTAGGGACTAACTAGGAAAGGGAAGTTGGGGGTTTGGTGAAAAGGGTCAACTCAATGTGTGGCTGATACAAAAAGGCATATTCTGTGTTGGGTATAATTAGAAAAAAAATATTGAGAAAAGCTGAATACTATAATGCCTTTTCTTTGCTGGTGTTACTCTTGGATAAATACTTTCTTAATACAAGGACTTGGGTTGATCCAGTAAAGCTGAACCATTGGAAATTTGGGACAAACGGAAGTGAAATGTCTTCACAAAATCAAACAAGTTCCATTGTTAAACTGTGGAACACAAAATCACAAGTTGAAATGATTGTCATTACCCTGAGTAGCTTTAAAACGAAATTATTCATTCGCAAAGGATAAGACTATTAATGGCTACTAGTCATGATGAAAACTGTATGTTACCTGCAGTATCTGAGGCAGTTTGCTGGTAAACACCAGTTGAGCTCAAAAATACAACCAGCAGAGTCCAGTCAATGCCTTGTGGACCAAAGCTCAGTGGGTCCAGATCTTCTTTTTAAACATTTGCTTTACCTTTTCTACTGTATCCTAAACAACGATGTACTGGCACAAAGGATGGGGCCTCCTATTCACCAGTGGATTAAGACATGTGCCCTGTAGCAGGTTAATCACTGCAGTACTTGAGGCTTTGAATCTTAGGAATTGGAATGTGTACTTCATGTGGGCCTGTATGTAGGATCTCCATTACCAGATTCAGCTGTCTGTTCCAGATACTGGAGCCTTTTGTATGCCTGTGATCTGCACTTGGAAACATGTTTTAGTAATGCAAATGTTGCTATAGTTAGCCATACCCATGTACAGACCACAATACAATTGATCTAGTCATCCTCTGCAGTTTTTCCTATCTTCATTTGATCATTCCAGTTGTCACTGATTACATGAATGCGTTGAAGTGTTATAGTTGGTTGGCACATGATTGCTTATAACACTGGACTGTTTATTTAGCAATAGTAACTGAGCAAAGGAAGTAATATGTTTATGATGTAAAATATTTACATAAGCCCAGCTTTATGCTCTTAGAGTGGCTTCATATAAACAGTAAAAGCTGAATAAATCTGCATGTGGTTTACTGAGATGTACATATTCCAAGACAGTGAAGCAAAAGATAAAAGCTCTAAGTGGCTAGAGACCAAAATAAAAGCTGACATTTTGCAAATGGCTAGAATGAAGTTTGGCTCATTTTGAATAACACAGTTCTTGTATACTTTGCCTCTTTAGTGGCCTGCGGGAAATTAACATATGTTTAACCCTTCAGGTGGATGGAACCAATCTTCAGGGTTTTACCAACCAGCAAGCAGTGGAGGTTCTGCGACACACAGGCCAAACAGTTGGACTCACATTGGTCAGAAGAGGCCTTAAGCAGGAAAATCACATTCGACCCCATGAGGACCTCAGTGGTACTGTTGAAAAGGATTTAATTTTCCAAACGATGGATATTGGCACAGGCAAAGGTAATTAAGACTGGCTTTGCTTCAAATTAGTTGGATTTCATTTTCCATTCCCCAGCATGTGTAAACCTAGGAAAAATGGGCTAATTTCACCCTCAGAGTCTAACTTTTTATTTATGCTTCATAATTTGTACAGGGTTTTCTTATTTAAGGAATTTGTCTCCTAGTTCAGTGTTTCCTGTAAAGATTTTTTTAATTTTATGTTCCCTGATGCTTAAGGCCAAAGAAAGTGTCAAAGAGAAGCTTGTCGTTAAGAGATCAGGCAAAGAATCCTGGGAAGATGAATAGAACACTGGAAATTGCTTGTTCGTCCAAAGTGCAAAAACAGTTGTTTGGACATGGGCCATACCTCAGTAGCAGAGTGCATTCTTAGCACACAAAGATCCTTGGTCCAATTACTGGAATATATAGTATTTTGTTGTAAGGGATATTATGTAGAAAGGCTAGAAAAGACATCAGTCTGAACCCTTGGATACTGCTGTCACACACAGGTAGCTTAGATGGATTGACAGCTAAGACTATAACTTGAATCCATATGTAAAGCACTCTCATGTGACACCACTTACAAACTGCACACATTTATATAGTTTACTCTGAAAGACTGAAAAAAACTATAGTGGTACTATATCATTTCTGGAGTGTTCAAGGAGTTAGAAGGATACAAATTGCTGTGCTATGCTCAGACACTCTGGCTGGAGCCTTAGATTGATTTTTGATAGGATAAAAATCACCATAGGATAACCTGTCTGTGCAGTTCTTAAGTGGTGCCTGTTTTTTCTGAGAAGATGCTTGAGAATTACGAAGTCCCAAGATGAGTTTCTGATTACTCCCTACAATGTGCTAAATCTCTGAATCAAAAGATATGCTTATCATGAGAACAAAAGAAACTAAGTTAGTAATGACTTTTACTGCACTAAGAATAGACAGTCCTTTGGAACAGATCATACTGTTTGCAAAAATTATATTTGGCAGTAAATAATATTTACAACACAAGAGTAAAACATAAAATAAATGAATGGGAGAATTTAGCCGAGAAGAACTCATATCACTGAAGTTTACTCAGTACCTGCTTAAACTTGGAAATCTAGCCCCTGTCATTCAAAATGCATCCAAACCTGTTCTAGGAGGAATTCTTCCTATTCTGCCCCCCATAGGCACAGATCAGCTCTTCCCCAGTTGAACTATCAGTTTCCCTCCTTTGAAAGAATGTATAGGAGCTTGACCCACAGATTAATTTTACCCTTCTTTTACCAAGTTTATCCTTCTGCAATCATCAACTGCATAATCTAGCGCAATTTTATATAGTGGAAGAATATAATGTATAAATTTAAGTGTAGAGTGATTATTGGTGACTGCTGGCTGTTGAAGATAGTTGTTGTTTCAAATTAATCTGGAAAAATGAATGTCAATTTGGATAGAAACATATTTTTCTCAATAAACTGAAAAGCTTTTGAGATTTGAAGATTTTTCTTGTTAGAGTCCAGTCCTGTCCAAATGAGTTCAGTGGGATATACTTCTATGTAAAGGAGTAGACAATTGTAGCCTAAAAGGATTGTTCCTTATATGGAAAGGTCTCTGGTACACTGAAATTTAGGTGAGAAACACATTTTTAATTTGATCCTATCAAGCAGGTTTCCCCAGCTTGGTAATCTCCAAATAGCTAGGAGTTCAGTTCTCATCAGCTACAACTGCCTAATCAGGAATGCTTGGGGTTGAGGAAGCTGCTGGAGGAAAGCAGGAAGATGCACTGACATTATCATAGAACAGTAGCATCCCCAGAGCTGCTGAGGTTCATCTTATTCTTTTCCAGAAAGCTGCGAAAGAGAGCAGAAATCTCCATCACTGGCATGCAGTACCAGTGTGGTTCACATTGGAGAAGATAGTAGTCCACAACAATCAGGTCCGAATTAATAACTTACAGCAGTGTATTTTCCCCCCCTGTGGAAACACACTGACTTGCATCTCCCACTTTTGCCTCACCTTTTTTGTTTACTTTTATTTTTGCATGGTGGCATTGCCCTTGTCTGAAAAACTTGTGAAAATACAGAGTTTGCAGTATAATACATACATCTTTTTTGGAATAAAAACAGGAGAATTCTGGGTTTTTTTTCTAAAATTTACTCTATATATTCCTTTTATATAAGGAACATGTATGTTATTATTCTGAGATTACATTTTCATAAGTATTTTATGCAGAGGTGCAACTCCTGAAAAATTAACATGTTAAACTAGTCTTTTAAAATGTGATTTTCTCTCTGGCATGTTTTCCATTTTTACCCTTTGAAACTAATTTTACATCTAATCTTTATGGCTAATTGCTGCTTTAGTATATTAATAGCAACACTTTTCATTAATTGCATTTGTTTTCCTTGTCTATATTTTCAAGTAGAGTTAAAGCTGAGCACCCTCAACTTTTGAGTTCTCTCCCGTATAACTTTTATCTTTAATATGTATTTCTCCTCCTTATATGACCAGTTCTCTCATAGTAGTTTTAGGTTTACTAGGACATACTGATCCTCTATATTGCATCTGTTCTACATTTTTAACATAGAACAGATACAAATTCTGTTTTTCTGTTTCCTTCTTGCTACAGTTTCTACCCTTACAGTAAAGTTGTATAGCTTTGTGTTAGGATATTATGCAAAAGTAATTGGTTTGTGTTTAAGATGTTAAGACTAAAAGCTAGTAAGCTATTGAAACTGGTCCATTATTAGATGTATTTGAACATATTAAGCAATATATTTCAGGAAGTACAATTTCTAGTTCATTGGAATTTAAGAACTTAAATTTAAGAATTTAAATATGTATTGAATGAGTGAAATCTTAAATTTTGTAGGAAAGCTAATACATGGGCAAAATCCATATTAAGTCTCTCACTGACTTTTAATGGATCCACACTGTATAACCTGGAGATTCAGCAGTTCATGTATTTGCTTTAAAATGGAGAACTGCATAGTTTTGTGACATGCAAAGCAGAATATGTAGCCCTACTGGTCATGTATGGAGGGTTTTTGTTATCTACTTTGCATTGCAAAGAGAAAGTGTATATGTATTAAGCATCATTTGGCTTGGTGGGTCAGAAGCTGAGCATGAAATGATTATACTTGTGGAAATTGTTGCCTGCATATCATGTTATGAGGCATCAATTATTTTTTTCCTTTCACCTTTCCTATATTTCTCTGACATTTTTATCGTGCTGTCCTACTTATTTTGCATTCTTCTTCACATTTTCAGCCTTGAGATTAATTCTTAAGCCCTTCAGGTTTACTGCCTGTAGCATTTTGCCACTTCCTCGCCTAGATGCTTTGCACCAACATTTACATCGTCCTCATGCAGTTCCAACAGTTGTCTTTCTTCCTTACATTTTTGGGCTAAATCTCTCAGACACGCACATGCTGTTTTTAATGATGTTCTTCCAGTGCCCTCTAGGGACCATGTTTCAATGGTAGCCTTTGAAACTGAGGTCATAGTTTTGAAGTGCAAAATCCTAAGCCATTCATGCCTATAGAGAACATTGTGTCCATGCATGTAATATTAAGGCATGCCCATTGTAACCACAAACACATTTATTGGCCATAACACTCAATAACTATCCAGTACTATTGCTAACAGCACTAAATAGGTTTCTGAAGTTCTATTACTGTAACTTGTGTGCCATTTAATAAGTCTGGGATTGATTCTGCTTCGATAATTCAGACCTTGTAAAACTGAGCATATACCTGTGCCTAGTAGCATACTGTTGTCAATGCCTAAGCAGCAGTCGTATTATTTGAAATAAAAACCAGGATCTGTGATTACATCGCATAGCTTTCAAAAACATCTTAAGTGTATCAGTGCTTTGTGCTGTATCCTTTAGATTCACAGTCTTTATTTTAAATTGCTAGAGAGCATTACAATCAGGAAAAAAATCTATCTTCTATTTCTTTAAGTACAGAGACTTAGTATGATGGTGAATGAATAAAATGAGTACTTTAGAGAACAGTTGTGCTACAGGAAACAGAAGGTGCATGCAATTTCTACATTCATGAAAGGAGAGGGTTCAGCAGAGGGTAGCCAGAGAGAAACCTAGTTATTCAGGAAGCTAGCCGAGCACAATTAGCATTCTTTGGAAGAGAGGACATGAAAGAAGATCCTGGAGGTGATGCAATTTTGAGCTGAATAGCCAGTGTAAGTGCTAAAAGGCTATTTGGGTTAGTGTCCAATAGAAATTACCCAAAATGAAACTTAAGGAATTCTCCTAAAAGGAATTGTACCATAAGCTGCTCATCTTGTAGCTCATCAAGAGCTGGTATAGATAGCTTAAAGAGAACCACTTTGAAAATATGTTGTCCTAGTTCCATTTATATTACGTCTTATTTTTCATTTTTTCTCTGCATTATTAAATCTTGTTAGGATAATGGGTGTCCCATTTCTGGCATTTTTTCATTTTAAATAAACTGAGATAGATACTTGAGGGGGATAAGGATGGTAGCACAATCCATTTACTATATAAGGATAAGATTGGCATAATTATGCTGCAGCTAACTTTCATACTACATCCTGTAGGTTTTCAACTCACTTCCACAGATGAAGAAGCGCTGTTGCAGAACAAATGGCAGACAATTTTGGGGCCAAACTATGAGGTTGTGGTAGGTAAACCCAGAGCCTTGCTATTTAAAAATATCCACCATCCTCTTTTTATAGCTGGCTCCTTCTCTTCTTCATTTCTTTTTGTTTGCTTGCTTGCTTTCTTTTTTTAGGATTTCACATTTGTCTTTTAACATTAACTTTCAAAACAAAAGGCTGTGCTATATCCTATTCAGGATAAATAAGAACATAAATGAAGGGTTCTGGGTGCATAATTCCTAAAGTGTTGTTCCTTTGGATTGCTTAGCATGTTACCCATTTAGTGAGTGCATCAAGTGTACTCATGTGTCAAGTATGTGATTATTTTACTGCATCTCTACCATACAGAGATATAGAGAGGAGCCAGCATTATTTGCAGCATTTATACAGTGAAATACATTTGTACTTTAATTTACACATTATGAAGTATCCACTAATCTTCAGTGATTAGTGAAATATGGATTAATGAAACAGTCCTTAATTATTTTCACACAAGATACTTTGCCAGCTTTGCATTTATCAGTTTGCCCTGGTAGCCTTACACAACAAGATACTCAGAGCTGGCTACTGAGCAGATTGGCCCAGAAGAGATAGATCATTCCATCCTTCCTCCATCATTCTGCTTTGTGATCTGTATAAAAGATAATTGTCCAGCATGTTTTGCTGGTTGCAGAAGAGGAGGCTTCTTCTACTCTGTGGCCTGCAAGAACACATAGGCTACTAGCCTTTTATTGGCCTCATAAAAACATTGGCAGGCTAGTAATGTTTGTGGGTTTATTTACTAGGATGTACCAGGGCCTAATTTTGCAAATTGTGCTCACTCAGACTTTGTTTTGGTATGAGGAAGGTAGAAAATGTAAACCTACCAGCCTTTTCTCCTGTGTATAATACTTGTAACCTGGTTACTCAGAAGTAAGCTCCATGAAGTTCAGTGGTGCTTATAAGTAAGCATGCACTGGATTTGAGCTAAGGTTTTAAGTTTGAGGGATGTATATCTGCTTTTCACAGGTGTAACACAGGTACATGAATAACAATTCCTGTTTGCTGCATTATTAAATTAACAAAGTAGAGGATAAAAACAACCATTTCACTTACTGCTAGTTTTCTGACAGTATTGGAATTTATATTGTAGAATCAATTGATGATGATGATAATTATGACTCTGTTACTCAATTACAAAACAGGCAAAAGTGGATGATGTGCCCTTTCTTTGAAATTCAGGCTACATGTCTTGTGGCCTGTTGTGCATCCTTTTGTAGCCCATTCTATCCTTGTTTGACTCCCTGTGCCAGTGGTTCATGGCTCCACCTTCTCAGGCAACGTTTTTCCATGAAGACATCTCTCCACGTGTGTAGAGATATAGTCAACGCACTGTACCAATCTTGTTGGCTCTGCTTTTGTGAAGGAAGGTAGTATGACTGATTAGAAAATCTACCCACTCTTGCCCAGTGCCATTCAGTATGGGAAGTCAAGCCTTACACTATAAGATTTTTCACGTCTTCCCACAATTGCCAATCAAAATAAAGGCTATTTAATGGGTTGTAGCATTTTCTCACATGAGCCTCCACACCCACCAGTTCACCAGCAGATGGTTTACATCCCATTGCTATTACCAAGCGACAGAGTCATTTCCCGTGTGGTGACAAGCAGTGGGCCTCCCTACTCGGGAAGTTTGATTGTCTTGTCTTTATTAGCATTTTGACTTTGGGTTGGTTTGAATTTTTTTGTCTCCGAGCTATGGTTCTATGCTATTGATTGCTGATTCTTGGGGTTTATTTCAGTTTTTAATTGGCTTTTAATTGCTTTTTAGTTGGCATTGAAATTGATGATTTCTAATGGACCCAGACTGCACATAGTCTTGAAGATGTTTCTCACCCAAGACAGCTGATGTTAAATAGCCAAAATTATTGAGCTCTTAGTTTACTTCTGGTTGAGGATTGGTTACTCTTTGTCTAGCCTCTGGAGCACACTTCACAATTGATAGAAATTTCTTTGGTCTGCCTAGTAGTCCAAGAACTGTAGTTGCTTTTGTTCCTGGAACATACATAGTGAGTATGGAAGGGGGCAGCATGGACAACTTAAATACAATTGAGGGACAGGGTCATGGCTACAAATCTCAATCCCTGACTGCCACAGCTGTTCCACCCCCTGGGGATTAGTAACACATGGAAGATTATATTGCCAGGTGTGCATCCTGTGCAGGCTTGACTGCTCCCAGAGGGTTGGTGTGCAACACTTGTGCCAAATATGGAATTGAGCGTTTCCACATTGCATTAAAGACATTTCCATTTCAGATTACTGTATTTGTTAGCCATTGTTCCTGAGGCATTCATAAAAGCTGACTTCTGGGGTAAGAGGAGGTATGGGACCTTTGATTGTGTCATTCGTTCCATTTATTTGTAGCTCTCTCTGCCTACCTTTCATCTCTGGGACAGCTGTAGCTACCAGCATCTGTTACCCTTTGCAGAAAAGAATGGGATGTTACAGCTGGCTGCTCCCTTTCAGCTTACATTGTGATTCCATCTTGTTTTGATGTGAGAAATCAATGAACATGGAGGGTGTTTGAAAGAAGTGAGCTTGTAGCTTAGGAAGTAGAGCGTCTGTGGCAAAATTTTATGGTTACTGCTTTTAAACCTACTGGTCCTTTGTGTACAAGACTGAGTGAAATTTTAAAAACAACTGATTCCTTAGTGTTCAGAAGGTTGATTATTTTTCTTCTTTCTAGGTAGCTCATGTGAATAAGTTTAGTGAAAGCAGCGGACTGGGGATAAGCTTAGAAGCTACAGTGGGACATCATTTCATCCGCTCTGTTTTGCCAGAAGGGCCAGTTGGACGATGTGGCAAGCTGTTCAGTGGCGATGAATTACTAGAAGTATGCCATATAGCCTGTCTTATTTCTGCTCCCTTTTTAAAGGCAATTCTACTGGAAATTTAGCCTCTAATATTGATGCATGTACATATAAGCATGTCTGGCCATCTGAAGTCCCTAGAGGGAAAAGTGTCTAGCTGTATGTATAAATCGATCAATCTTTATTATGTGGTCACAGTCTTGACAAGCTGTAAGTATAAAATCACAACATACTATAATATTCTACTTTGCAAGTCCCATTCATCAGTATGAAATTTAAACATAGATCTACACTCTTTAAAAGCCACGTACATATATGTAACTTTTAGAAATGCTGTCTGAGTATAATCTGACTTTTAGGAATCCTTTTTGAGTGAGATTTGGACTTAAATTATATGTTTGCTGTGTTGCTACTTTTTCTCTGCAATTCTTGAAGGGTACCATGTATTTGTGACATTGAGATGTTAGTTTATTTTTTTTTCTGTTGATTATTTTGCCTTCTGTTGGTAGGTAAATGGAATATCTTTGCTTGGAGAAAATCACAAGGATGTAGTAAATATCCTAAAAGAACTTCCCGTCAAAGTAACAATGGTGTGTTGCCGTGCAGCTCCACCTGTTAGTCATTTGGTAATGGATGAGGCTCAGGAGACAGAGCAGGTAAAACAAGTGCCTTGTATGTACCAGATGTTATAAGTTCGTACCCTAGATTTATTTATTTCCAGCAGCTCATTCCATAGACTGCTGTTTTTCTCAGGAAATGTGTGAGTTCTTGCCTGTGATCCCATTCATAAACACAGCTGGAGTAACAACTTGAGAATCCTTCCAGGTACTCACTCATTTCACCTTGCCTCATGCTTCAGACGGTGCTTGTTTCGAAGTAGATAAGCCTTCTGTGCAGCAGTATCTCAGAATCTCAGCTGCGGTTCTTCTTGGCAGAGTGGTAGCTTGCAGTAAAGACATACACTCATAATCCTTGCACAAAGGAAATGTGCAACCTTGTAATTTACTTTTAGACCTCGAAATTCATTTGAGTGAACAAGGAATAGCTTTGTCCCATTGTAGTGACATTAACTCATCTCTTTCAGCCCCTGTGTTCTACCGAGAACCACAGCTTGGTTAGGATCATTTCTCTGATTGTAACAGAATCATTTATTTCCAAAACTCCTTTAGACATATAGAAGTAGTAGCCTAGTTGCTTGAATCCAGGCCTGTAATTCAGAGTTATAGCAACCTTCCTCATTGCTTGTGAAGAGAACTAACTAGAAACTGGTACTTTGTCCAATAGACCTTCTGAGTAAATGATTTATTGTTAATATCAAAATATAGTGCCATATAATATATAATATAGTGCCATTTCCTCCATGTTTGGGGTGGCTTGAAGTGTTTTGAATGTGGGAATAATAGGAAGTACAAAAGGCTCCCTGTTGCCTACATAGCTTTCCACCTGCTTTTCCTTCCATCTTCTCTCTAATTTAAAGCTAACACACCTGAATGTACACATTCAAAGGTTGAGTGGGAGCTGGCAAAAGCAAATCACTGTATTCCCACTTCTCAATATCCATAACCCCTTTTGATCTGCTATCTTATCTATGTGTACACAGAAGTAAGCTGTGGTGGATTCAGTAGGAGTTACATCTTTGTAAATTGGTGTATTCAGTAGTGTTTACAACCTGAACTTTGGATCAGATTGCTAGATGATTTCATGCCATAGCTAGAGCCCAGTTCTTTGAAAATGCACATTTGATATTGAGAGCAAAAGAGTAATAGTATTTTATCTGTTTCTTACCACAGTGATTTTATTATATGGTACATGTATCACAATATATTGCACATCATATCAATTGTAATTCAAAAATTCATTTAAGGGAAAGTAATCTATGACCTTTTTAGCAGTAATGGTGTGCATGACAGATAATTTGTGGCAGCACAATATTCGTAGGTTTATTTATTTAAAAAGTGATTGTGTTCAATTTTCTAGTCTCACATAGACCTTGGTGGACTTCTTGGCTCTTCAGAGACAGAGGAAACTAATGTGGAATTGGCTAATGTGGGCCAGAATACGGATGAAGTTCAAGGATCTCCCTTGGCAATGTGGGAAACAGAAATACAAGAAATTGAGCTGGAGAAAGGAAGCATGGGGCTAGGCTTTAGCATATTAGATTATCAGGTAATTTCTGGTGTTTATTTCTCAAAAGGGGGCACTTACTATGGTGAACTCTGTCCTCTTTTACACAAATGCATATTTGAAAGTAATAGCAGATATTGCTGCCAAAAATGCTGCACAAATAAACTTGTCAAACTATTTCTAATTACCTTCATTCATTTTGTGATGCCTTGGTGCTTCATTTTGAGTAGGTTTTTACTTCTTACGAAGAAAGCAGTGGTCTATGTGGAATGTCACTGTGAAGTTGAAATTGACAGAGTCTGAAAGCCCGGTTTGCTCTGAAAAAGCTGATTGCAGAGGTTCATGGCAAAGTTGGTCAAGTTTTAGTGCTGTTCTTTGAGCAGGAATTACATAATGTACAGTTGCTGTCAGACTTTCCAGTTACTGGTGTGGAGAAGTTCAAATGGTGCTACAAGCAACCAGAGAGTTCTGAAAAACATGCACCAACATTTGTTTGATTATATTATATTATATTATATTATATTATAATATAATATTGCCTTCAGGGAACTCAAGGTAACTTATACAATCTGCCTTCTTTGCTTAATCTTATCCTCACAACCACAGGCTGTGGTTAAGCTTAGAGTACGTGATTGGCTCATAGTCACCCGGTGAGTCTTATGCCTGAATGGTGATTAGAACCCAGATCTGCTGGATCCAGGTCCAGCACGGTCACCACTATGCTCCAGTGGCTTTCACGGTTTCGAATCTAAAAACATACGAGACATTCTGCGGCATGTTTGTGGATATCGCCATGGGTGGGAAGGCATTGCTTTACGTTTCTGGGTAAACTAGACATTTCAGCAGCTATGCCTAGTTTACCCTGGATTCTTAAAAGCCCCCACTCCACGTCCACTCTAGGGTCCTGATCTGGATAGAGTGTTCTATACCTAAGCTACAGGAAACATGAAAAGCTGCATTTTAGAGACACGTTGATAGCAATATATATGTTGGCTTTGGCTCCCATGATTTCAGGTTAGGAATTGTCAAATCTTAACACACAGTCAGTGATGCTAGACATCTGAATATGTGAACTTGATCTTAGAGCATCTTTGGACACTTATTCAAATATAGGCCTGCCATGTTACTTGGGAATTGTGTTATACCTAAATACTATTGTGCGGAGAAAAGTTTAAGTCTAGTCCTCTGCCTAGCATTTTACCTTGGCCTCTCCAAATCAGGGAAGGATTTCTACAGTCTACAGTCCCCTCACATTCTGAAGAAGCAGAATCTCATTTACTGATACTTCTCTTAAGACCATTCTGTAATGTCCTGAGTTGGTATCTTCAGCTGTGACATTTATACAGCTTGATTCAAGCATTATGGAGTTTGATGTGGGGCAAAGCCTATGTAAAATGGAATAGTATATTTTATGACAGAGGAAGGTGACTGGTAGAAGTGGTCAACAGTTATATTCATATGAATTAAATATCCTGGAGGGGATGCATAAATGACATTTCACCTCTCCTGCTTAGCAGTGTTTTGGAGATACCACTATGTAAAATGTTTAAATAGAAATGTTTAAATGTTTAGAAAGCAAATCTATGACATAGGCTACTAGACTGTTGAAAGACCTAGTGGGGAATGTTACCTAGATCTCATTTAATAAAGAAGGTTTGGGGGTATTTATTTCAGAAATGATTCCTTTTTCTAATGGAAAAATGGTTTTCTAATGGTTTCTTTTTCTAATTACTAATAAAGTATGTTTGAGATACTTTACTTGAAGCAAGAATGATAAAGTGTTTTTCCATAATATGATAGAGGTCAAATTACATTACTTTTCCATTTGAATGTTCCATGAGTTGATTATTTTGTTACTTATAGAGAAACATACATCTGTTAGAAGACTTTCAGTTGATCACTGTCTGGATCTTTCCACTTTTTAGCATGCCCAAGGATGTCCCACATGCCCGTGGATAGCAAGAAAGATGAGACACGTTTTTTACTTAAGGGATACTTTATATTATTGCATTGCAAAAAAAATACAATTGTAATAGTCTAGTGGCCCCTCATGTGCATGAGAACAGCTTTGTAGACATTATTATTATTATTATTATTATTATTATTATTATTATAACATTTCTATGCCGCCCCTTGCCGAAACCTCGGGGCGGCTTACAACATGATAAAATACATTGAAATACAATAGTACATAATAAATTACCATTAAATATAACAATACAAAAAATACATTGATTTACAAATACAAAATTAAAATTATCAGTATAAAATAAAAATATAGGAGGAGAAAGAGAAGGAAGAAGAAGTTGCCCAGGCCAGATCATATGTTTTAACAATTGAAATGATGTTTAAATAAAAAGGTCTTTACCTGGCGCCGAAAAACCAGTAACGACGGTGCCAGGCGGACCTCTTTGGGGAGTGAATTCCATAGGTTGGGCGCCACCGCAGAGAAAGCCCTCCTCCAGGTACTTACTCTCCTAATTTCTTTCATGGAGGGTTCCCGGAGAAGGGACTCTCCCGCAGATCTCAAAGGGCGGTCGGGCATATACGGACGTAAGCGCTCGTTCAGGTAGCCAGGACCCAAGCCGTTTAGGGCTTTGTAGGTCATAATCAACACCTTGAATTGGGCCCGGGCTTCAATGGGAAGCCAGTGAAGCTGATGGAGGACTGGAGTCATGTGAGCATAACGCCCCGTCCCCGTCAGCAACGTGGCAGCTCTATTTTGCACCAACATAGACATAGACACACATTCAGCACCTTCCATGCAAACATGAACTCCACCACTTATTGGGCATTAGGGCAGGCACTGCTGATAAAGAGCTTACCGATTCCCTTGCATGGGCAAAGTTTGCGTATAATGTATTGTGTTAAAATTGAGAATATGAAACTAAAATTATGTTGTTATTTCCTCCCTGTTTTAACAAGGATCCTGTAGACCCTGTGAATACAGTGATCGTGATCCGCTCTCTGGTCCCTGGAGGAGTTGCTGAGCAGGATGGCAGGCTTCTCCCAGGAGACAGACTTATGTTTGTCAATGATGTCAGCTTGGAAAATGGTAGCCTGGAGGAGGCTGTGCAAGCACTGAAAGGAGCACCAATGGGAACAGTTAGAATAGGAGTTGCTAAGCCATTGCCTGTAAGGATGTTAACTTTATCTGTTGGGATTTAACATTCTGCAAAGAAACCATACAGGGCTCTTCACAAATACATTTATTTGCTCATCAGTTGATGACTCTTACTTTTGAACTGGCCCCATTTTGTTTGAAAGCTTTGCTGTGGTGTTTCATCTGTGATCGTTAACTCAAATGGGCAAAAATCTTGGTGCACTAATTATCAAGCGATAAACCTGTGTTTGTGAACCAGCCAGTAGTGTCTCTGATCTGGAAGGAGATCTGTGTTTGGGATTCATGAAGGTGGCTCACCTGAACAGTAGCATCTCCTTCTGACCTCAAATGAGACTTTGTTTTGGGAATGGGCTGCATTGAGCGTAGTAATGTGAGAGGTAGGGATGTGGACACCACCATTTTTCAGAAAGGGTAGCAAGGGAACCTGGTTTTAAAAATTCTTCTTGATGGTTTTCACATTATGTAAGAATAAATGGAATGCTCTTGAATCAGAGTACTGAATATATTAACTTGGAACTGCTTCTGTGCAAGCATAGGATTCATTCAGACAGATTTATTTCAGATTTATTTATATTGGTTTTGTATGAGCAAGAATGGCTGAATGTGTTCCATTCTTGAAAAGGTCTGGAAATTTAATATCTCTGAAGTATTTTAGTCATAGTGAGCAGAACTGATCTGATTTGCTGATCTGATTTACTTCCACTAATTTGTTTGATCAACAAGACAAAAAGTTTTTGCCCTATGGCTTAAGAGAGATCTTTTGAAATTATAAGAAATGTGCATCTACTTTTTTCTGATTCAGCCAATTGCAGTGCAAGTGTTAGTAGAATAACTTTCCTATATTCATCCATTCTGAGTTTTGCAAAAAGTGCTGAAGTTTGTTTTCAATTGTTAGTATTATTGTATTGAATTTATATCCCACATTTTTCTTGTGAAGAACCAAAGGCAGTTTATGTAGCTCCATTTTCTCCTCACAACCACAACCCAGTGAGGTAGGTTGGGCCAAGAATGAGTGCCTGCCCCAAAATCACCAAGTGGGGACTAGAACCTGGATCTCCCAGTTTCCCAGTCCAACACTCTAAGTACAGCAGCTCTTTAACGTAACACAAGAAGAGTAGGTTCCTTGAAACTGAGTTAAATTGTTTTTCATTACACATAATGAGCTGCTTCATTGGTATTTTTGAATGCAGAAATGCTACAGGGTTTTAAAAATACTGATTTAGGTCTCAAACAGTATATTCTAGAGAAATCCATGTTCCCTATCACTAAAATAAGGTTAATGATTGGTTTGGGAAATACGATGATAAGAAAGTCCATTGCAATTTCAATAAGAAATAATATACTTTGTTTATATAGCGCTTGGAACATACACTTCTGTATTAAAATTGTGCATGTCAAAACTTCTAATAGTGAGTGGGGAGAAGCAGCATTTATAGCGAGTTTATGAGAAGTACTATCTCTCAGTGACTTGCAGCAAGGTCCACAAACTAGTTAGGCAGTTCTTTTTAGGGGAAAGCTGGTTATACTCTGCTCCAATCACACTGCATTAAGGTAAGTGCTATTGAGTTCAGTGGAATTTATTTACAAATATTTGGGTTTTAGACCCAAGGGTAAGTGGGGTTGAAGTTGGTGGGACTAAATAGGCTTTAACCCTATTTACTAGGCTTAATTTATTGGAAATTAGGCTCTTAAGCAAGAAATAGAAATATAAAGAGGTAGTTACAAATCATCATCAGGTCCAGAAGAACATTCCAAATTCCTTAGTGCCAGCATCAGAGCATGAAGTCCCACTCCTGTGCACAGATGAAAGGATACTGCAAACCCATAGACACCAGTATTCAGTTTTTCAGTTTCCTCCCAATCCTGGTATATCCTTACACTTGCACAGGGCTATGATATCATTTCCAGCAATCTCTCTTCTGTTCTGCACATTCATGCATTCATTCATTCGTTCATCTAAAAGTTTCTTAACATTCCGCATGCTGCATGTCCTGAACACTGGCCATCATGCAACTCAAGAGCTTCATTCTTTCTGCAGCTTTCACCAGAAGAGGGGTATGTTTCTGCTAAGGAAGATTCCATCTTCTACACAGCCCAGTCTTTTGAGGAGGAAGGGCTAGCTGATTCAGCCCTCTTCCATGCTGAGCTGGCTCTGGTTAGTGGCCACTTCCTTACCATGATAATGTGTTAAAACCCTTTTATTCTTTTGAATAGCATTTGTTTAAGGGCAATGTAGGAAGAATATTGCTGCTGTAATGCAAACAAGGCGTGCTTTGGCTTATTTGAAAGGATTTATGATGATAATGGTTACTTAATTCAGTCAAGGTGCTGAAAAACAGAAAATATCAATTATATAGCAACAATAAACCATCTAGTCAATTTCTTTTATATACAGCAAAACAGGAAGTACATTAGATTGGATCTCTGAAACATAACACATGTGTAGATCCATTATCCCTTTTTGAGAAATCTGTTGCTGTACATAAGGAAATTAACTTTGCACTCCTACATTTATTCTTTGGAATTTATGACCAGGTTTTCATGACACATCAGCCCGCTGTGGATTAATTTAACTGCAGCAGACATGGTGTGTTCTAGGTGTCTGTAAGCGCCCTTTGTTTACCATACAAAGCCATGTCATGCAAAACCTTAAAACAAGCTATAGCTTATTTGAGGCTTGTCTGCCTTCTGAGACAAACATGTCTGTACAAACGGCAAGCTGTAAGTGCGCTGTTGCCACCGCTTACCTATTTCAAATGGTGGCTAGCCCACTCCTTTCAGCCCTGCAGGGAAATTAACATGATGGCCTAATGTTACACGTGAACAACCCCATTCTCACTTGGATTGATTTCTGGGTAAACAAGTGTAGGATTGGCTTCCTAATCACCTATTCAAAAGATGATTTGCATAACATATTGCTACAAAACTTTATTATCTATTTGGTTTATGGAATATTCTGTCCTAGGTGTGAAATGCCTAGATTATTATTTTTAGTAGTTAACTAAAATTTTGATCAAATAGTATGGCAGATCATCTAGCCAAAGCCAGCCACTTCTGCATTCCAGTGACTTCACTGAGAGAAGCGCACCCTGTAGTATCACTTAAATAAAGGGTTGGTTACAATAATTTCCAGGAAACAGCTATATGTAAGAGTTGCTGGTATGTCAACTGGAAGAGTGCTAGGAATATAGTTGAACAAAATGCTTTTTCTATATATTTCTTTAAAAAGCAATTTTTTGAATAAATTCAAAGTTTAGCAGATAGCTTTGCATTGTAAAAAATAAAATACAATGTACAACGGAGGAACAAATCTTTTACGAATCTTCTGAAGCTGCCAGTTACTTTTGCTTTATGTTACATTTTAAAGTAAAGAAATAAGCCATCACCGAATTGCATCTTAGCGGTCTGCATAATCTGGTTAGGCAGGTTACTTGACAAAGGACTGATGGAGCTGCTCTGCTTTTTATTTTGTTACTCACCTTTGCACTATTGTTTACTGAGTGGACATGGTGATCCAACTTGCACATGGTGAGAAGCTAGCATGGGAGAATTTCCCTTCAGGGCTTCTCATCTGGGTACCAGCCACCATTTTGAAAATTTATCCCATGGCAGATGACTCTGACAATGCAAGCCACCTGCAACCCTAATATAAGCCATAGGATTTGGGTGGCTTGTAAACCACCCCAACATACCACCCTCACCAGGTTTACACATAAAAACAAATCATGACTTGACCCCACTGCTGCTTGAACTTTCAAAATATAAAACAGTAATAAAATTCACTCACAGTGGCTTATCCTTACATAGGAACCAAGTAATGGCCTATGAAATACTATTTGCTTACCGCTAGGATTCTTGGGAGAAACCTCTCCAGTGTAAAGTTAACCTAGATTTAAGGATAAGAAAATCTAGGCAGTGGGAATGTATAAAATCTCTTAGGCTGCAATCCCATGTCCATTAAACCCTGTAGAACTCTGACTGGGTTCATGCCCCATAACAACCCATACTCAAGACAAAGTGTGGCTTGCCATGAAGGCATGGGTGTTTGTTGCTGAACCTTGAATTGTTTCAACCTGCTAACTTCAGCTGCACTGACACACACTATGGTTTGTTAACCATAAACAGCCCATGGTTTGTTGTTGGGTTGTGAACTGAAGGTTGCTGGGTTCTGAGAACAAACATATTAACAATTCATGGTTTATAAACACAGCAGCCTACCTTTGAATAGCAATCCAATGTTCAATCAGAACACACACTAAGCTTTGCTTATGGGGTTGTTATGGGATGGGAAATCAGTTGATGTCATTTCTGAGAAGCTGTAAAACTTATCTAGTACTTACACAAAGGACTGAATCAAAATTTCATATAAAACAATTGAAATTAGTGAAATTTAATTAAGCCTGGGTACAGCCCTATATTACAGTCCCAGGGGTTCTTTGGAATACAGTATAATCAGAATCAGTGTTTTATTGATATATTTATTTATTTTAAAGTTTTTTTTGGTCCTTCATGGTTTGCAAAAATCAGTATATCACCATTAGAAGTGGTAAATTTATTTGCAATCAGTAGTTAAATATACCAAAGGTTTTGAGTGGAACAGATAAGTTAAAAAGTCATGTTTTAACTTGCATGATTTTATTAAAAATTATTATCCAATTCCTAGCTACATTACTTTGATGCTTCGAACCCCATATAATGCGTTGAGAAAGGAAGTAATGTTTTGAAGGCGATATAATATATTTTGAATCCAAAGTGTTACTGTTAAATTATGACAAAATTGGTCACAAGTATTGAACTGCAGATTTATTTGAAAATGGTGTGTTTCTACATGCTCTCCTGTTCATTTTATTCAAAATGCACCTGCTAAGTCCAGCTTTTTCTCTGCTCACTCAGATTGCAGTACTTCAGTCAGGTTCTTTTAAACTGGCTCTTTCTGGATCAGTTCGCATGCAAGGCTTGGTAGCTAAACTTCTACCACAGGAACTGCTTCCCACATCTCTCCAGTAATGTATATAGGAACCATGAACAACACACGAAGAGAACCTAATGTTTATTGCTGGCTTATGGACTGTGGGTTGTTTGTGGTTAACAAACTGATTTATTAGTATGGTTGGCTTTGCCCCCACAAAACACCATGATTCAACCACATGTACAAAGCCTGTGTTGTGTGAAGCCAGTCTCTATAAAGCAATTTCATATGTCCGCTGTTGACAGCTGAGATTATTGTTTCCACATCTGCATCTCTACCACCTGTGAAAAATGCCCCCCATTTAATATGTGCTTTATTAAACACATATTTTAATAACAAGCTAATTCGCAATAGCTTGGCAGTGATCACAACTTTCGGCACTAGCTGCACATTTTAAAACTTGTTCTGTAACTGGGAGCTAGAAGTTTGCTTTGAAAAAGATTAAAGCTGAGCTTCTTGAGACACAGAATTCTATTCCATATAATTCCATACTTGCACAGCAAAACATAGCATAGAGGCTCCATAGCATTGCTTATAGGTGGCTTAATTTGGCTGAACTGAGAACAGGCACAATTCTCCTGCAACTGAGTAGGAGCTTTGTAGTAAAGATCTAGTACTCTTGCACCAGACCTGCGTATTCAAATTAAATTTTCGCTGTTGAATTTCATGGCAGCTTCTGCTTCATGTTTAATTTTAGAGGGAGGAACATTTGATTCTTATTTTTCTTATTTTTGCTAAATTTGTTTTACTGAATTTATCATCTGGCAGAAATTTGAGATTATATGCATGGGGTGCAATGGAGTATTTCGTCTGAACTCGGCAGTAGGAGAATTACACCCATGTAATTTGGCAGTGACAATGCTTAATGTGTATGAAAATGTAATTAGTGAACCGGTAGGGACATACATTTACATTTTAAGTACAGCATGCGCTTAATGAGAATCATAATCATTTGAAGTACCAGTTAACAGATTTTTAACCTGTGTTAGCTGAAATGATCATTGTTAATTTTTCCACTTTTGGATGAAACAAATGTAAAAAGAATATCCAATCAGTAAAGCAATTTGAATCTTAGATATATAATGCATTTAACATATTTATTAAAGATTTAAAATAGATGTACTTGGAGAAACTTCAAAGAAGCACAGTATTTATATGCTGTCATGGCTAAGAAAAAAGATTTTTCTTAGAGATTTTTTTCAGTTACATGAAAATACAATCATTTCCCCCTGCACACTGCCTATATACTTGAAAATGTAGACCCAGATTGTGTTCTCAGGTAACACTTATGTATTATTGAATTTGAAGATACGGAGGCATTGTTGGAAAAGGTGAATTGCACATCAAAAGATTTTGTGTATAAGAGATTGAAGAACAAAATAGTAGGAAGTCGTTAGCCACAGATGCAAATGTTTGAGGCTTATGTGGATACGAAGATACCAAATAGTCTGACTGATTAAATTGTCGTTGCTGTTAGGTGGACTCAAGTGAAGCAGATCTAGTGGAGGAATCCACCTTTGAATCTCCGTATTCCCCAGACAATGATGGTACATTCCAGTCTTCAGTTTCAGCTCTGCATGGCAGCACCTGTGCTGATGATCTGAAGTATAATCTCTCACTACCCTCTTCAACTCCCAAGGTAAAATTGAAAAAAAAAATCATTTGATTGATGTGATAAAGCAGCGTTGAATGTGAAAATGTTTGTCTGGCAGTGTTATCGATGTAAAGATGCTAATGTTGTCATGGTTGGTTCCATCTGTTCGTAGGTTTGTTATTAGATTAAAGCGCAATTTCATTTACGTAGTAGCATTGATTGAACACTTTTCAGACTTTCAGAAACAAATTGTTAAACAGATTGTTTTTTGTATTGTTGAAAAGACAGTATAATTTGGCTGTGATCCATTAAACTATTGTTCAAATGAATCTAAATAATTATGAGATATTTTCAAGGTTTACGTAAAAGTAATGAATATTTCTGCATGCGTAACAGTTCAGCATGAAAAAACTGCCCATTTTCTCAATTTCTGTAATTGCAAGCAATTAGTTACTCTGTTTCGTTGGCAAGTGAGCTCTCAAAATGATACAAAAATTAACTCCAAAGTAGCAACAAAATGTTAGAATTTTATTAGATTAATCAATAAAGAAGCAGTTTTAAAAGAATAAATGTATCAATCCCATACCCATAAAAATATTCTTTCTTTTGCTTGATGGTGTCTTTGATTTTCTCTCCCATGTTAGTTTTTCCCTCCATTTCTTGGCAATCTGTCATTGTTTTAGAAAAAAAGCTTGAGTCATTCCATGTGCTTCTCTTAATACTCATGGTGGACCTGGCATCATCTTTGCTGGTAAAGCTGATTCATTTTCTTGGTTGGTTTGCAGAGTATATTCTTGAAAAGAGGAGATACTCTTCTTTCACACCTGAGATTCACCAGCTGGCTATATCCCTTCTGGAATGTATTTCAGCCTTACTGGCCATGGGGCTGACAGCCGGAGTTTATCTCCTAATGGAATTTCCTAATCCACAACAGAATGTACCTTTGCTGTGCCAATGAGACAGATTGCGTTGTTTAACTTAGTAATTGTTACTTAAAGGGATTAGGCAGAGTGCATGCTGGGAAATGTGCATTCTGCAACACATCTGGTCCTCTAGAAGATGTCATATTGGCATTTCTGAAGTTGCTCTTTCTCTCTCATTTATCTTCTAGGAGGATATGAGTAAAATCCTTAAACTCAAAATTTCAAGTATTGTGTATTTCACTTTGCTGAGATAAAAATACCTGCAGAAAAAAAGAGGCCTTGTGGCTCTGTGGCAACAATCCAGCAACTTTTATAAGTGTGTGGAGATACTTTGCTGTTCATTTCAGGGAGCAGAGATATAAGTAGAGTAACAGCTATTTTTTCTCCTTACTTAGAAGAGCACAAGAAAACTCCCTGTGTGGTGATTTGGATCATGGATCCAAGTTTGAACCAAAATGAATGCAATGTAATTAGCTACAGTTGTAAAAGAGGCCCATTGTAGTTTTGCCAGCCATTTTTTAACGTACAGAAACATTTGATGAAATGTCACCTTAAAAATAATATGGGTATTTATTTTGCTGATATTTTAACCGTTAATCTGTTTTTAATGGTATTTTTACTAGAATGTGATATGCCTTTTATGAATTCATTAGTTCTGTTAAGATGAGGTCAGTATGCTTTTATTGTTTTTACTGTTTTACTGATACTTGAGTTTTGTGTTGTTATACTGTTCTTATATATTTATTGTTGTAACCTGCCTAGAGAACCATGTGGCTAATGAGTGGGTTAGAAATCAAATAATAAAAATAAATACATTGATGAACTCATATGAAAGCAGGGTTGGATTTGATGATCTTATAGGACCCTTCTGACTCCCCTCCTCTTGTTCTGTTCTGTTCAAATTTAATTTAATAAATAATGTAAAAATACTAATGTGCTATCTCCTCTCTCCTGGCTGCTCCCCTGTCGTAGCCAGATTTTTTACAAACTTTAATACATTCAGTAGGCCTCATTGTTTAACAAACTTTGTAGCTTCCTACAAAAATAGGAATAAAATATATTTAAGATTTAAAAAATAACTGTCCTAGTTTAAAAATAAAAATGTAACATTGAAATTCTTTTTGTCTTGTTTGATAGACTGTTTGCAGAGAAGGTTCAAATGCCTCAAACAGTTATCGGCTATCCGACCAAAACTTGTACACTGCAGATCTAATGGAGAGAGGAACAGAGAGCAAATCTTCCACAGAGGTTTCTGTTGAAGAGCCTGCTGGATCTGTTTCTGTGAATCCAACAACACATTCTCCTAAGAAACAGGTCGAACATGAAAATACGAGCACATGGAGAGAGTCTCGAGTAACAGCTGAGGTCTCACACAATGCCAACTTAACTTCCAGACTGCCACCTGATTCTGCTGGAAAAGTAAGGATTTCATTGTATTTTTGATGAAGTAATATTAATCTGTTATCATATCCCAATCAGTCTTATTGACCTGGCCAAATTGTGGAATAACAGCCTGTCCCTGGCCATCAGCATGCCTTTCATGACCTTTCAGTAGTGCAGAGTTCCCTTGATTAGGATGAAATCAAATGCCACTGAAGCAAATGGGTAGTCGCATGGACTGCAAATACCATTCAGCTTGTGGCATAGACCTGTTTTAAAGAACTGTGTTACAGCTGTCAGCAAAACATCTCGAACTTACTGTCCAGCAGAAATCTTCAGTACGTTGCTAAATCAAGGCTGTCTTTGCAAGAAGATCCTAAGTGAAGGGATGGGTTTCTAGGTGCACGGTTTTTTGGCACCTTTGCTAATCTGCCACGTGCAGCAAGCAATATGAGTTTGATTCATATGTGGATAAAGCATCTGTGTGGTTGTGAACCAGGGCACAGAACTTGTTTCATCCCAAAGTCTAAATTCAATTTTAGAGATGCTCTAACTAGCTACATTGCAATGGTGGGTGGAGCCCAGAGCAAAGGGGACAGGGCCAAAATACAAGGTCTGCTGACATCCCTCACGATCAGTAGCTAAACCTTAGGAGAGGCATTTCAACCTGTTAGAATGAGGAAAAAACATGCAAACATGGGAAGCCACCAAATGGTGGTCAGGTGAAAGGAGGTGGGAACAGAGAAAGGGGGTATGGCCTTCTGGGGAACACTAGCTAGGTAGCTAGATTTGGCCCATGAACATCCCTCAGCCTAAACTGTGGCATACAGTTAGCCATATACTCCCACCTGCTCTGCTGTGTTGGAGATCCTTATTGCCTCACTGCAGTGAAAGTTGTATGCATGCTGATGTTTTAGCACTGAACCACCATGTTACTTAATTTTTTTCCTATAACTCAGTATGATTAATTTAAAGAGGAATAAAAGCTTTGTAAGCAAATTAGAAACACACATTTTCTTATTACACGAATGCCTAGCAGATTGGGAACCATCTGTAATTTGTAAATCATGCAAAATCCAATAATGTTTCCCAGTTACTTGCTGTTATGAACTAACACTTATTTTCTTCTTATCAGGATCCGGCATTCTTGATGGAAAATAATAGTCTAACCCATGCTGGGAGGTGCTCCACAAGTCTAAATACAAACAAAAACAAGTTTGAGAAAATTATTACTATTGCAAAAGGCAATTCAAGTTTAGGTAGTGTATCTAACTTGACTCTGTGCACCCTTTTTCTGTTGATATTCACATTTCTACCGTGTTGTCCCCAGAAGAGAGCTATATAATACCAAGCCTCATGCTGTTTAATTTGAAATGTGTATGTTTTGGTATGCTACCCCAGATTGTGTGATTTCACTGACGGGAGCGTCTTATGTTATGTTATGTTGTTTGATTTGTACCTTGTTTTTCTATTGAGAAAACTGTTAACCAAGGCAGATCTCTGCAGGATCTGAGGTAGCTGAGCAGTGAATGAACTCTGACATATAGAAGAGCAGTTACGATTCAGACACCCCCACGTGTATCCTCCAGATGGCTTTGGCTTAAACTCCCATCATCCCCAGCCATGTGACCTTTGGCTAGGATGATGGAAAGAGCTGTCCAGCATATCTGGAAGTTGCCAAGTTGGAGAGGGCTTGATTAGATAGCATTAGATTATATTCAGTATAATGCATCTTCATAAATTCTCATAAGGCACCCCTTAGATTGTGAGCATTCTGTGGGCAGCCTGGATCTTAAATGTCTGAATTTAAGCTATTATGTTAAATAAATTTGCACTTTCCCTCTCTGCTGTGAGCAGGTATCACAATTAGTTATGCCCCCCCAACCCAGGAAGGCCAAAATCTTTGTGTGTGTGTGTGTGTGTGTGTGCGCATGACTCCTTCCAATTTATCCTTTTCCTTCACCTAGGACAGAGGCTGTGTATCTTCCTCCCTGCAACTCTTCTAGGCCTTAAATAGTTTTTATTTTTGTCTGGTTCTTACCTTTTTTGCATTTGTTTGTTTATTTGCAAGATTTGTAGGTCACTCTACTTTTAGTAAAAAACAATCTCCAGAATAGGAGAACTGAAATAGCAAATTCAGTTCTTTAATCTTAGATTGTGTCAATAAAACTGCAGCTAGTTATTCACACTTTTTTAAAGAAAAATATCTTTGCAGGTGCTGCCATCAACAGGCAGGGAGTTCCACAGATATGTATCAGTTCTTTCTCTTTTCCTCAGCCTCCTTTTTTTAAACCTTTGTAGTCCATCTCTATTTCTCCACTCACTGTTGTTGATGATGTTCCCACTGGTGGGAAAGAGAATAAGCCTACACAATAGAAGAGGAGCTGGGAAGCTGAGTAAGGGTGAAGAAGCAGAGTTCTTCATGGATTGCTCAAACCTCTGGCAAAGCAGATTTATTGGGCACTTTGAAGGCTGAGCAAAACTGCTGTTGGTGTTCAGTTGTGTCCATCCCACCAGACATCCACCTCCAGGGCTTTCCAAAAGCAACACGAGCAGTGTGCCATCACAGCAGGATCATGCAGATCACCCCAATAACATCAAACCAAACAGCCAGAGAGGCAAAGGCTCACATGGATTATACAAGGATACTTGAACGGCTCTTCTCAGCCACATTTCAGAATTTTGAACAGTTCCTGTTCTTGGGTCTCTGTCATTAAAAACCTACCTTCTCAATACCCTTCACTAATTATGCCAACCATGAGAGAACACCTATTTGGTGCAGGATTTTTCCCCGAAGGTTTGGTGACTTCTACTTCACAGGCATCTCACTCATCCATGCCACCTCTTCCCTTCTGTACAACTCTGTCTTCCTCCTCTGTAGTAGGAATCATAGCTTAATAGCTAACTGCCACAATTGTGGCAGTCTTTGCTTCCATTAAGTTGATCACTAGGCAGGAACTAAAAGACAAGATTTCTGGTGGATCCGTCAGATTCTTCATTACTGCAAAGCTAAAGAGAGAAAGCAAGGGAGAAAAGCCCATCCGTAAGCACTCTGGATGGAGATGCAGGCCTTGAGCCTACTTCCTTATAACATCGTATTTATCAACTGAGTCAGCGGATGCATCACCTGACCCCAGGGATACAGCAGGAGGTCCACATCACACTTCTATGTGGATACCAGTCTGGCACCACAGTCAGTCATTGATTCTCCACATGCCCAGGATTCCTCTGAATAGGAGGAGGAGGAATCGTCTGACCCAAGTCCCTCTGAGCAACTCGTTTTTCAATATGAAGGGAACGTACAGCCAGGACTGTGGACTGATCTGTATTGTCACAATCAGAATGTTGTTCTGGCTTTTAGGAGTGTTTTTCTATTAGAGTAGTGGGAAGAAATCTAACATGTTCCTATTTCTTTTGGATTATGTTTCTTCCATTCAGTCAATAACTTTGTTACAATATGGCCTCAGATCTCATTAGTCTAGTAACCTCAAACTAAAGTATGACTGGTAAGTAGGCTATGGTACAGTTTGGACTAAAACCTCATAAAACTGTCCAGACTACCTAATAATAACCTTTTAAGTTTGCATCCTGTATCCTTTTGCCTGGGAGTAGGCCCTATTTAGCCCAGTGAGGCTTATGTCTGAATAGATATGTATAGGATTGTGCTGTCAAACTAGTCTTACTGCATCATTATAGTGCAATACCCAGAAAACCCAAGTTCGAAGAAGGATTTTACCATGGACAACTTCCAGGAAGCAGAGAAGCCAGGGCCATTTTCCTGTCTGGGGAGAAATTTAATATTATTAACTTACTTGGACTGAAGTTGCAATAATTTCTTTAGCCATATCAGTTTTTATTTTTGGGGTGTTTAAGAGGCAGGGTAACTCTGGAACCATGACTGTCAGCGTGACTATATTCGCAGGGAAATATGCATAAATTCTGAGTTGAATTTTTGTCCGCATAGGTTCATGGTAAGAATTGTTCTTGTTACACACACGGTAAACTAATCTTTTAATTATTCTTTCTTAAAGGGATGACCGTAAGTTCCAGTAAGGATGGCTCAGGAATGATAGTCCGCAGCATTATCCATGGTGGTTCCATAAGTCGTGATGGACGAATCGGTGTAGGAGACTATATACTGTCTATTAATGAGGAACCCACCACTAATTTAACCAATGCGCAGGCACGAGCCATGCTGAGGAGACATTCTCTTATTGGACCAGATATAAAGTATGTGGAATCAAATACAGATTGGTTGACATTCAAGAACTATACTTGGGTAGTGGTAGTATTGAAACAAAGGATGCTTTATTCCAGATCTGTATTTAGTTTAGTGCCTTTAGAAATGAAGTGCCAAATGCATGATTTTTAAATGGATAGACCAAGTTGAAATTGCCTGTGTGACTCTACTGAACAGCTAAGCTTTTGCTTCTCAATCAACCAGCAGATTTTAATGAGCATTCAAAGACTGAAGTCTTAATATACCAGCTCATCTTGATAGTCCATTTGTTTCAGCCTTCAGGGCACCAGTACACACACGTCATTCACCAAAATGTTTTCTTCAGTGCAGAAAGCAGCTTTCTGTATGCATGTTTTCGAGCCGCTGTGGGGAACATTTTTCAGCCTAGAATTCAGTTGTACAGACGCTCTTGGGGTTTGCATCCTAGTGGTGACTGGGACTGAAGGCAAAGTGAGCAGGACCTGCCAGCATATTGTAACTTAATATGCTGCCAGTAACTAAGCATTAAGGGAGGCATTTCGACCTGCTATAATGGGTACAATTTGAGAAACTCATGATTGACAGTTGGACAAAGTGGGTGAGCGCAGAAAAAAGGGATCATAACCATCTATGGACCCCAGAATGGCTGCATTTGGCCCCTGAGCCAGAGTTTTTCCACCTCAGCTTTATAGCAGCTTGATGCCCTCCTGTCGTATTTGGATGGCAGGTTGCTTGAACCCCAACTGACTTGTATGTCAAGTCAGTTGCCCAGAGCTCCTGTTGCTTTGTAATAAGGGGATGTTTTGTTGGTTCATCATTTCTAAGATGTTTTATTGCCCTTGATCATTGCTCTCAGTCACTGCTCAGTCATATCTATTTACTATTTAATCAAAGATAGAGATTTATATCCTTTTGGTACAGAAAATCAGAATGTTTATCTACCATGGGAGCAATGCTGCCTTTTTGCAGAACATAGAGTGAGTAGCAGTAACAGGGCAAGAGGAAGGCCTAGCCTGGATCAACTTTTCCTTGCCTTCCCCGTTCTCTTGCCTGTTAGTAATGACAGCAGACAAGGAGAGCTGTCCTCATTGACCACATAATATTACTTTCTGTCCTCCCTGTTCTCTTGCTGGTTTCTGTTCCTTCACATGAAGTAGAATGTTTCCTGGATCCTTTTGCACATGCGTCTTACTCCTGCTCCGGTACTGGATCCAACTCTCCTGCAAGTTGGAAATTCCCTTGCACATTTCAGCTCATGCAACAAGACTTCTTTGCCTCTATAGTTCCCCATGCATTCCTCAGATCTGCTCTGAAGTGCCTCCCAACCTCTGGAACAGAATTGGGGTGCATGCAAGGCGAAATTAATTCTGCCAGCCGTTTTTTTCAGCTGGTGGAATAGCATCTATAATACATTTTGGTGTGTCCTCATGGGACCTGAGTTGCACAAAGTGGAAAGAAGTACACTGCTTTGTTGTGCTGGCATGTGGCTGGATCCTTTCCACCTTGCACTCCATGGGGAGAACACACAGTTGTATATCTCACATGGCTGAAAACATTTTTTCAGGAAGATAAACTTGGAAACTTGTTGGAATGTTTAAAGGTTGATATTTCTTTACAACAAATTATTTTCTTTTAGGAATATTTCAATAGTAAAAAAGTTGCTAATTACAGAAACTATGACACATGACATTAAGTCAGAATAATAATGTTATAAATTATAAATCTCAGTACATCTTTGACAAATATCAGGAAAACAGTATTTCATTTATTTAAATTTATATTTCACCCTTTCTTTGAGACATAGTGTAGGGTACCATGTTCAAAAAAGATGCATAAACATATAAAGAAGCAGAATATATCCAATGGTTTGCAACTTGCTTATCTGTATTGGGTTTTTTTTTCAAACAGTCTGTTATTTTTAATACATATTACACAATATCTTTACGGGTTTTTCAGGTAGGAAAAACATAGAAATTGGCACTCATTTATAATGAAGTGATTTGATCCACAACTGTTAAATCAGTGTTCTCATTGCCATTCGCGTAATTTGCAGTGAACGGGACCTTGTATAAACAAACATTCTTTCCAGAGCTCTTGAGTTCAGTATAGCTTACATTCCAGCAAGCCTCCTTAGAGTTGTAGCCTGTGCGTTCAAGAGCAGATTCTCAGTTCCAGGTTTATGTGCATGTGTCTTATCAATCTGTCGATCTTCATGCACAAATGCATGCAGGGGTGGGGGGTTTCTAAGCAGAAAAGCAGATGTGTGGCCTCACCAGAATGTGTGGGCTTCACTCCTCACTTCACCTTACATTTCTGTAATAATGTCTAGGGTTTTTGCTTTTAGCAGCAGTTGTAACAGCTGCCTGTAACATCTGCCAGATAATTATCGAGCTGATTCAGAATTCACCTGCCTCGACCGAACGTGTGGCAATGAATCTCTGATCAAGGAATAAAAGATTGATTGCAGTTCCATTTTTCATGCTTGTTAATAATCACCGCTATACACTCCAATAAAGAGCAGATGCTTTCTGATGGGAGGTGTGGATAGAATAGAGGTGGATGGAGTAGGGTGGGGGAAGAGGAAAGAAAATAGGAGTGCACACTTTTAACTATGTGTGTATGAATCTCGCATTCAGCACAAGTCACTGACATTTGTTAATACTATTGTAAAAAGATGCTGCGTCGTATGCTTCACATTCTAGATCTTCTCCAGCACCTGCTGATGATCAGGCCCCCTTTTATGTGTGAGTATTGGTGATTCAAAAGCTCATTACAGCTCTGTGTTCCAACTCTTCTGTTAAATCATTCATGCTTTCATAACATCTAAAGTAGCTGGGATATATCCAGATATAGGTGCAGCACTCCATACACAGATACACACAGATGCTTTCATCCAATTAAAGTCTATTAGTAGGACTGATTAGCTGATTAATTACCCAATTAAATTAAATATTTGAATATATAGGTAGTGTTTTGGATGTTGTTAAATAGGATTGTCAAATGAATTATTGCTGGAGGAATTTGTTTTAAAAGGGGAGCGCAAGTTTAGGATTGTTTACATGATGTCCGTCTTCAGAAAAATTGGTCAGCCACCTGACAGGTATTAATCGGTGTCAGGCATCTCTGTACGTAGTTGGAGTATATGCAGTGCAACCACATTGCTGAAGCTAAGCAGGTCTGGTTCTGGGCAGTGGATGGATGGGGGGCTACCTGGGAACCCGGTGCATATCCCTTGGTGGTCTGTGATGGAAAAAAGGAATCATCCCCTTTCAGCTTCCAGAAAGCCTAGTTAATACTGTCTGTTGGTTTCAGTATCCTACCTTCCACTTTACCTAGTTATGTAGGTCTCATATATAGGATTTTGCTTTCTGGGCAATAATGATACTTCTCATCAGCAGTAAAAAGGCTACGTTAAGGACTACTGCTACATCTTCCCATGCAATGACAGTTCAGCCTGCATAAGGGCAGAGGGTTAGGGAATCTGTACTCATGGGGCTGTTTCCATTAGCTGTCTGATTTGGCTCTTTCCATCTAAGACTGGAAATGATGCAACCCAATCACTTAAGTTTTCAAGGAATGCTTTAGCTCCTGACATTGCAGATTGTGTGTTTCATCTCACAGATTGGACATTCTGCATTAATATATTTAATCTGATTTTATAATGCAGATTTTCAGCATTGCATGCACCTATGTATATTGCAATACCAGTAAAATACCTTTATTCCACATTTTTGGGATACATTTAAACAATGTCATCTATTCAGAACACTCCCAAGGTGCTAGTCACTGATACAATCATGGATGTACTGATATCTGGATTAATCTCACTGTCATATTTTCTGTGACCTTAATGTTTTACTTTTCTCCATCATGTAACCAAATGAATCAATTTAGTTATCAAAACTGTTCACTGTAATTTGTCCTGAATGTAATCACATATTTTTATATTTGTTATGTTTCCTATCATAGTATGTACAAAAGTTTTCCTGTATGGTTGCTGTATCAAGCATGCAATTTATTTTCTTTTGTATTGCATGCTGCATCATGTTTACACTCCTGTCTGCTCACTTCGTATGGTGTAGGATATGAATCCATCTTTGCTGCTTTCTGCACACAGAGCCAATGGGCAAGCAGTTTAGTCCTTTCTAGCTTTAGATTTGAAGTCTGTTGTAGCAGCTGAGAAATCTAAAGTATGCAGGCTTGTGATCCATCCTTTGCTAGATCCTTCTTCCTAAATTCTCTCTCAGCCAACAGCAAATGCTGTGCATTTTGCAATAGCTATCTAATTTGGCTCTTACTTTCTATCTAAGACAATAATTTGAAAGCTGGATTTCCAATAATATTGCGTCTTTTGTATGGCTACTAGAGTTAGTTTAATTTGGCCATATGGAATGGGGTGGGGTGGGAGGTGTCTGGTTAAATCAGTTTTTTAAATATATTTATCAATCTGATATTATTTTCATTTTCTTTTTTATCACATTCCTTTCTCTTTCTTCTGTTGGCAATATTACGTTTTTATCACAGTGGATATTTTCAAGGAATTCTTTTCACTACATTTATATCACCATTTCTCCCGCCATGCTAACAAGTATTGTTTCTTTCTCTTTTTAAAATGAGACATTTAAAAGGATAGCATTTCAGCCCAAGTGATGCCTGCAAATGCCTGTCTGTAATTTCATTCCTGTTAAGTTGATACATCTATAGTTGGTTTAGAATAGGACAGAGTTATGAGCCATAAGGAATTGTATCTTATTGTAAATCTTCCACATTATGCATCACCTTTCTAGAGCAGGCAAGGTAACATACAAGGAAGAACAGAACAATCAACCCCGTTAAAGTATCTTAGAAACATGAGCATGAGCAGAAAACTCAGCAGCATTAAGGACAGTTTCAGGGGAAGGTATGGTTGGCCACCTATCAAGCGCCGCATGGTAGCAGAGGCCCATTAGCAAGAGCTCTGGAGTTGTTCCTCCTCTCCAACACTGAAATCTGCTTGTTCATCTGCTTCTTACCTGCCCTTCCTCACCAGATAACAGTGGTGGTGAGAAGGACAAGAAGTAGATTCCTCTGTCTGCTTGTCCACGGCTCCCTGACTGTCAAGCAGGCAGGAAGTAGCAGTGACAAGCAATAGCAGTCGGTGGCAAAGGTGGTGAGAAGATAGAACCTCAAGGAAGAAGGTCCATGGGGGCATCTTGCTGGATTGTGTCTGGTGGTGGCTTTGTGCAAGTAGAAAGTGCATCCGCTTGCAGGAGACATCAAGTATTTCACCACTACCACCTTATCTATTGCAGCCCTTCATGTCATATCTCATAGTTTCAGAGGTTCCTGCCACCACCCTGGGAGCAGCTTTTGGGGGGACTGTGTGGGGGTATGCTGTGGGTAATTGGGATTAGCAACATTTGGGTGTCATGTCTTTTGGAAGTGCTTACTCCTAGCAAAAAGCCAATTGAGGGACAATCCAGAAATAAACTCTCTCAAAGAACCAGTACCCATGCTGTGTTTCTTTCATTACCCCTTCGAGTACTAGTGAGTTTTTGTTATTTTTATCGATACACAGAGTCCACCATATAAGACAATATTTTCAATATTTACAGGCTGACGTGTAACCAAAAAGTTCTCAGTTAAGCCCTCTCTCTTTGTCTTACATTCTTTAGAATTGTCACATTTCCACTGAATTCAGAGGGATGCCTGTTAGCTTAAGAACCAAGTAATTTGGCTAAACAAAGTCGTGGATTGCAACCTTAAAATCTCAATAGCTCATTACCAAGCCATTGCCCCAGATGCCTGCAGTATCTTAATTTCATTTTCATGACTTTTTGTTGCAGCATTAGCTATGTGCCGGCAGAGCAATTAGAAGAATACCAGGCCAGTTTCGGGCAGCAGCCAGAAGGAACAACGCCATTAGATGTTTTCTCTTCTCATGCTGTAAGGTAATTTATTATCCCATGTTATTTTTACCAATGGAATTCTGTCCTGATGTGTGTTTATTATAATTAGGGAAATAGCAAAATGCCAGGTGTATTCCTTTTTTCTGTGGTTACTACTTACTCTAGACAAGCATATGCAACTTTTTTTCTGTTTAAAAACAAAGACAGACCTAGATTAGTCACTATGTGGTTTCTTGAATTTCCAGGAAATGATTCCAGTTCTTACAGTGTTGTATAGTTTATGCTTTCCTGAGGCAGCTTTGCATAGTTAACTTGTTTAAGGTGCAATCCTATGCATGTTTTGATAGAGAAAAGGCCTGCATCTGCCATCATGTCCCAGTTTGTTGCTTGCCTGTTTGAACATGCAGAGGATTGTGCTCAGAAGTACATGTGAGTATCTCAAATGTGGCAACCACCACTGCACTAAAGTGTAGTTTCCTGTCTACACATAGTGCACACTCACTTTTAGCAAACAGCTGTGAGTACCAGTGAGAATGGCCCAATGTATGTCCATTATTTCTTGTGGGAATATATCAAATGACTCACTAATTCCAAATGAGAGCTCCTTTAGGCTGTCAGAGTCACATACAGGGTAAATTAAGTCTTCCTGAGGGATATTATCTGGGCGATTGCTGTAGTTTTTTGAAAAATTCTTGCCATGCACAAGAAGTTGTTGTTGCAGGCAGGATGGTATAATTGCCAGAGAGGATGGGGAAATATCCCAAGATGAAAGCATTGTGGCCTAGCTTTTTTTCCCCTGAGTGTCTTCACATTATCATCATAATGCTCTTTTCACTTTCTGGGTTCAGTGCAGCTGCCCTTCTGCCCACAGTTTGTGGGAGGGGGGGTGAGAAAAGGATGGGGTCAGACAGCATGTACCTCCTCAACACATATTGACTGAACACATTTAGGGGAACATGAGCAGAGTGTTGGAGAGAAATAAATTAGGGTTTTCTTTTTGTGGAACAGTGCTACCAATTCACTTTCCTAAGACAATTTAAGTTGAATCTGAAACTCCAGTGTCAAGTATGTCAGAATTCTCATTTTGACACACACTCAGATTGTTAAGAAAGTTTGATTCGTGCTTTGTAACTACTTACATTTTTCAGATAAGGTCCAAATTTGACTGGTAGAACTTGGCTTCTTGCCCAGAAAAACTTTCTTAAGAGAAAGCAAGTACTGATTAACTAGCCTTCACCCATTTTGCTAAAATGAAAATAATTCTATATTCCTGTAAACTGTTCAAGATCCAAAGAATGTGGGTGGTGTTCAACAGGTACATGGGGACTGTTGAGCACCATTGTTCAGCTGTCATTTTCAGCTGGAAATGTTTTCGTTTCAGCCCTGTATAGCCTCCAAAAATTTTCCTCACCTCATGGGCTTTCTTGAATAGCTTCCCATATCTCTCCCCATATTGCTTTCCATATACATGCGGAAACAGTTTCAACTTATTTACTGGACAAGATACTGGGTAATAGTTTATATTTTCTGGATTACAATATTCTTTAAAAGGTACTAGCAAATGCATACTACCAATTTCATTGAGAACTGGTAATCCATTCATAGCACCAACCGGTGCTCAAGTTGCCAGCAAATTGCCAGATACCATGTATCTGGTCAGATGGTCTATCCTTGCATAATTTTACAGTTGCTGTAGGATAATCCTGTTTTATCTTACCTTCCCCTTTATTGCTTGTTTTGCTTTACCTTGTCTTTGTTCTTCTCTTTGTTACATCAGTATTGCTCAAAATGTCAGTACAGATTTTAAATTTACTTTTCCTAAATCTTTTTTACACAGAGTCCCAAGAGTTTAGGAATCCATTTTGATTTCCAGACTGCTAGATCAGAGAAAGTACTTTTTCATTCATGGGGTTGTTTCTTTTTTACTTTTGGTTTGAAACAAGGCTATGATTTCCAATAGACTTCTTATTAATACAGCTGAACAACTAGAAGTGACTTTTGTGGGCTTCAAAGATATGCCGTATGTCCCTTTGTTATTAGCAGAGAAATTCCAGAACTACCAGAACGTGAAGAAGGGGAAGGAGAAGAAAGTGAACTTCAGAATGCTGGCTATAATAACTGGAACCAACCAAGACGGTATGTGCATTTTTGCTACTTTGGTAATCCTCTGGTAAAATGGAATCAGAGGTATATAGCCAGTTCCTCTAATTTTTAATGGTCTGTAACAAAAGACTATTGGATAATTAGAAATTAATGCGCATATCCTGTTTAACTAAAGTGCACAAGATGGTATTCCTTATGCTGCATTTTACTGAGTTGTGGTTAGATACTTAGGAATGCCTTGGTGGGCCCTTTATGCACAACATTTTTCCTCTTCTCCTCTTTCTACTTCACATTACGGGTTTCATCCAGTACTGGCCACAGTGCTGACAGAAGACTTTTGCCAGCAGAGTGACCAGGGGGCAGTTTTCAACAATCCTGCTTCATCTCTGCAGTCCACCATGCCTTCCTTAAAATTGCTCTGGAGGGTTAGGACTCTCAGGAGCAAATTTAGTGGGTGCATTGAGAGCTGCAAGAAGGAGATGGAATCACCGAAAATCACCCCGCATCCTTTCCACTGGCAGATGTCTTCCATTAGCAGAGTGGCCTGCATGGGACAGAACCCTGTGTCTACACTAATGCAGATGCTGACTAGGCAGTCCAAATCCCATTTTGCAAACCTGCTGCCAAGCACTGCTAAAAAACCCTGCTTGGGTGCTACCCAGGATAAAATGTGGGTGCATAGCATCCATACCCAGTTCTGGGATGAAAGGAATGGTTGCGTGGGAAGGGAGGAGAGAAGCGGATGACGTGGGAGGGAGCTTTGAGCTCTTGAGGCATTCCTGATTACATAGTCCTAGTCGGCTAGGGTGACATTTCTTCCAGGGCTGCATATTCAATCTGTAGACTGGTCTCTACAAGTTCTTAATAGATCTCTAGCTTGTGTAATGTTAGCATAGCTACATATAAGAATGAATGCATCAGGCTCATTTATTATGAAGGCTGAATATATACCATTCAGCCTTTTCTCTTTTTTATATACTTGTTGAAATTTCCAACAAGTATATATTTCCAACAAGTATATATTTTTGGAGGATAAATGTACTGAAATACTTGTTTCTGTAGAAACTTCAACCTTCTGTTACAATAATACCTTTCCACTTTTACTTTTTAACAACTTTCAGCAGCAGAAGTTCTTGTATTGTTAGTGCTACTTTAAAAACAAATATCCCACTTGAATTTATCTCACATGCTAGCCTCATTATGTTGGAATAATGAAATATGTGACAGAGGAAAGATGTTGGAACAGTGAAAATACATGGCAGGGAATGTAGCAAGAACCTGAAACAGAGGCACAAACTTCTCAGGTATAAGAAAGAGGGAAGAGGAAATCCACTGAAATGGAAAACAGGATGCAGACATTCATGTATTTCATTACCTAGTTTGATATTTTATACACCAACTTTCTCTGAGAACCTTTAAAATCCACTATGGAAGACGCATTTGAAAGGAGCACTTAGTTCTATCTACTTAACTGTAGTTGTTCTGAGAAAGAAATTCCAAACTCTTATGCTTCTGTAGTTAAAAACCAAGAGTTGAGGCACTTCTTCAGGGTACTGAAAGGGACATATATTAACCAGCTACATGACCTGATTTTGGTTAATCCAGGAGATGTGGTTCCATAAAGTGACTATATGAGAATACCTAATAATGCTGTACTTCCATGGAGGGTGCAGGCCTACTGAACTCAGGACATCCAATGTGAGGCACAGTGGCAGCAATCTGTTGTGAGCTGAGCACTCCCTGCAGTAACAGACTCACCAGCACTTCTTGCTAAACATCTTTATTGTACATATAACTCTCTGAGCATACACAAAGCAAAAAGTTGAACCCTCTCTGGCCCCATTCAGCCAAAGCTTTGTTTATGAATCCTTCTGTGTGAGTCTCAGGAGAAAGGAACGCTGTGGAACTGGGTACATCTTTGCTCCTCTCTCCAAGATCCTAATTGGGTTCTGTGACCATGGACCTTTGGATCCACCTCCACAGGAGGCTGGGGTTCTCCATCTGAGAGACTCCCTATCTCTAAACCCCCCCCCCCCACCAGGAATTCTTCGTTCCGATGGGTGGGTTGACTAGGCTCCATGGCTGCCCTTGAACTAATCTCTTCCCTAGCAGGAACAGATGGGTATCCAGGGCCTTGGACTGCAGCTGGAGCGGCATCCGTTTCAACAACCATCTCGTTATCAGCCAGAGCTGTCATGCCTGCCATGAGAGACCAACTCCCCTTCGTACAGCTCATTCTCAGAGTATGAGCTGTCAGTTCTGCCAAAATGGTCAGCTTCTTGTGCATATCTGGGAATCTTGCCAGAACACGCACGCACAACACAATCTTTGCCTTGTCTTGCATCCTGCACATTATCTAGATGGTGGTTTTCAGCTGTCCAGATAAAGGAACAGAAAGGGGGAGGGGGTTGGGACACTAGCTGGAATTGGTGCAGTTCCACCACCCCAGCCTCCTGTGTTCCCCACCCCACCGTGCCCCTGGTCCCCCGACCCCAGTGGCTCAGCTGTAATGTCAGTAAAGGGCAGCTGGCAGTGAGAAGCAGGTAGAGGCTTGAGGTCAAGCACCAAGGTCAGAGGTCAGACTTGGGTGCTTGGAGTTCTGTGGTCTCCTAGATGATGTCAGCAAACCATGAGATCGTGCCCCTTAGACACTTAAACTTGAAGTTATTTGACTATTTTTTTAAAAAATAGGAAGAAATGTGCTCATTGAAATAATGCACGCATAAAGTTAAGTTGCTTCTTCATGTGTGCACAGTGAGGAGAGTAACATAAAAGGCTTTCCTACAGTCCATAGCGATGGCTATGAAGGAAACAGCCTTCTCTGTAGTGGCCTTTCTGGGGCATGCCCTTCTTAGGACGATCTGCATGGAGCCTTCCACAGTCTACATTCATATGCCAGGTTTAGGTCCCCCACTTCCAGCCAGCATTTTATTTTTCAAGCTTTTGCTTAACTTTATTGCTGGCTCTTCAGTGTAGTGATATTTTCATTGCTGCATTTATTGTTTTGGGTTTTTTTTTAATTCTTACATACTCTAGAGAGGTGTGAAGAATTTCTTTGGAGGGTGGGAATCGGTTGGATTCCCCGGACGCAGTTCCCTGGGTTCTGCTCTGCTTTACTGCAGCCCAGTGTCTGAACGCCTGATGAGTGCGCCGGCGCTCCTGGGGTGTTTGCCAGGAATCGAGCCCTATGCGCTTGCACAAGCAGCCCCCCTCTTCTGCGACTGCCACCAGCAGCACCAGATGAGAAACAAGTTTGGTCACTGGGAATGGCACCTGGTGCACCTGCTTGTGGTGCCCCCTTTCGCAGTGTTAATGAGCTGCTGGGAAGGCTGCCAGTTGTACAGCCAAAGGTTTGCAAGCTTGTGGGCTTCCTCTTGGCTTGGCTCACTTTGTAGACCTGGGCCAAGCATGAGAGGAAGTCCATGCTATATGGATTTTAATGAATAAAGGAATACTTGTTACTGGAAAACAGTTCGTACTCTGAGGGGCAAAGTTAAAAAGTAGATTTTGCAAGGCTTGTGTACACTGGGATAACCATTTTATGTAATTATCAAGTAGTGTGGTCAAACCTCTACAGGACTGGGTCACTTTAGATTGCAGGAGGATGGTACTGCATCAAAAATAACAAACTGCACATAGAAAACAGTTCTGTGTGGCAGACAATGCTAGAATTAACCCCATCTCCCTGGTATGCTAGATTTATATATGCAAGGAGGGGTTCTGTTGTTGTTTTCTTTGGAAAGCAGTCAGCCATGCAGGGACTGAAGTGGTACCATGCAGGAGGAGTTTGACCACTTGATTCCTCCGATGACATAAAATGTCCAAAAGCTCCCAAAGAGTAGGGCAGGACAGATTAAGGAGCCTGGTGTGATTGCTAGTACAGCTAGATCCCTGTTGCCTCTCTTTTTCAAATCCACTTTGCTGTGTCTCTTCATGATGACGGGCGATGAAAGGCTGCCCTCCCGCCCCCGCCAAGGAGTGCAGATCAGTGCGGTGGAGGTGTCTGTGTGTCTCTGCCCTGGTTTGCTTTCATGACGGTGCAGTGGATCTGTGAGCCAGTAGCAAGGACTAGGAGTGTAGTTAGTGTGCGCTCTGCCTGTCAGGGTCTTTTGCTGCCATGGAATACTGCGTGAAAGACGTCCAAACCAAACTCTGAGCCTGAATACATGCTCCTCTTTTCCTTTCATCTACATTTTCTGGCCCAAGGTGTTAATGAGCACAGTACCCCGAATCATTGATGCCAATTTTGTTTTATTTACACTTGAACGCCCTCAAATGGTTTGTGACAGGAAGGCTGGCTCTGACAGTGTTTCAGGGAGCGTGACCGAGCACCAAGTCGTACAGTTCCTTTGATGTGGTGCTGTCATAGCAAAACCACAGCAAACTGCCAACGGCTGGCCCCGTGAATGATCCTTTCCATGTCAAGATTGTGGTTCTGATCGGAGCCATTTGCTGAAAGCTTTCCAGGGTGTGGTTTGAAGAGCAGTGTGGTAGCTGGTCTGCAAACTGCTGGCTATGAAACTGCTCTGGGTGTCGTTCCCCCACAGCCCTCCCCAAGTTTTCTTATTGGCAGGACTTGGGCTAAAATGCTTAAACAAGTAATTGCGGCGGGGGTGCTGGAAGGAGTTACTGCTAAAAATGAAATGTGTCTTGGGAGCATGGCTCTGTATCATGCCACAGATTTCATTTTAAGCATCTTCAAGGGGGAAACATTTTTTTTTTAAAGTTCTAAGAAGTTGGGCCATTCATGCCCGTCTGATTTTAGCTTCATTGTTGTCAATAAATAAATAAATAAATAAATAAATAAATAAATAAATAAATATCAACCCAGTACTTACATGTTTTCTTTGCTAACCCCTTAACTATTTTAGCAGTTATTAATTTTGCAATTTTGGAAATTGACTCACAATGCACATTCTTACACAAACATTTGAACTCACAAAAATGGTTTTGGATGTAACTGGCAAGGCTCTGTAAAAGATGCAGAGTTGTAGTAGAGATATAGTCTGTTCCTTATATATTTGTCATTATAGGGTTGAGCTCTGGAGAGAGCCTAGCAAGTCCCTGGGAATCAGCATTGTTGGTGGACGGGGAATGGGAAGTCGCCTGAGCAGTGGTGAAGTCATGAGAGGAATCTTTATCAAGCATATTCTGGAAGACAGCCCTGCTGGCAAAAATGGAACCTTAAAAACGGGAGATAGAATAGTCGAGGTATCAGCTTGCTTTTCACTTACCTCTATGGACTTAAACTATAAACGTATTTTTCCACAGGTTTCAGTGAGTATGCTGATTGTTTTAAGGGGATTGACTTCTAGACATGGAATGCATTTTATGAAAACAGCCCATAGCATGATGGAAGTACATCTGATGAGTATATTTGAGTAAATTTGGGAATGCATGGTTTGTATCATGGTTTCTTTTGACTTCTGGAGTCATATATATTCAATTCCCAAGTTCTTAAGCAGTTTCCCTTTTCTCCAGGCTTCTCAGTGGATGGTTTAATTTTTCAGACAAGCCATAAAAATGAAAGAGGGGAAGTTGATTCTTCCTATGGGACCTCTAGTGCTAAAATTGTGACTAACAAAGAGCATGCTCTATCTTGGCTTCCAGCTTCTGTAGTGACCAAAATATTAATAACTTTCTAGCACTAACATTATAACCTCATTTTCTGTGGATGCCAAAACCAGGCTTTGAAATCTTGTCCTTTGTAGCGGCACAACTGGAGGCCTCCATTCAGGAAGTGATAGACGTTAGACTGTCTGTCCCCTTTTAGAAACAACAGAAGCAACACTGCACTTTAGTTTACAAGTGTTCTTCTTTATGTGCTTTCTACATATGTAAATTAAGCCTTGCAGCAATCCAGTGAAGCGTGCAAACACAATCTTGATTGCAAAGATGAATTATTTATGATTTACTCCCAGAAGTTCATTGCTCACACGTTATGTCTCATCCTGAAAGTTTTGCCCAAGAGAACTTAAGTGGACACATGAATTCAGATACACAGGTCATTAATCTCTTATGGTTTAATAATATTTTGCCTGAATGTCGAGTTCTGAGTTTTTGGAGCACTGCTACATGCACAGGGCAGCAACCCTGGCAGCAGCCCTGTCAGGTAGGTCAGTAGTGTTACCACCACGTTGCAAATAGCGAGTTTGCAGCTGATGGATTATGGTAGCCTAAGGCTGCCTGAATGTTCCGGGATAAGGTGAAGCGGCCCATAATAGGAGTGGGCATAAAGTAGAATTCTAGATGTTTTGGACCACAGCTCCCACCATTCCTGGCCATTGACCGTCCTGGCAAGGGATTCTGGGAGTTAAAAGTAGAAAACATCTGGAAACCTGCCTACTTTCTACTGACTAAGATTGCAGTATCTAGCTTCTGTCCATAGCTTCCATCCATTCATTTAGCCAGCCTTTGCCTTATCAACAGCAGTAAGCTATAGTTTGCATTCAAAGGTAATTAAACCAAAAATGTGGTTTGGTTGCTTAACTCTTGTTGTAGTTTGAATGAAAATGACATTCATGCTAACACAGCAGAGAGCTGATGGTTCTTGAAGCAATCCAAGCCGAGCATTTGTTGGTTCCATAGATGTAATAGAACTAGCAGAAGTGCAGAAGCAGGGTTGGATGCTATACTGTATGTCCATGTTACACAAAAGGTGTATATTAGGCAAAGTTGCATACAAAAATGCGCCTTTTTTGAAACAGTCACAGAACTGCTTTATATTTTGATGGAAACATTTAAGAAATGAAATTCTCAAAGTTTTCAACAAACCAAAATGAAAATTGGAAAAGGAGAAGTTGAGAGATACAGAAATTGACAGAGTAATTCATCTCATATGATTTAAGTCTGCATCTAAGCTAATACCTTTAAACATTTCAATTTATCTAACAATTTACAGTTTGTCCCAATAGCAAAAATGAGTAGAACAAACATTTTAGCAGGGATGTTGCCAAATGATTTGAGGATTTGTTTCTTCTGCACATCCCAGCCTGTCTCTTGCCTGGATGTATCACAACATCTAAGAGCAGAAACTTTCACAGAAAGGACTGTCAGGGAAGCCTTGTTACTGATTTTTGTTTGTCTGTTTGTTCTCTATGAAACAGAATTCAAATGAGATATCTAGAAGTTGCTGACTTTGCTATTTTTAGCTAAATGTACCATTGTGTTAAGCTTAGGCCTTCCAATTTCAGGTGGATGGAATTAACCTCAGAGATGCAAGTCATGAACAAGCTGTGGAAGCCATACGGAGAGCAGGCAACCCAGTAGTCTTTATGGTACAAAGCATTATAACCAGACCGAGGGTAAGCATATAATCTGCAAGGGCACATATGCAGAGCCAAAATATGCATAGACAAATTAAGCAAATATTCAAGCTGCTGTTAATTTAGGGAGGACAACCCTCAGTGCCAACAGCAGAAAATGTTGGACTTGTGGTTAGCCCCTTGACCATGAAATAATTTGAAAACCCATCTAAAAATGAACTTATGAAGAAGTGAAGGTGTTTTTTTAATTCAAAACAAGTGATGGAAACCAACAACACAGCCAGTTTATCAGTGAAGAAATTTGACAAATAGCTACCTGTCTGTAGACATTGTGGGGAGGTTTTAAAGTTCTGAGGATTGTTATGCGTAGCCTTTTTGTTCAGGGTTCATGAAACTGCCCATTCCGTGCACCTGAGGCCCCACTGCACCTTTACACATCCTATCTGGATTCTCTGTCCATCAAGATACACATAGCTGCAGTCTTGTTACAGCCAAATACACCTTTTTGATCTGATGCTTTTTCCTGTGCTGTTTGTTTTGCGGTGAAGCACAAGCCAGGCGTGATGGAAGCTTCCTTTTCTGAACAATATGCAGTTGCCCTTTACACTTTCAGGCATTGCATTGCATGGGCAAAACAAACACTTGTAAAGTAGATTAATATAGTAGCTTGCATCACTTGAAACTAGACTTCCTCTTTGTAGATTCACTGTAAGCTGCATGTTTGATTTACTAGCTGTTTCACAACTTTTGTTTCCCAGCCAGAATCTCTGTATAGCTCTTTATCGTCTTCTGCTCCCAGTGGGCAGAAACTTAATAATCCATTTTACCATCAGCCGACACAGGTAAAGTTGCATGGAGTAGCTTTGCTGAATGTTGGTGATATGTATGCAGGATTTAAACTGATGCTTGTGCATTTGCTGTGGAATGGGCAACTTGTGTTTGCTTTGTGAATGTTTAAGATATAAATGCCTTTAGTTTGTGCTCTTTATTTGACACCTGCTGCTGTATTTAAACCAGGGTCTTATAAGGGGAGTTCCACTGTTTTTTGGTAATAGGCAGTCATACAGAGTGTTAACCATATTGTCTTTTGTTAATATTTAAAATTAAATAGTTAAAGACATTAATATTATTAAATATTTTAAATGATGTTTAAAATCCTATAATATTGGCTTCTGAAGCCAAAAATAGTCATTAGCTTAACAGATGTAGTGCATTTTCCTTTCATTACTGCACATTGTGGATTGAAAATAGTTAAATGTGGTGCTGAGGATAGGGGCAATTGCTCTTGCTCTTTAGATCTGTTTTGCAACAACTTGTTTTGAAGTAATAGATACCTGTTCAGTAGATATTTTCTGTAACTTCTTTGCAAAGACTGAATGTTACAGTGTCCAATATTTTCAGATATTACTTACAACCTTATTTATAAATACTTCAAGCAGGGATCAACAATATGAAACTCCTGGGCATACTAAGGTCTCGCCAGACAGCTTCCTCCCCACCCACTGGATGCACCAAGTTGATTCTTGTTACTGCTGCTTCTCACTGTCCCTACAACTCACTGTAGGGACAGACAGGAGAGAAAAGGCTGAATCCCAAAATAAACGCCCACCTACAGGCCTGAAAAATGACAAATGTGCCCTTGGGCATGTAAAGGTTGCTTACCACTGGCTTAAATCATATAACTTAGTCTGTTGTTTTTGTTGTTGCTTGTGTTGTTGTTTTGCCTTGCTAATTGTAACTGCAGTGGCTTTGCATAAATATCTGACCATTCTGATCCTTATTTATTTTGTCTAATATTGTTTGCTTCAAAATAAGCTGGCATAGGATTGGTTAGGAGATTGAAGATTGTGCCACGGACACTGGCAAATTCGCCTCCTTCCCTTGAGCCATGCAGTCCTTCTCCCAGTCTTCATGCGTGGGAATCCCTGCCCACTTCAGTGACTGGGCTCAGACAGTTAGTAGAAAAAGAGTGTAACATTCATCCACGGCAGCCTTTTCCCCCTGCCCTGGCACATGCTAGGCACCATCAGATCGGGTGTAGCTGCAGCAGGGGTGGCTTCGGAATCACCCCAGAAGCCACTGTAGGGTTCTGGGGTAGTTTTGAAACTCCACCATACGGCAGGTTTGAAGGTCTAGTGCCGCATGGGTAAATTGGCAAATTGCATGGTGTGTGCCTGGCACATCTGGGGATAGGGAAAGGAAGCCATGGTGGCTTATTTTCCTCCTGATTGTTTGAACCCAGCCAATGTCTGAATTAACCATGGTATCAGATTGCATTCATGCCAGTATTAGCCATGACTGGGCCAGAGCACAGTTTACAAACCCAGTTCCAAGAATGGCTACAAATTATGGCTTGGAGGTAACTATGATTATCAAGGAGGAGCAGGCTTAATATTGTGCCCTGATTAGCTCAAAAAGTGGGAGGAAGGAGTTTTGTCAAGTGCTCTTGACTTCGCACATTTTTCTGTTCTTCTCTGGATATCAGTGCTCTGTGAGGGCTTGTGCTGTGGTAGCAGCGAGAGGCCAGTCCTCCCATTGCACTGTAGAAATGATGCAGGTACGCACTTCCCTTTGTAATTTGTAAAGAAATATTAGGAAGGATGCACGTGGAAGCCCACGCCCATGCCAAATGAATAAAGTCCCAGAGAGACTCCATAAGCAAAGAGCCTCATGAATAAAGCTTGAACGTGTAACCTGCTTCTAATGAAATGTGTTATCTTTGTGACACTGTACGGTGACACGGAATTGCTCTGTGGATTTTAGTCTGTGCCCAGTGGTCCACACACACAGGCCAGCATGTGATGTGGGTCAAGTGGTGGTCAGGCATATGTGGCTGTACCCGAATGTATCTGCCTTTTGGTTAGCAAGTCCCTTTCTGCTTCTCTTGTAGAACCTTCCCATGCCTTACCTGCAGTACAACCCCTTCAGTAAGCCTCCTACCTTCAGCAGCACTAACCCTTTTGCTGATCCTCTGCAGCTCAACACTAACAAGGTTGGATGATGCTTATGTGTTTGTGGTGCACTCAGTGAACATTTATGTGTTTATCTTTTCTTCCACCGGGTCTATATCCTCAACGTTTTGAACACAAACTTTCCTAAACTTGTGTCTTGCTTGCAGCTACTAAAATACTTGCTACCAAATGTCATAAAAAACCAAAAATAACCTCCCTTGGTCACTCGAAGGTGATGACCTGCAGTACCATTTTAGCATAGTGGTAGTGAGTTGGACCAGGTGCTACCTGGACACCATGCTTTGAGTTTAGCATTTGGTGGTTCATAAAAGCTAGAAATCCTCATTGTGTCATTTCATATGTGTCAGTAGGATTAGGAATTGAATTAAAATGACCCACTGACTCTAAGTTGAGTAGGTGGCAGAATGAAAAGAGTTCTGGTGCTTTTGAAATCACTGACAGAGATACATTTGCTCCCTTCCCCCCACACCTATGAATTATAGAGATATAAAGAATATAGATAATAAATGATTAATAGCACAACCCTGTAATATTGTACAGGGAGTTAGCTTTATTGAAAAAAGTAGGATTTAGTTCTGACTAGGGTTGGGCTGAACCCTTTTGGAATCCATCCCTCTGGCATCCTCGGACTTCCTCTCATGCTCAACCTGGGCTGCAGAGTGAACCCAAGGAAGCCAAGAGGAAGTCTGTGAATGCTTGTGGAGCCCCGTTTGTGCAGCTGGCAGCCTTTTGCATCAGGGGCAGCTGCCCAAAGAGCAGCTGCAGGATGTGGAAGAGGAGCATTACTAGTGGTCGCTATAGGTGCCATTCTGGCAACACCTGGCAGACCGCCTTCCGTGCCTGATGCTGCTGATGGCTGAGGTGCTGAGCGCAGGAGAGGGGTGCTGCTAGAATTGCACCAGGCACAATTCCCAGTGACAGACTTCTTCCCTGCCTGGCGCAGCCATTGGCAGCAGCGCCAGGTGTGGAGGAAGGGGGCTACTGGCACAGCGGGTGGGGCTTGATTCCTGGTGAGTGCCCGCAGATGCTGGAAGCACTCACCAGGAACTCGAACTCGGGGCCAGCGCAAAGAGGACCAGAATCCTGGGAGCCAAGCCAGGGAATCCAATGGATTCCCATCCCCCAATGGATCTCTTGCACACCTCTAGTTCTGAGTAGACATGTACAAGATTGTACGGTATGTGGGTTTTATAGGTATATGCCTCTTTGAATCACTAGTTGTTAGGTTGCCTTTGTTCCTTCTCCCATGCCCAGTCACAGTTCCATTAGAGGCGATAGCGTGAGATACAAGTAAAATTGAGGTAAGCTTGCCTTCCACCCACCGTAGCAGGCAAAGATTGGATTTGAGCCATAAATTGTGACTGCAGATCCAGCTAAGAGAGATAAATGGTGCCAAGAGTTTCCATCCCCCACTGTGCCCTGTACAAAGTATTGTCTTTGGTTTGTTAACAATGCAGTGAAAATGGAGGAGCCACAGCTCCAAGCTCCTGTATTCAGGTACTGCTGCCTCCAGGTAGATGCATCAGTGGACTGACAATACAAGGCTGACTGTTTTGTGACTTAATATGGCATACCATAACTGCTTATAATTCCGTCATTGCATCTGTACTGAGTAATAAATAACTAAAATCACTAATTTGTCAAATTAGAACTCCACATTGCTTTTAAGAAACCAAAATGGCAAGGCCAGTTGCTTAGGTTCCTAAAATAAAGACCTTGCCCTCCTCAAGATAAAGATCTACTTTTCTCTCCCAAATAGAAGTAGGCGCATAATGGTTTCATGGTGTATGGTTATTTAATTAAATTTTAAATTATCAGGGGACAATTTAAAGCCTTTGCTGGTGCTTATTGTATAGTGTGTAAGCCTAGAGATTTTAATAATAATAATAATAATAATAATAATAATAATAATAATAATAATAATAGAGATGAGCAACCATATTAGACCCTTTCAGGAATGTTGTTATCACTGTATGGTTCAATATCTTTATAAAGTTTTATGTGAACTTAAATCCACTATTTAAGAGTTTCCTGAAGTTGTTTGTCACCAAGAACACTGTAATAAACAGCCTACTGTTTTCTGTTACCATAGGACATGCAGAATCCAATTAGATTTACTTCCAGTTGCTCACCCTGTAATCCTTTTGCTCCTACACCATTTAAGGTTTGTCTTAATTTGTAGTTATTGTCATAGTCAGTATGTGTGTCAACACTCCTTGTGTGCTTTCTGTCCATCATCCCTCAATTTGGCCCTGGGATCATTTCAAAAGAACCACTTAACTCCTTCCAAATGCAACTGCAGAAGATTCAGAAATTGTTGTGTTTGACATGAGATACCTAACTTCCCTAGAAGTTTACTTAGAGACGAAGGACTTTCCTGTCTTTGTTGAAAACGTAGGGTCATTAGAGTCTCTTCCCATGGCAAAATTTCATTCCTTTTTATATTAGAAGCACTTTACACACGAGTTTTCCCCTTCTGATGATGTTCTCAGCAAGATAAGGATCATACGGGGTAAACAATGCCACTGGCATCTCTTGCCATGTTGCTTCAGCATACAGATCCTCACCACAGTGGTGTGGCATCTTTCCATGGAGAAGGCTTTGATGGCATGCAGATAACATCAAGAGCCCACACATCCATGTAATTAAACATGCAAGCATGTATATTAAGTATGTGCTCCATTTGTAACTGGTGCAACTCTAGCACTTGGCGGACATTTGCCTGCTTACACGTAGGGCTAAAGTAGAGCGGGGATATAGGTGCTCCTGTCAGCCCTGCGCCCAGCATCCATCCTCACACGCCTGGCCGCCTGTTTACTCCTTCGTGTATTGAAAGAGGAGCTCTCAAAAGGGCTGTGTCAGCACATTCAGGCAAACCTTTTCAGATCTTGGCTCTCAACGGGTGAAGTGGGATATTGGGGACAAGGCCTATGAGCAAACTCATGCCTCTCTCTCCCCATTTTAGCCATTTATGCGAGCTGGCAAATAGCTGCCTGAGGCTATCCAGGTAGCTGTATCTGAGTATGAAACCCTGCAAGGCAAACTACTTTCAGCTCTTAAGGAGTAACTTGGGTGGTCATTTCCACTTGTTTCAAACGCACGAAATCTAAAGATGCATATGTAGTTGTATGCATTAACTAAGCTGTGAAACTGTCATTTCTCTTACATACTTGCACACGTGTGCATGCAAACAATGGCACGAATCCAGAGAGTAGGTTCACGTGTGATGCCAGGCCATCCTGCAAAGAAGCTGTGCACCGTGGATTGTTTGCAGAACAACCCACAGTGCACCTGACAGGCTGTTACGCTTGCAGTTGGTTCTCCCCCTCCAGTTGCCCCTAGCACACATCCCAGGTGCCTTTCAGCAAATTCTTCTCTTAGGATTCCCTGCTCCCTTGTCACACCAGCTGTGGGCTGGTTGGGTTTTTAGAGTGTGGTTTTGCCTTTGAGGCATCCTGGCAGAAAGTTTTCCCAGCCTTCCTGCACCAAGTACCTGCCAGTACCTGCTCGTATTTCTAATAAAACTGTAACGCTTTTCGTGCCCTTTTCTGTCTTGTATTATCACGCTGCTGTCTTCACTTGTCCATGCTGCTTGATTTGCTCATCCCGTCTCTGAAGCAGTTCTCCTGCTTGCTCTGTTCTGCTGCTCTCTTGATTCCTCAGGTGGTGTTTCTGTTGCAGCCACCACTGTCACCCTCCTCGGCCTCTCAGTGAAGCTGCTTTGTTTGCCCTCTGTGCTGCCTTTGTTGCTTCAGACAAGGACCATCTGTGGAGTTCACAAGTCGTCTCCTCCCTTCCACACACTGTCACCTGTGTCCTGACTTCTGAACCAGTGTTTCTACTGGAGTGCCCCTCCTCCTCCTCCTCCTGCTACACCAACCCTGCAGCTGTACCAGTTTGTTTTTCCCCAGGAGGACCCCCCCCCACTCGTTGCAACCCCCCCAAATGATACTTTTTTAGAAACTGTGGTTTGGAGCGTCGTATGTTGTTGCCGTAAGAACAGCTGGAAATCTCCTGTTCCTTGGCAAAACATCATTAGGTAGGGGTGTGTGAGGAATCCGTTTTGGTGGTGAGAATCCATTGGGTTCCCTGGGCTCCATTCACTTTGTTATGGTCACACGTTCAAGTTTATCATGAGAGTGATGAGAACCCAGGAAGAATCGTCTCCATGTGACCACTGCCCATGCGGCCTCCCTCATCTGCATCGTGTGCAGCAGTTCACATTGCTGATGACTTGGAAAAAGGTGGTCAGTTGATTGTTCATGGATTTCCTCCCTGCTCAGCTTGTTTCCTAAGACAGACTGAGCATGAAAGGCAGTCTACAAGTGCCAGAGGGACGGCGTTCATGGAGCTTCATCTCACCCCACCTGTTAGGCTTTCCTTATGAGAAGAACGCTGATGGGGTGGGCTGCAGGTTCTAAATGGAAAAGGGAAGAACTGACTATTGACTTGTGGGGTGCCCTGTGATTATAGAAAACTTTATGAGTGAGAACAGAGTGCTGGTTCCCACCAGGATTTCTATGCTTCAGCAGGTGCTTATAGGGAATGGGTGTTTATATGGGTGGGGAAAAGGCAACATTATTCTGTCAAGTATATAGGGTGATCAGACAGGCACTTCTGCAGTTGTAATCTCTTAGTGATGGTATACACTAAGACTATAATGATGGTACACACTAAGGCGCGCACAATCCCTCCCTCCCTCCCTCCTCTCCCCCAAACCAGCCACCGGGAATGCCGCAGGAGCTTCGGTGCTGCTTGAAAGTTTCCTGAAAGAGCAGAATGGGGCGGGGGCGGGGGGTGGGGAGAGTCCTAAACTAAAGGTGAGGAGAGGCTATCGCTGATCCCTTCCGTTGGGATCTTCCTCAAGGTGCCCCCATGGCGCTGCCAAGCCTTGGTGAGTAGGGTCAGGTGGGGAGGGAGGTCCCCGCCATGTGCCCACTCCTCTCGCTTCGCAGCAGTTCCAGCCTCCACTTTTCCTCGTTTTGGCCTCCCTCCCCAGGAAGCACCATATTGATCCCAGGCCCCCTCTCTCCCCTCCTCCTCGCTCCAGCTGCTGCTCCGCTGCCTCGACCCCGTCGCTTGCTCCCTTCACCCAGCTTCCCCCCCGCATGGCCTCCTGCACAGGAGCCCAGCCCAGAAACAGGCAGGCAGGCAGTTGCTTGGCTGCCTGGCTGCGCCTGCGGCTACCGAGTCCACAGGGTCCCACCACCGCACTAGAAGGGTGGCTTGGGAGGCCGCTCACATGCTGTGGGCTGGGAGGAGGCAGGAGGAGGGCGCTGCCGCCAGTGCTTGGCATGCCCACTTGTTGCTCACCTGGTCCCTTCCTGGCGCACCCACCGTGGCTGTTGCGCCTGTCTCTGGCCACCTATTCGACGCTGCCGCTTGTGGCGAGTCGTGGCTAATGGGTGACATCGTCGCCTGGTGCCGTTACACTTTCTGAATATGTGCATGGCTGCTGGGCGACTTGGCTCGCGTGCCAACAGAGAGGGCTCTGTGTGCCCGCTGTGGCAAGTGTGCCACAGGTTCGCCATCACTGGCCCAGACTAACTGTGCTATATTGTTTTTGCTGCTGCCCCTTCTCTGTAGACGGGTGCCCATGGGTGGGAAAGTACTGTTGTCTTGCAGGTAATTCTCCATACATTTCATGTGGAGGTCCTGCTCTGGTTGTATTTACCCTGAGAAAATACTGTCGACCAGTTCCTGAATAGCTTCCCAAGTCCTTCCTTTTCTTCAGAGAAATGGGTTGGTGCTGGGGAGGCAGGGTGGACTACCTGGATGAACTGTTGGCTCACACAGGAATATTCTTTTGGGTGGCCCAAGGATCTGGGGATCTTGAAATACTTGGAGATGGTGCCCTGAGTGGCTTGGGCATATTGGAGATTATTGTTGGTGCAGCAGAGGGCTCAGCACACCTTGACACACATGCCCTGAGTCTGGAAGGACAAGTCACGGGTTGAGGAATGGAAGTTCTTCAAAGGCTGGGACCTGACTCTGCTGATGGGTCAAGGGAATCTCTGTCAGCTGTTTAACTGAGTGTCAGTCCATCCAGCCTAGTAGGATAGTAGCTGTGTTGTCATAAAATGATATGCGCAGCATGTCCCCTGAGTAAACTTTTAGTTCAGCCTGTGCAGTTTCCTCCACAGGAGTGTGGAGTAACCTCTATATGGAAAAGGGAATTACCGTGACTGGTACTCCGAGAGGTACACCAGAGCTTCTGCACATATCTCGAGATCAGTGACCGAACCTAGTGCAGCATCACTCCACAGATGCTCTTGAATTCTGGAAGTGTTTCCCTTCCTCCAGCCTGGCTAGGGCCCCAAAGTGCATCACAAGCAAACCCCTGGAATGCTTATGTGGAGAGATGCTGTGAGCAGAGTGGTGGTGGGAACTTGCCATCTGCCACCCGTGCAGGTTCCATCGTACCATATGGGGAGCAAATGACTCTGGAAAGCGAACTAAGTAAACTAATATACCTTCAGCAACCCAGTGTCTGGATTGACTACTGTTCTTCTTTATGCTGTCTGTGCATCACACACAGAGGCTCTGTGCCTGTGTGGAGTTTCTTACTGTATACACACAGGAAGGGCCGTTACCAGGGAGGATAGGTTAGGATTCCAGCAGCTAGGAGAAATCAGCTATCAGCTGTGTGATATTTAACTCAGAGTAGTGTTATTATTGGTTCCTATCCATTGCACAAATGCGAAGCAGGTTTATATGCAATAGTGTATTAAAGGGATTATAATAGGTAGTCTCAAACAATTGCATAAGTTACCTTTTTGAATTAAATGTAGGTTTTTTGCCGGGTGGATGCCTTGGGAAATATTGCTGTAGGGCAGTAGAAGAAGGGCAACTTGAACACACTGCAGAAGTTGGCAGGGTAACAAGGTGCTTCAAGGTCACTATGCAGATTGCGCATAGGTGGTTCACAAGGACAAAGCAAAACACTTTGCTGAAAAATGGGCGTGGGCAGAGGAGGCAGCCAAGAAGTGATGGACAGTGCAGGCTGTTGCAGCACATCGTGCTACTAGGCAGACTTTGGGAAACAGAATCTCTTGTGAGGAGAGGAGCGGGAGCACCTTTGGTCAGGCTTGCCCAAAGACTTGGTGGCACTTTTCGACAAGCCATGATGAAATTGGTCTCTTGGACTCGGGTGAGATAGCCCATTGTGGGTGCAGGAATTCCTTGAACAAGCTACGGATTGTCAGAGTGGCTTGTCATTGTCAGTAAAAACGAAGCCACCCTGCAGTAGAGAGGTTAGGTTCAGACCGCTTGAAACCCGTCATGGCTAACTGTCATCCAGACAGATCAGAGTGTTCCTTCCGCAATGAAAGTGATCCTTAAGTTTGCAGAGGCTGTCATGGGGGGAGCTGATCTTTGCCAGTCCTCCCTCACACCTGCAGCCCCACAACATCAACTCCTACACAATGCTAGAGTGGGGCCCAGGCTGCCATAGCATCTATTTAGAGTTGCAAAGGGAAGTGTTAATAATTAAAATGTGCTTTTAGTCTTTCCATCCTCCGCTGGGAGGACCCCACCAGTGGAGTTCTGCTTAAAGGAACTCTAGATTTAACCCACTGTGGTTACTGTCTCAGTTGTGTGTGTTTCCGTGTTCCCCGTTTTAGCAAAAAAGAATGAATTCCCCAAAATGCTCATGTCATTTACTTTTTTTTTTTAAGGTATCAATAAAAGTGCATTGTATTTTCTTTAAAATAGTACAATTTGTTCAGTTTTGGAAGTACATCATCACATCTATGGCGCATAGGCCATACACACATAAATCTTCACTGAATTTGTTTTGTGGTCTCTGTCCTGCTTGCTTGAAATGCATTGACCCTTCTGTTCCCTTGCTGTTTTTTTGCCATCCATAATTGCCTTTCTATTCTATTGTTGTTTCGTATTTTAACTTGAAAGCCAAGCCCTTTCTTTTTCATTGTTTCATATGTTTTTCCCCAGTGCCATTCTGCATGTTCTGAGCCCCTGTATTTTTCTTCTCTGCAGGCATCAAGTCAGTCAGATTCGGAGCCAGAAAGGACCTCATCGTGCAACCTGCCCCTGCCCCCTTCTGCAGCATCCCCAGGAATGAGCACCGATGTTGTACAGCAGTCCTCTAACAAACACTTGGAAGATATTGATAAGGAAGATGAGTTTGGATACAGCTGGAGTAAGTTCAATTTCTGAGACAGGCTTTCAAGACATATTGTCATGCCAAATGGTTAGATTTCCATCTGCTGTGCCATATTTATATTCTTTTTTTCCACGTGAGTAAGATCACATTGTAGAAACAAGCATTATTTTTGTAGAGCACCTTTTGCTGGGTGAATTCGTCTTCCAAGACAAGCTTGTTAAGTCCCTAAAGCTCTATCATCTGGTTGTCATTTCACTTATAGTCCAAGACAGATAATTGTTGCTATTTATAAAATAAAGCACAGTTATATTGGGCATACATATACATGTGTATTATTACAAAGAGAGAAGTGGCTGAGATTCTCTACTCTTTCATATTGATAAAAATGGCTGGTATTATATTTTCCATAAATAATTTTATTGGAAAAGAATAATGGATTCATACTTGAACTGTTTCTGTCTAGGTGAAGTTATGGGTGTATAAGTACTGAATTTCAAAACTTCGGTTCCTTTAAGGTTTTCAAACATAAATTCTGTCTTTTCCATTTGAATTTTTCTCTCTTTATGATTAGAAAAGATCAGTCACCGGTATGGGAATCTGTCAGGCGATTTGCACATGATAGAACTGGAAAAAGGGAAGGCTGGCTTAGGACTCAGCCTTGCTGGGAACAAAGACCGATCCAAGATGAGTGTTTTTGTAGTGGGAATTGATCCAAATGGAGCAGCTGGAAAAGATGGGAGGCTGCAGATTGCAGACGAGTTACTGGAAGTAAGTGTCTAGTAATTACACTTAAAATGAAACACACTGACTCTAAGGACAGAGAAAAGCATTTGATTATTGGTGTAAAATGCAGGCTTTAATGACCAGCATGTTATTTTCATCAGTACCCCCTTTGTTTATTATTATCCTGTTATGAATTTTACGTTTGGATCTAGGATTGGATTTCAGCTATGCTGGTACTGGGTTGTGGTGGGTTTGGGAAGGAATGCAATACAGGAGAAGAAAGCAGATTCGATACAATTTTGAAGGAAAACATGGTTATGATTTAAGGAAAATATACTTGAAGACTGCAATCCTGAGCCCACCTAACCTGAAAAAATGGAACTTGCTTCTGACCAGTTACATATAAAGGCTGTCCTGTTAATCTACTGCTAGGCTGCCTGTAGTTTCTCCCTTTGATAATAAATTACATTTTGTTGGACTGAAAGTCTGGTATCATAAGGTATGATAGTGTAACAACATAAGGAAAGAAGCATATTACAGCACATTTGGGGCTCACATCCCAACTATTTAAAGTTCTGCAACTCCCAACATTGACAGCATTCTTAAACTGTGAACCTGAATCTTGAAGGGGGTATAGTCTATCTAACTGCTTTATAGTATATCTGCAGGGTTCAGGGCTTGATTGTTTTCAGAAGTAAGCCTCTAGCTCTTACTGTGGACTTATTGTTTCCAGTTCTAGGTGACTAATGTTATATTTTGCCTTTGAAAACATGCCATAGCCAATAAAATTACTATTGAAGCTCTGACTGTACTAGACCTGTGAAGGCCCTGAGAAAATGGGGGAGGGGACTTCTTAATCCCCTCCCAAAATGAATAGCTTTGGATTATTAAATATTTTCTTTTAGAATGACTCATGCAATTTTTAAAACAAGGTGTTTGTATATTGCAATGTAATAAAACTTTTATAGATTTTTCCGTAAATAATGAAGCCATGGGGGATTTTTTTAAATCTTTTATGTAAGATTCCCAGCATAGTTGTTTCTTCCATTCCATATTAAAATTATTGATCTAATGCATCTTTTAGTGTTACTTCAAATAATGTTCAGCTCTCCAACATGTGAGTAGGGTCACCAAATCATAATATAAAATAAAACGTACATTCTTGACAATTTAGGGTTTTGTTCTGTAGATACATATTTCTGGGCTTTGTCTGGTAAGATGATAGAGCAGTCAATTAATGTAATTCTAACCGTTTACATAGCTCCATTTTAGCATCACAACAACCTTGTGAGGTAGGTAAGTCTTCCAGTCTGTGTCTGACCCATAGACTTCCAGTGAGCTTCATGGTTGAGTCAGGACTGGAACCCAGATCTCCCAGTTACCCAGGCTAGCAGTCTCACCACCTTGCCACCATGGAATAATAACAACAGTAATAAAAGATATCATGTATTTGAGGTTTTCTGACCAAAGAACTCCACTTTTATTCTTATTATCATGATATGCTATTAATCTTAGACATTGATTCTAGAAAATTCAGCCATACTGTTAAAATGTGCAGCATGGAATGAAACAATGTTATATTTTCATTCTTCGCAACCTGCTCTTCTGTGTTCTTTTTTAATTTAATGAACAGTGAATCACGAGGTGATCAATCACTAGTAGAAATTGATTATGATGTTCCCAAAGTCAGCCAGTCCACTGTAACATAAAGGACATTTTCAGCCCAGAAAGAGAGCCAAATACAAAACAACAGCTGTTGGGGATTTTGTGATACAGGAGAAATAATTACAACAAAGAAAGCAGATTAGTGGATTGCACCAGAACAGTTAAAAAGCAGATTTAATAAATAGTAACAAACAAACTTTGCTTTTGGCCATGGAAGAACTTGTTTAGGATAAACAAATCAGTTAAAATTAATATTTTCTCCTGTTCATACAATTTTGATATGTCTAGATAAATGGACAAGTACTTTATGGAAGGACTCACCAGAACGCATCTTCAATAATCAAATGTGCACCTTCTAAAGTAAAAATAATATTTATAAGGTAAGCAATATTTAACATTTTTATCTGGCTTTAATATTTTATATTATCTAAGTGAACTTCTTAATAGTATATTTTTCTATATATTCCAACTGTTACAGCACTGTTGAAAGCTTTCCTGGATTTTATATTACTTTTCAATACTGCAACTAATGTCCTTTTAAAGCTGTTATTTAGGCTTTAAAATTAAAGAAAGACTAGACTGGCAAGAGTCAGTCTCTGAACATATAATATTTCTATATGTTGCAGAAGCAAAGATGCTGTTCATCAGATGGCTGTTTGTCCTGGGAAACCCATTGAGACCTCCCCTTCCTCTTCTGTGGCAGTTCAACAGGATGAGGTAAAATAAGAATTTGGTATTTTTCTTATTTAGGTGATATGATTAATACTATTTATGGACAGAAAATATGCAGATGCTATTTGTAATATTTTTCAGTGACCCTGAAACGATCAGTTTTAGCAAGTCTTAAGCAACTTCATAAAAATCCTTTAATGTAAATTTGAAAGAGGAGGGAACTTAGATGTTTTGGATCTGTGACTTTTACAATGAATATGTATTTCTTTGAATACTTGTCTTTTGATAATGTATCTTTCTCTTTCAGGGTGATGTGAATGCCTCAAGCTCGGCTTTACCTATAGATTTGAGTTTCTATAAAAATATTCATAACGTAGAACTTCCGAAGGTAAATTTAGATACGGTTCTTGATACCAATGGCAGTGGTTCTGAATGGATTGCTGTCTGTGATATATTTAGTGTAAGGTAGAAGAGACTATTATGAATGCACTGTATTTCTACAGTAGCCTCAGTTTTGGATTTCACAATTTCACATGCAGTTCCTTTGTCAGAGTAGGTGTGCATTTCTAGCTTTATTGGCCTGTGTTTCATTCTCTGGATTGAAGTCCTGTACATATATAGAGTTCAACTGTGGTAATACCAGTATCCAGTCTAATATATTATCCAGCATATTCTGTGAAGAAATGGCATTTGGAACTGGAAAATCCTGTAGTTAAATTTGTCAGTGCTCAGCTTCTTTTTGCATAAAGAAGCTTAATCAGAAGGTCTTAACAGTAACAACCTGTTTGGGTTTGCATGAATGTTTCAGGGTGAGGCAGGATAGAGAATTCTAAGCAGGATAGGGAAGCCTCTTTTAGGCTTGAGGGACCAACTCAGATTCAAAGAAGCTCTTGAGGACCGTTGTCCAGTTTTGGTTGCGGCTGAAGGCAAAGCAGGTGGGGCTAAAAGCCTATAGGTGGGGGCAAAATATAAATCCAGCATATTGTATCTTAAAGCTCTTGTCCGAAATTAAGCCTGATAAGCACATTTCAACATTTAAAAATGGGGTGGGGGAAATGTCAGAACTTCTAGGAAACCACTAAATGATTGACTGTTGAGAGAAAGGAGTTGGGGTCACAGGTGGGGTGGGGGGCATTGCGGTCACACTGGAGATCTGTTTTGAGGCCATAGGAGAGTTGAAATGGTCTCTTGCTTGATACTCTGACTAAGACTACTATTATTTTGCTCCCTCTCAAGTACCTTTAACATTTCTTCCCAGCTGGCTAGGAGCTATTTGTCTGTGAACAGCCTCTGTAGGCCAAGGAGAATGTTCAAATCACCCAACCATGTCAGTGGAGCCTGGGCCTCTCCTCCGAATCTTATTTGACTTTGTAAGAAAGATTATGTGATGCAGTCCCATGCATGTAGAAAAGTCATTTATGAGTTTTTTATACCATACGAGAGCTGTTCACAGACGATACCTTGCACGTGGCTGGAAAATGTGGCAAGGGCTGTCATTTATTACCTGAACATCATGGATCTAGTGATGAATTTGGCTTAGTTTAGATCTAATGCTAAATCATGGTTTAGTTATGGAAGTTTTGACTTCCAGTTTAGATTAGCTTTTGTCTGCCATGGCCTCTGGACCGGAACAGATTTGCTTATTTTGAGTGTGGTTTGTTCAAAAAAGCATAGTTTATTTATATAGTTTGCAATAATCGACCATAGTTCAGATTAACAAGGCTTTGGAGTTCAGACACAATACACAACTGTGTTTAATCTGACAACCTCTTTCTTGTAGATACGACAGAAGGGGCAGTATGCAAAAGCCTGCAGTTCATTCCCTCTCTGCCTATAGTTATTTGTATATTGTTAAAAATTTAGTTGCTCTCTGAAATGCATATACTTAAGCTTCCAAAAGATAAGATTTAAACAGGAATTTTCTTAGGAATTGTATATACAAATAAACATATCTTTATTTTAAGTGTTTTAAAAATAACCATTGATTGAACAAATTATAAACATTAAAATCTGTTTTTAATTATTATTTTGAGGTAGTTAGATGCACCATCTATTGTTTCTTGTTAATATGTTCCAAAGTGCTCAAATCATTTAAACCATGATTATCACCTTTGGTTTTCAAAGTTCTTCAGTTTGTCAAACAGGTGATTTCTTCTTCTTCCCTTTTCCTTTCTTCCAAACTGTCACACCCTGTTTATTAAAACAGGCATCCTGTTGTTCCTACAAAGCTCCTACTTGTATTTGCTTCTCATAGCAATAAGTGAGTGTATGCTTGCTGTTTCCTAGAACCAAAAACTTGCAGAATGAGAAGGAACCAGAAAAATTTTCCTTGCTATTGCAAAAACATTAGCCAGATTTAGTGGTGTCTTTCAGTCTGCTGCCTACTAATGTATTTAGCTTGCCTGGAACTGGTGCAAAACAAGTCATTTTGTATTGAAATTAGCAAATAAAACATTCCTCAAACATCCTTAGTTTTAATTAGATAGTGTTCTTCATCGCAGTCTCCATACATCACACATTTGGGTGCTGCGCCTGTGCAGTGCCTGTTGCCGAGAAGATTTACTAGCTTTAACAGTTTTTGGCGGGAACTCCGCCCCCCCCACAGTATAAATGGTCGGAATGCCCGCCCTTTCCCCAGTCTGCTTGCGACCATAGTTTGCCATGCTTTTTCTCTTCGCTATATCGCCTTGTCTTCTCAATTGTAGTCTTCCAAATCTTTACTACTTTCTCTCACACTCTACTTTATATCCCTAACCTGTGTTCACCCTTACCGGACCCCTACCTTTATTTCTTGTTCCATCCCCCCTTCCCCTCACCCCCCCAATTTTTTAAAAACCCCTTCTATCGTCATTCTCTTCCCAACTATCTCCGTTCTCTGTCTCCTCTCTTCTTTCTCTCGATGGTGCAGCAAGCGGCCTGTGTGGAGCCAAAATGTCTCCCACTGATCCTCACGATCTCTGCCTTCTCTGCCTTGGAGAAGGGCCCAAGACCGATAAGTGCAGCCACTGCCAGTCATTAACCAGGCAGGCTCGCAGGAACTACGAGAATAAGCTGCGTAAAATGTTGAGAGACCAAGCACTGGTCGCTATGAAGCAGGTCTCAGCTGAGGCCGCCTCTTCTGCAGCTCCGGGTCCATCAAAAGCCGTCCCTCCTCGCTCATCTGAAGGGGATCTCGCCAGCAAGGATGGAAAGTGCTTCTCACATTCTCCTCCTTGTAAACAGAAGGAAAAGAGGAAATCTGTCAGGTCTGAGGAAGCATCAAAACTGAAGCCTCTCCAGCCCTCCTGGAAGTCACTGAGCTGCTTCGTAACGGAGCAGTTTGTAAACTTCATGGCTCCAAAGGACTGCACGGTTTCTACGCCAGGCACTTTATGGTACTGAAACAAGACGGTGGGCTATGCTCAATTCTAGACTTACGTGGGATCAATAAATATATTAAAACAAATTCAGAATGACCACTCTCCCATTGCTCAGGAGAGAAAATTGGTTCGCATCCCTGAACGTGAAAGATGCTTACTTTCATATCAGCATCCATCCTGCTCATAGGCACCTCCTTCGGTTCACTGTCGGTACTGATGCCTTTGAATATAATGTGCTCTCTTTCGGGCTCGCTACCGCTCTGAGAGTCTTCACCAAGTTCATGGCTCCCGTTTGTGCCCATCTCCGGCTTCAGGGCATCCACATCTATCCATACCTGGATGATTGGCTTATCATCTTCTCCTCCAGGGATGACTTTTTCGCCACCATCAATACTACTTGTTCCCTGCTAGATCATCTTGGCCTCTCTATTAATACTGAGAAATCATGCCTCATTCCTTCCCAGGTCATCAATTTCATTGGAGCATGTCTGAACTCTACACATACCAGCCTTCCTTCCTCGGGACCGACAGGAAAGACTTATTTCAGATTTCAGACTGATTTCAACGGATCACTGCCCAACGGACTGTCCTGGCACACTCGATCCAACAAGTGCTCAGTCACATGGTGCCCGCGGTTTCAGTGGTGCTGAATGTGAGACTGTAAATAAGACCTTTGCAACTCTAGTTCAGCCGCAATTTCCACCTGGACCACGATCAGCTGAACTGGTCACTACAACCTCTGCACTTGGTCCTCCAGACTTTGTCCTGGTGGACTATCGATACCATTCTTTTCTGCACAGTTCCATTCTGTGCACTTGAACCAGCCGTGACACTTTATACCGATACTTCCCTGACTGGATGGGATGCCCACTGCACGTCTCTTCAGACCCAAGCCACCTGGCGTGGACACGAGACTACCAGGCATATCAACTACCTGGAATTGCTGGTCTTCAAAGCACTGTGCTCCTACAAAACCACATGGTTCAGATAGCATCGGGCAGCACTGTAATTGTGTTCAACATAAACAAACAGGGCGGTAGAAAGTCGGTACCCTTGGCACACCTCGCCCTTTGCATGTGGAACTGGTGCATTGCCCACAGGATTACGCCTTGAGCTGTCCATCTCGCAGGCACCAACAACAAGGAAGCCGGCTTCCTCAGCAGAAACATGTCGACGATGCAGGAGTGAGAACTAGATCACCAAGTTAACCAACATTTGTTTCAGCTTTGGGGAACACCGAACAGACTTGTTTGCGACTCACGACAACTCCGTCTGCAGGACATACTGCTCCCTAGCGGGCATCAGCCCAGATTCGATTGGGCATGTGCTCATGATTTCATGGGAGAACAAATTCTTCTACATGTTCCCACTGATAACGCTAACAACAAGAACCATAGCCAAAATCCAACAAGACAACGCCTGGACACCCAGCGCTGTTTAGCCTTTTATCAATCCCGAACTAAGTCATTCAGGAAAACCAAACGGCTTTTCATCAAATACTCAGAACACAACAAGGGAGCTTCTGTCAATACTCAAGGACTTTCGAAATGGATCGTCGAGATGATTGAACTGGCTTATTGCCTTTCAAAACTGGACTTACCTGTTACTCCCAAAGGACACGCTACAAGAGCTGTTGCTGCTTCTTCTGCCCCCCCCATGCGGGCATCCCCTTGCAAGATATCTGCAAAGCGGCCACATGGTCTACTCCGTGCACTTGCACGAAGCACTACAGCTTAGACATCAAGGCCAGACAGGATTGCTCCTTCGGCCACAACGTCCTCTCCACAGTTCTGCTGTGCCACCGCCGTTCTGCCTCTGGGTGTGGTAAGCTTGTTGATCACCCATAATGTGTGATGCATGGAGACCACAATGAAGAAAGGCAGGTTGTTTACCTGTAACTGTCGTTCTTCGAGTGGTCATCCATGCATTCACGCAACCTGCCCCCTGGCCCCACTCAGTGTCGGTTACTTGATATACTATACCTCTAGTTATACTATGTATGTATGTATATATGTATTTTGTTTCTGTTTCTTTTCTCCCTTATGTGCTGGATTCTATACTGGCCAGCTCCTCCTGGGGGCGAATGGACGATCTTCAGCTGAGTGGGGAAAGGGCAGGCACTCTGACCATTTATACTGCCGGGGGGGGGGGGGTGCGCAGAGTTCCTGCCAAAAACCGTTAAAGCTAGTAAATCTTCCCGGCAACAGGCACTGCGCGGGCACAGCACTCATAATGTGTGAATGCATGGATGACCACTCAAAGAACGACAGTTACAGGTAAGCAACTCTAATGCTTCCTTCTGTAATGCTTGTGTTTCCCTAGGATCAAGGCGGCATAGGTATTGCTATCGGTGAAGAGGACACATTTAATGGTGTGGTTATTCAGAGTATCACAGAGCATGGTGCTGCAGGAAAGGTAAGCAATAACTTCATTCAGTGGAGAAACTGATAAATATATGGAGGAGGCTCTCCAAATTCCATCACTTTATTTTGATTTCAGGATGGTCGAATTAAGGTTGGAGATCAAATTCTAGCGGTCGACGATGAAGTTGTTATGGGATACCCTATAGAAAAGGTATTTGAACAAATAATACACCTTGCAGCTTTTTGTACCTGCTCTGTATAACTATCAAGGGATCTTGAAGATATTTAAGATTCTGTTTAAACATAAAGCTAGCTTCTTCAGAATTGCAGCTGGCATAGCTGAAGCAGGGAATATTGAAAATATGCCAAAGCTTTTATTTTCATCTATTTTTGTTCCACATATTAGTCCAAGAACAGTATGTTGTGTTGATTTTTGTTTCAGAAACTGCAATAGCTCTGCAGGCTATTCAGTAGGATGTTCTTTTGCAGCTCTCATGCATGGATCAACCAGGGTTGCTTTGGGATGTTTTTTTAACTGTAAAGGCCTTTTCATTTTTGCTGAAATAAACGTGTGCTAATGTTGCCTCCCCCAACATGGTGCTCTTCAGATGTGTAGGACTACAATTCCTTTTATGCTGAGCCAGCATAAGTACTGATATGTCAGCTGGGAGCTGAAGGAAGTACAATATATCTGCGAGCACTATGATAGGAGGGCAACATTAATCTTTTTGGCTGAAATATTAGTGGTCAGCTCTTTGGCTGGAAAGATGGAGCAGGTTTGGGAAATTAGAGTCTAACCTTTCCTCTTAAGCAGTTGTCAAAATGACTGAACCAACATGTTTGTTGAAGGGAACAGAGTCTGTCATGGTCTTTCAAAAAATCATGTATTACTGGTTTGTTAAATGGCAATTTCTTACTGTTATTGTTCAACAAGTTTATCAGTTTGCTGAAGACATCAAAACCAACTGTGAAACTCACAGTAAATTCAGTACAGCAGGAAAGTCAATCAACTGCTCAGCCAGAAACTCCCATTTTCAGTTCTACATCGGGTGAGAGAACTAATACCCAACAATCTGAATCACCAGAACCAGAGTCAATTAAAAGTAAGTATTTTTTATTTAACTCAAGGCTTGCAAATGAATTACAAATGTATACACAAGTGCATCCATCCCAGCTATCTTCTCCTTTTAGGAAGGTCTGCATTATAGAACTATAATGAGTCATTAGGCTATCTGCCATTGAGCTGAGGGTCCAGCCCTTTTCTTAGGAAGGCATGCTTTCAGCAGGTTACTTGGAGTTGTATGTAGTTGCCTCTCAAATGCATGTGCTGCTTTTTAATCCTCCCCCACCTTTCGACTTTTCCTTTTGGTTTCTAATCAGCCTATTATAAAGTAGAATATAAAGTGTTAGAAGCTGCAGGGCAAGCACTGGCAGGATTTTAGCTGTAGTAACTGTGGGTCTTGAGTTTACAGCTTGAGTTATTAAAAAGTATGCATCATATATCATGTATACTTTGCATAAATGTTACAGTACATTCGAGTTACTGTTTACATCCAGAATGAAAACTTTATTAAGGATATATGTACCTTAAAGCCTATGATGCATTTTGATATTCAGATTTCATTAATGCTGCAAGAATTTCCATGTGCCAAGACCCTGGCTTATTAAACTTCAAACAACACTTGTGACAGCTTTATAGTTAAGGAGAGGACACTGTAGTACTGATGTCCATGATTCGTTGTTTCATTCTGAAAAAGAATTAGCAAGGATGGCATGATTGCAAAGTTGGGCCTTGAGTCCATATTCTCACTTGAATCCTGTTGAAATCAATTTGATACTACAATTAATTTGTTCCACAGACTCCAATGGGATTCTAATGAGATGTAAGTGTAATTAATGTTTTCTACATTGGGCTTTGGTGTACCTATTATACACCAGTTAAGTAATTTAATTTTTTAACTTCTAGAATTCTCCCAGGGCAATTTTATGCAATATAATTAATAGCAGTAATACCAATAGGTTATGTATTTGCTCCAGCTTTGGGGCACCTTAATTTCAATTTCCTTCTTTTGAGATCCGTGTGCTAAAGTACCTTGTGTTGCTGTTTCTTTTATCATAAGGTCTGTGTTATTTTTGTTTTCAGATACCAGCAGGTCCTCGACTCCAGCCACATTGGCTTCTGACCCAGCTACATGTCCGATTATCCCAGGTTGTGAAACTACAATTGATATCTCTAAAGGGCGTACTGGTCTTGGCTTGAGCATTGTAGGCGGAGCTGACACTTTGCTGGTTTGTAAAGACTGATGTTTGTAATCTCAAGATATTCCTAAACTAATAGTCTTAACATGAAAATTTGCTCTCTTACAATAAAATGCTATACATATCTCCCCGGAAATAAGTCCTTTTGAGTTCAGTTGCATTTGTTTTCAGGTAAACATAGGATTGCAACCTTAGATATATTTGAATAAATGAATATATTTCTACTTTGGAGGGTAAAGGTTATATTCCTTATCGGGCAGGGTTTTCATACTTCTATTTTGTTTAATTCATATTTGTATCAAAGAGTATATCTACATGTGAGCAACTAAGCGTTACCACAGTTTTTAAAGATACTTTTTCAATGTATTTTTATTTTACAATATAAAAAACCAAGTTTTAATACATCTTTGTTGCTCTTTACTTTTAGAAGGTTATTATAATGGTATTAGCTGCAACCTTATTGTATTTTATAATTATTTTGGAAATATTACACTATATAAAGTTCATTCTTCCAATTTGTAGTGTCCCTGGAGCAGTATACTTTAAAATGTGTTTTGGCAGTAAAGTCTTCAATTTTGTGCATCCCTGAGATTTTTTCTTTGCCCAGGTTTCTCCTGTTACTGATGCCTTCCCTCCTTTGCTTTCTAAAAATGCTTTTTTTTAACCAAGGAAAATTATGAACTACTTTTGCTTTGAGATCCATATAGTAGAGTTTATTCTGTGTAGTTTGACACTGTATTAGTAATCCTCTGTTTTATCCTATGCTGTATCTTAGGCTTGGGATAGATTCAGTGCATGAATAGGTGGTTCTAATATTCTCAGTGCTTTTTGTCTTTCAATTCACAGGGCGCAATTATTATTCATGAAGTGTATGAAGAAGGAGCAGCATCCAAAGATGGAAGGCTCTGGGCTGGCGATCAGATCTTGGAGGTATACCATTACATTACGTATTATCAGTGCATTCATCTATACTGGGGAGAAGGAAGAAGGAACAAGTGGACTGGAGGGAGGTATGCATTGCTAGTTCTTTAAAAGCCATGAAAGGATCAAGCTTTCACATCTACCATGTAATTACATTCTAGGTGAATGGAATTGACCTGAGGAATGCAACACATGATGAAGCCATAAATGTTCTCAGACAGACACCTCAAAAAGTCCGCCTCACTGTTTATAGGGATGAGGCCCAGTATAAGGAAGAAGACATGTATGATGTACTCAGTATAGAATTACAAAAGAAACCAGGGAAAGGCCTTGGATTGAGTATTGTTGGGAAAAGGTAGGTGAATAAAGGGCCTTCTGAGAGAAACATGTCTTTGAATATGGACTGATGCCACAGATAAGTTCTGTGAAAGAACGAACATCAAGAATTTCCTCCCCACTTGAGTAGGTGCCAGATGTGACTTGACCAGCAGGGAGTTGGGTCCTGACTTGGAAAATCTAGGTTCAACCCACTCTTTACCTCTGGCGTAGCCATACAGCAAGTCATACTGCTTTCCTGATTGCTAGAGCTAAAAAGTAGTTTTTGTAACCCTAACCCTAACCTGGTGCACACCCCTAACCCTAATATACAGCTCAAGTCCCATTGAAAATAGGTCAATTTTGAAAAAGCCTTCCTTGAGTAGCTTTTTCTGTGCACCTCAGAATTTCTGCCCTTTCTAAACACATTCCAACCATCAAAACCATACCAAGACACCTTCATTTTGTAACCCTAACCCTATCCTGGTTCACACCCTTAACTTTACTATAGCGCTAAAGTTCCATTGAAAATAGCCTCCTGTTCTGGAGTCGTATCAGCTGTGGAGTCCAGATCGCGGCAAATTTGAGCGATTTTTTCCTTAAAGTGCTGGGCAGTGTTGTCACAGTGGGCTGCCTAAGGTGCGACCACATCATTTTCCTGGCCTTGCACCACTTGGAACAGCTCCACCGGATGGCACTGTGAGGAAGCAACGGAAGCAGAGAAGAACTGCTTCGTCACCGTCCTTACTGCCACAGCATGGGCTCGATAATGAGCACATAAGTGTGTTTGGTCAGATTCGTCCCAAGATTTCCTCCACCTGTGCTCTAATCATCTCCCAGTCTACTTCATCGCCTGCAACTCAAGCATATACCAGGGTGCCCTGCAGGCTCTGCTAGGCAGGAAAGGACGCTTAGGAGCGATCGTGTCGATTGCCCTGGTCATCTCCCTATTCCACGAATCGACCAGGACATCAACAGAAGTGCCAGCTTTATTCATCAGAAAATCCCCCAGAGCCCTCAGGAATCCATCTGGGTCCATCCAGCTCCGGGGGTGGACCATCTTAATAGGGTCGGCACCCTTCCGGAGGGAGAGATCAGCCCCAAGCTCAAACCTCACAAGGAAGTGGTCTGACCATGACGTAGGAGTTAAGATCAAATTTCTCACTTCCAGGCCACCCTCTTCCCATCCCTTCAAGAAAACCAGGTCAAGTGTGTGACCTCTTTCATGGGTTGGGCTGGTGACATGTTGAGACAGCTCCATGTCTGTCATGGAAGCCATGAAGACCTGAGCTGCTCCAGGCAGAACTGCCTCAGTGTGGAGATTGAAGTCCCCCAGGACCAACATCCTGGAGGTCCTCAACACCAGGTCCGAGATGATATCTGTCAGCTCAGGCAGGGAGTCTGATGGGCAGAAGGGTGCATGGTACACCAGCAGAATCCCTAATCTATCTTGATTGCCCAACACCAGGTACAAACACTCAAGACCTGGCCTCGAAGGGACAGGAAGCCTCACAAGGGAAATATTGGCTCAGTGAACCAAAGCGATTCTCCTCCCCTCCCCTGTGAGCATGGCCGATGTTGCACCAGATCCTCGGGCGGGCACAATTGCATGAAGGAGACATCTCCCTCTTCTCCCGGCCAGGTCTCAGTAATACATGCCAGGGCAGCCCCCTCATCCAAGATCAAATCATGTATGACAGATGTTTTATTATAGGCTGACCTGGCGTTTAACAGCAACACCATCAGGCCCGAGGGCCAGCTGATATTGCTGCCAGGAACCTTCTGGTTGGGTGAATAACCAGAAGAGGGGACCAGTATCAGACATTGGCCCCTCCTTCTCCTATGCAGGCCTGTTAGACCCCCCAACGCCATACCTTCTCCTGCCCATCACCACCCCAATGGTGGCATCCACCTGCTCCCTGGGTAAAACCATTCCGGATTAAAACCTAACGAACAGTTGCATAGAAAAAAAAGAGGAGAAAGGACCAGGATCCTTAGCCCAGCCCTTCTTGGTCCCAAATGGCCCCAAACGGCCTGCCCTTTGGCGATCACCGCAACTGGCAAGTTAAGCCTACGCACCTCCCGTACAATTCCACTCCAATCCGGTGCAGCTGCCACCCACGCCAGGGGAGGAGGAGGGAGCAAGGGCGGGGCCAGGAGCACTCACTGGTGCAAGATGGAGGTGCAGGCGTGCAGGGAGTGACTCATTCAGAGTAGTGGCGGAGTCTGTGGTGGCCACTCCATTTTTTTATATTTCCATTGACATATATTTCCATTGAAAATTGGGCGATTTTGAGAAAGCCTTCCTTGAGCAGCTTTTTCTGCACAGCTCATCATTTCTGCCCATTCTAAACACATTCCAACCATGAAAATCTCATGTTTTCCTGAAACTTGATTGTTAAAGCTTTGTTTTAAAAGAGCACACTCTTAACCAAGATGTTGGTGTGAATGAACAATGATCATGATAGCCAGCATTCTCTGAAGCAGATCCTTGTTCATATTTGTAATCACTGCTTGGTTTGTTTGAATGGTGAACTTGCACCCGTCCCCCCACATTTGCTCACACTTCCTCCATAGCATATGGCAAGGCTGATTTGGCATACTGAGAGATTTGCACAAATTGAACTGGGAATTGGGAGTGAGACAAGCATAAGCATGTATTCAACATTTTTCAGATAATTTTGGCAGAAATGCACTCACATTTGTGGCTTTGAGCTGGTCACACTCATTTTGTGAGTAAAATGAAAATCTTGCACATCCCTAGCAGGGATTGCAATTAACATATCCATATGCTTATTATAAAACCGTCCTAGAAATAGGGCAGTATGGGATGTTCTAATTAATTAATTAAAGCAAATATGCATCCGTACTATATTTGCAGAAATGACACTGGAGTGTTTGTGTCAGATATTGTCAAAGGAGGTATCGCAGATCTGGATGGCAGGCTGATGCAAGGAGACCAGATATTAATGGTGAATGGTGAAGATGTCCGGAATGCTAACCAGGAGGCAGTGGCTGCTTTGTTAAAGGTAATGGCAGAATATTAAACAAAGCTCAGTTGCAGTAACTCAGAGTTAGATCCAGACTCTGTCCTAGTTGAAACCTGGCCATCCCCTGCCACTCCTGTTTCAGTGCATTTGTTTTAGGTGAATTACTTAATGAAGACATATAAAAACTCTGCAGATGACCCTTCAATATTAGGAATGCTTACATTTTCATAAGTAACACTGAGATGGCATTTGTCATTCCCATATGGTTGAGCTGAGCCATTCTTTTTAGAAATTGCTGATTTCGTTTCCATCACTGCATTTAGCATGTTCCGAACTGACACCCAAGGGATTAAAAGATGTTTATTGTGTCATTTGTTCTGGTTTAGCACTAAATTGGATAACAGTGATGAGAAAAGTGAGTGTTTGCAAGAGGATTTCTTATCATTCCCCTTAGTCCAAGTCAGGATTATGTTTTGTCTCTAGAAGCAGCTGGCTAGCATTGTATTGTTGCAGCTTTTTTCCTAGTCAAGCAATAGGATAAGTCTTGGTGTTGTGCAGGTAGTACTTTGAGCAGAATATATATCAGCTTGTTATGTGTATTAAGGGGTAATGCCTCTTTGTGTTAGACTCAGAATGCAACACGGGCAGCCGCCGCTGTCAGAGAGGTTGGTGAAGTTAGATTTTTTGTTCAAGTTTTGAGCCTGGCTATTTGGCAAGCAATTACAAATACTGGTTCAGTGTTGGTGTATATTGTCACTGCAGTAAATTGATTTTCTTCCACGTGTCTTGTTAGTTGATACAGTTAGGTGAAGGCACTGGGCCTAGAAATTTAATTCTGTTCTGCCTGTGTCCTCACAGTATTGTGCCAGTGGATCAGTGAACGTGGAATACAGATGATGTGCAGTGCTTTTTATTAACCTTGCTCCTGTAGAGATCTTTCTTCATGTTCTTGAGCCCTGCGGGCAAGGCATGGGTGGCGCAAAATCTAGGCATGGATGCATGGCACATGCAAACCCCAGTCTAGTTTATCACACAATTGCCAGCATTTGCAGTATTTCAGCTGACAATTGTACAAATCTGCCTGCAATCTTCCTTTAACTGAGATATGCCTTTAATGATCATGGGTTAAGGAATCTGTGTCTTACAAATGCCTGCTCTCTAGTGCTCATTAGGTACAGTCAGACTAGAAGTTGGAAGAATAAAGACAGGCCCATTCCATTCGGAGAGGAGAACGTCTCAGAGCAGCCAGGTTTGTAACTGCTTGCATTGGCTTCATTTGGAACCATCACAAGCATTGTGGAATTATATAAGCAAATAAAAGGGAATTGATTTTTGTAGAGACAGATAAAGCCCAAAGCCAAGTACATAAAAACCCATTTTTATGTACCCATTTTCATATTGGGTGTATACTAATTTATTTTTAATGGCTGAGATCCTCAAAGGTGCTATGTAGTAGAGTCCTGTTCCCAAGGCTGTGAAAGGCACGGTGCATCTGCAGATGTACTGAAAATTCCATTAGCGGTTATCTGAATGTATTTTTCTGTCACTACTCAACTTTTAGGGTGCAGTCCAGACTCTTCCCACATGCAGTGCTCTGCACACAGAGCTCTGCACGGACCCCTCCTCTTGCCGTTGCAGCCCTGTGGGAGAGCTGCATTTATAGAAGGGCCTGTGTGCCTAATTAGTTGGTGCACACAAAGGACCGAACTGATTAGCATCTTTCTCTCTGTGTGACTTAATGATACCTCCAGTCAAAGTAGCCGCTGAAAACTCACTGAGCTAGTGGGCTCTTTTTCAAAATCACTTCCAAGCAATTTTTTATGTGCCAGATGCAATTTGCTTAGATTCTTACTCTTACTGCCTGAATACTCCACAAACTGTGGCCCTATCCAGGGATTGTTTCTGGTTGGATTCAGGGAGAGCAATTGCTCAGCTCCAGCCCCTCCTCAAGCGTTGCTGTTGCCCTCAGTGCATTCTGGCTCCCATGGAAAGCATCTCTTGGTTACAGGAAGCTTTCCTCTTCAAATAGTTGCCCAACAAAACTTACGCATGGCAAATGTAACAAAGGAAAGGGCCGAGGCTGGGATGCTGCCTCTCCTCATACATGGAGTACAATGAAGAACAAAGCCCCATCAAGGATATCTACAAAACAGTGTATTTATATTTACATATAACCAGGTTTTATAATGCTTCTACATCCAGAACTGCACTTTTGCTGCTTTGGAGACCATGTCTTTGAGTCCAGCTGGCATAAATATTTTTTTATGAGATGGGAATTGTGTAGCAGGAAAAAAGACATGGGCTTGAAAACTTGAGAGTAATTCTCACTGTTGTATCTCCCTAAGGTCAGTGAGGGAAGTAGTAGCCTGTCGTCGTTCACTTTCCAGGGTTCAGGATCCAACCCACCAGAAAGTTATGAAAACACTCTGAAGAAGAATTCTCGTAAGTTTCAGCTGCCTTCATTCATATTTTATATCTAATTTTTATCCTCTGTTTGCTGCACTGTTAAATAAATGTTGTGCTCCCAGTTGTGATGAAGGAGTTTCTGCCTTGGAATTGAAAGTGTTTTAGATGATGGGATCTAAATGGCCTTTAAAGCAAAAAAAAAATAAGTGGGATTTATGCTCAAACCCCCACTAATTAAAATAGGCCATTGTCAATGAACTATTAAATGATCAAAAGTATTTCATCCAGTTATTTTTATGAAACAACAGGAGAAAATTCCTGATCAGCACCTAGCCCTGAGCTTTCTTCAGTATTTGATTGTCATAGTAATAGTTGTGAAGGAAAGAGGGAAGCTTCCTTAAGGGGATAATGTCTGTCTTTGTGACTTTAAACAAGCAAGCAGCATAGAGACATTTACTTTGTGCTGGAGAAGGAAATCTAACATAGTGAGAAACCCTGAATCAGGTCAACAAAAAATAGTGGGTAGATTAAAAGAAAAGTAATTCTTCCCAGAGTGATTTAAGGCACAAAGGTATGAGTCGTGCCCTTGCTAGATGATGGGGTTCCAAGCCTCCAGTGCCTTAGCTAGTCCTCCAGATAAGAGTAGGGGTGGAGAGCATGGCAGGGGCTGGAGATGCCACAGGACCATTATATCCTGGCATCTCCCCTCCTTTCATTGCTTACCAAAACCTCACCTTTCAGACCTGTCAAAGGCCATTTTCGCAACATGGAACATCAGTCGTCGTGGTTCTGTCTGTGTTGTCTACAGAGGGGCAGGAGGAGGGATCTGGCCCCAGAGTTCCCCTTCTTGAGGTCCTAGCAGTGTCTGTATGTTCATCTGGGAGACTTTGTAGAATTTTGTGGCTGCAGGCATGCTCTCCCAGGACCCCTGGGTTACTTTCTCCTGGTTCCAACTCTTTTCTGACCTCGAATCGGTCCTTCTTCCAGGAAATCTACTGAGCAATAGAAAGATCGCTTATGTTGCAGGATTTAAACAATACTTAATGTATACACAATACCTAAAACAATGCAATTAGTTTTACAAACAAATCTAAAAAGCTAACACAAGTGGAAGGCTCAAAATTCTTAAAGTAATCTTAGAAATTGTACAAATAATATCAATGTTATAATACCACCCACCAGGAATGAATAAATCATATTTCTTCCCATCAGCAGTATTTACTCAGGAATTTTAATCCTAAACAAACTTCATAATACAATTTTCACAGGAGAAACTTCCTTGTCGAGGGCTTGATCCGTATATACTTAGAATAGATTTTAGAACTAGAATAGGAGAAGATACTAATAACCTCAAAATCTGGTAGAAATTTTTGGTGCAATATTGGAAAGATAAAGCCTACAGAGTAAGAGATCTTTCTTGCTGAGCAACAGAAAAAATGCTACAAATAAATAGATAATGTTCCTTTAAGGAAACCACTGGGGGGATTGTAAGGTTAAATGTGATAACTTCTTTGGCCTTAATGAGTTTCAAAACACCTGCTTCCTATTAGGACTTGAACATACATTAGCTTGACTTCTTTGTCATGGCCTCTGTGCATCACACATATGGATGCTGTGCCTGCATAGTGCCTTTGGCCGGAAGATTGATAGCTAATGGTTTTTGGCGGGAAGCTCCGCTCCCCCTCCCCCCTATAGGTTATATAGAGCGGCGTGTCCGCCATTTTGTTCAGTCTTTGCGACCGCCATTCGTTGTGCCTGCCGCTTTCACTCTCACCGTTCCTCGTTCTCACTGTTGTGATTATTCTCTTTCCAAGTTTATTATCCCCTGTTTTCCGGTAGTTCTCTGCTTGGGAGAAGAACATAGGACCGATAAGTGTTCCACCAGGAAGAACCATGAGAACAGCCTCTGGAGACTTCTGTGGGACCGTGCTCTCCTCCAGTCGGACCCACTAGTATGTGCTCCAAAACCGGTCTCTTCCTCTGTGGTTCCGCCCTCACGCCCTTCGGACTAAGGTGCATCTGCCATGGGCAATCGGCCTGCTTCCTCACCCAAGAAGAAGCATGAAAAACGGAAGCACACTGGTTCTGATAAGCCAACTGACCACAAGAAGACTAAAAAGGATAAGACCGGGAAGCCACCTCGGAGGCCCAAGAACCCTGAGCACCCCAAGCACCGAGACGTGGGTTTGTCGGCCCCTTCGGTCCCAACGGCTGTCGCAGTACCGACACCACCGGGCCTGGCGCTTCAGGTGGCTATGAGAGTTACCCCTTCAGGGTCCCCTCGACACATGGCTGAGCTTACGTCAGAGCCTCTTCCAGTTCCACCGAGGGAATTGATCTCCGATGGGGAGATTCAGGATTCCCCACCGAGGGCTAGGTCTCCCACGCCTATGCCCTCAGCTACACTGGAAGCTGACATGGAGATGTCTCCTCCCATGAGCCGCAGAAGTCATTCCTTTGAGAGGAGATCAGAGGGATGGTACCATCCTCAGCATCCATACTACCATGGATGGGGAGACTCTCGTTCTGTCGGGCACTATCCGGCCCCAAGGGGACGTTCCTCTACACCGGCACCTCGTGACCACCCGACTCCTTCGGTACCAAGACGTGCCTCACCGATGCCGACTAGGGAGAGCAGTTGGTCCTTATCACCGGCAGAATCTTCCTCCTCGGCTCCTCCATACTATGGCATGGACTCTGACGACTCCGAGGTCGACTTCATCTCCCCAGACGTCGCAGTAACTTCCCAGGGACCCAGGTCACCTGATGAATCCCACATCTCTTTTGCGGAGTTGATGTCGCGTCTCGTCCAGTCCCTTGAAATCGACGCTATTCAACAGCCTGGCCCCAGTATGGACAAATTTTACGACGTTGTCTGTGGGGAGCAGTCAACATCCATCATACTGCTGCTCATCACCACCTTGCGGCAGGCTATGACCCAGCTGTGGGACCTGCGCACACATCCTCAGTCAATTTCACGGAGGTACAAATCCATGTACCGAGTTCAGGAGGAGAACATTCCCTTCCTCCTCCGCCATCCTAAACCAAACTCAGTCGTGGTGGAGTCCTCCCAGGGCAGTGAGGCAAGAGGTCATACCACGCCCCGAGACAAAGAGGGAAGAAAGATGGATTCCTTGGCCCGACGAGTATATGCTGCCTCCGGTCTCGGGCTTAGAATATCCAACTATGAGGTGACACTGGCTAGGTACCAGTACTTCATTATGCAGCGCCTCAACAATGTCGTCTCAGCCCTTCCAGATAACCAGGGCAATCTAGCAAAAATTTTTATAAAGGAGGCAATGCAAGTTGCGGTCCAGCAGCTGTCCACTGCTTGACACCACGTGAACACGGACTCGAGGGCCTTGGTCGGTGCCGTCTCCCTCCGGAGGCATGCGTGGCTGCACAACTGCAATTTTCCAGAGGAGACAAAGAGGCGAATAGAGGAAATGCCCTTTGACAGGTTCGGGCTCTTCCATTCAAGAACTGACCACAAGCTCAAGAAAATCCACGAGTCCTGTATGACAGCCCGGCAGATGGAGCTCCAACCTCAGACCAGACGTAAGTGGTCTTGGACCCGACCCTCCTATAGGTAGACGTACCAAGCCAGACAGCAGCCTCAACAACGGTAACAGCAACAACAACGCCACCGCCAACAGCTCCCGCAATGATACCAACAAGGCCGTTGTTGCTTTGACAGCAATAGGAGGCAACGTTGATGGGATGGGCGAACCATTCCTCTCCTTCCTACTCTACCCACCCCCCTCTCATGTGGGGACTGGCTGAGAAGCTGGCTCCCCATTTGGGAGTCCATCACATCTGATCGGTGGGTATTGTCCATCATTCAGCACGGATATCGGATAGAATTCGACATCGTTCCTCCATCGAGCCCGATCCGGTTCACCTCATGCTCGCCGGTATTGCTTGATGAAGTTCAACAACTTCTTCGTAAAGGAGTGATTCTTCAATTAACTCAGACGGATGGACTTCACAGATTCTATTTGAGATATTTTACGGTCCTGAAGCGGGATGGTGATCTTCGTCCAATCTTGGACTTGCGAAATATTAATCAGTTTATTCGAATGAAAAAATTCAGGATGACCACCCTTCAAAATATCCTACCATTGCTGAGGAAAGAGGATTGGTTTGCCTCATTGGACTTGAAGGACGCTTATTTCCACATTTCCATTCACCCCTGTCATAGGTGTTTCCTTTGTTTTGCTGTCGCATCCCAACTATTTGAGTTCACAGTGTTGCCCTTCGGACTGGCTACCGCTCCGAGAGTATTTACCAAGTGTATGGCTCCTGTCTGTGCCTTTCTACGGCTGCGGGGTATGCAAATTTACCCTTACCTTGATGACTGGTTGCTAGTCTCCCAAACCAGACAGGGACTTCTTGCCTCGATACGTACGACCTGCGCCCTGCTAGAGGATCTTGGACTATGTATTAATACCGAGAAATCTCTTCTCCGGTACAAACGATTACTTTCATTGGAGCCCGACTAGATTCTACAGTGGCAAAGACCTTCCTTCCTTGGGACAGACAACAGACTCTTGCCCGACACATCCATCGAATGCGACGAGACATGGCGGTTCCTACCCAGTCCATCCAGAGACTTTTGGGACATATGGCTGCGTCAGTTGCCGTGGTCCCACATGCCAGACTCTGCCTTCGTCCTCTGCAGCTTTTATTCAACAAAATGTTTCAGCCACAGAGGGATCTACCGACAAAGTTGATTCGGATTCCATCCTCTGTTCTCCACTCTCTGCTCTGGTGGTCGGTTCCGGCCAACCTAACCGTGGAGGTTCCATTCCGACCACGATGCCCTTCAGTGACTCTCGGTCCCGATGCATCCCTACTGGGATGGGGAGCAGCGTGTTCAGATCTACGCACTCAAGGCGTTTGGAATCACCGAGAATCCAAGAATCATATCAACTTCTTGGAACTCCTGGCTGTATTCAAGGCTCTATGTTCATTCGAAGATGTTCTTTGCCAGCGACTCGTTCAGATAACTTCAGACAATGTTGCTACGGTCTTTTATCTGAACAAGCAAGGCGGGACAAAGTCTCCAACTCTGGCCAAACTAGCGATACAAATCTGGGAATGGTGCATCCTGAGAGACATTACTCTGGTGGCAGTACATCTTGCTGGCACGGACAATGTGGAAGCCGATTTTCTGAGCAGACACATGTCCACATCCCACGAATGGGAACTAGACCCCCAGACACGCGCTCACCTCTTCCATCGATGAGGTTTCCCAGACATAGACTTATTCGCCACCCGACAGAACAGGGTATGTGAGACTTTTTGCTTGAGAGCCAGAATCGGACAGGGGTCATTAGGAGACGCCTTCATGATCCCTTGGAACTATCTGAATTTTTACACTTTTCCTCCGATTCCCCTCATTATGAGAGTGATATCGAAGATAATCCTCGACGGGGCCACGGTACTGCTCATAACCCCTTGGTGGCCATGCCAGACCTGGTTCTCGCCACTTCTTCACATCTCTCAAGCAGAATATCTTCATCTTCCACTCATCTGTATCTCATAACCCAGCGAGGAGGCACAATTCGCCATCCAGATTTAACGTCACTGAAATTGACAGCCTGGCGAATCCAATAACAACTAGCTCGGTACCAACGGTATTTACACGTGATTTGGATCCTGCTTCAACATGTTGCTCCACATTTCAAATCCATTTGTCCTCCCCACATCGTTGGATTCAGCAAATGTTCCCTCGGATTTGACAACTTTTCCTCTGGACAGTCAGCACATTCTTAACTCTGCCTTAAAACCATCAACACGGAAGTCATATGCAGCTAAATGGTGGTGATTTTCTACTTTTGCCGAGTCTTGTTCGTTTCCTCCACTCTCCGCATCCATACATTAAATCCTTCAGTTCGTATTAGAACTTCATCATTCCGGACTGAAGCCGCCTTCTATGAAAGTGTATATGGCAGCAATTTCCTATTACCGTGGCACAATTCAAAGCGCGCCCATTTTTTCTCAACCACTTATAAAGAGATTCCTTAAAGGACTTTATAACCTTAACCCGACGGTTCGACCAGTGATGCCTACATGGAGTCTTTCTGTGGTCTTACAAGAGCTTACAAGGGCTCCTTTCGAACCCTTGGCGACAATCGATTTACTTCTTGTCTCTTGGAAAACGGCATTCCTTGTTGCAGTAACGTCGGCTCGAAGAGCTGGTGAACTCTGTGCTCTGCGGGTAGATCCTCCATATTTGAATTTCCACAGGGAGAAAGTTGTCTTACGCATGGATCCATCCTTTCTTCCTAAGGTGGTCACATCTTTTCACATGGGACAAGACATTGTCTTACCGGCCTTATTTCCATCTCCCACGAATTCCCTAGAGAGATGCTTGCACACACTTGATGTACGGCACTGTCTGGCCTTTTACAGATCAAGGACTGAGTCTATTCGACATTCCAACAAGTTTTTCCTCAAATACTCTGAGCAAAATCAGGGCCTTCGGGTTACCCCTCAAAGACTCTCCAAGTGGATAGTCCATACAATTATCCTCTCCTATCAGCTGCCTAGGATTGACTTGCCTACAATGCCAAGGGGTCATTCTGCTAGAGCTGTCGTCTTCTGCCTTTGCGTCGGGAGTTCCAATTGATGATGTCTGTAGAGCTGCCACTTGGGCTACGCCGTGTACATTCCCTATGCATTATCGGATTGATGTTCAGGCCAGACAAGACTGCTCCTTCGGTAGAGCTGTTCTCTCGTCTATTCTTTGCTAAAGACACCTTCCCTCCTCTAATAAGGGTAAGCTTGCTAATCTACCCATATGTGTGATGCACAGAGGCCACGACGAAGAAAAGCAGGTTGCTTACCTGTAACTGATGTTCTTCGAGTGGCCATCTGTACAGTCACACAACCTACCCGCCGGCCCCGCTCGGTGTCGGTGAGTGGAAATATTTTCATAAGTACCGTAACGTTTTTCTTTCATGGTACCGATATTATCTATAGTAGAGATTCTTTCTTTCCACATGGGGGCAAACGTTTGGTCTTAAAAGACTGAACAAAATGGCAGATGCTCTGCTCTATATAACCTATGGGGGGAGGGGGAGCAGAGCTTCCCGCCAAAAAGCGTTAGCTAACAATCTTCCAGCCAAAGGCACTGCGCGGGCACAGCACCCATATGTGTGACTGCACAGATGGCCACTCAAAGAACATCAGTTACAGGTAAGCAACCTGCTTTTCTCCTTGCTTCATGGTAGTGCAGGGGACTGATGATCGAAGTGCAAGCACATTTGAATTAGGTTATGTTGAGTGAGTTTATTCATTCCATTTATTGTGAAAAAAAATACTATTTATCTGTAGATACATTAATTATACATGGGCATGTTTAAATCCTAAACATTATTTGTATTGTTCTGTAGATCTCCTTGCTAAACCTATATAAGGTCTGAAATGCTTTAGAAAACTCCCTTGTTTGCTTCCTTACCTTTTAGTTATCGCTAAGAAATAGAGCAGGCACTGCTCAAAACTAAAGAGAATAAGAGGAAGTTTTAGCTTTTCCAGTGTGTAATTTGAAGTACTTAATAAATGCACAATGGTATGGAGTAGAGGATATGTTGAGTACAGTATGTTCCGGCCCTTTAAAGAACGGTTACCCATCTACGAACTACTTGAGAAGTACAGGATTCAGTCCTTCCTACCATAAAGACTCTGCATTAAGCAGAACTCTTAACATGAACCAACACCATCTAATAACACAAAGGTGAAAATAGTATATAATCTCCATTAACTCTCTCAGTTTTGAAACTGAAATACTTATTGCCCAGCATTTTACTACTGAATTCTTAAAAGCTGCTTTAAAACCCTTGACAGTATAGGAAAATAGTGTGACTTGCATGAAAAATAGTTAACTGAAATAGAAACTCCCAACAATAACTAACCTTCCTTCCTTCTTTCAACAGTGGCATCTGAAATACAAGGATTAAGAACAGTTGAAATCAAAAAGGCAAGTTGAACTCAGAAGCTGTATAAAATGAGACTTGCAGTGGTACCTCGGTTCACGAATGCCTCAGTTCACGACCAAATTGGTTCACGAACAAAAATTTCAGAAAAATTTTGCCTCTGTTCACGAACTCCAAATCAGGTGATGCCCACGATTGCGGCCATGTTCCCACACGAACATGATTGCAATCACGGCCATCTTCCGTGCTCGCAGTCATAGACAGACCTGTGGTCACTTGCTGTGAAGCTTTTTTGTGTGCTTTTTAGCACATACAGTACTGTAAAGTATTATTCAATAATAATATTGAATAATTACTCCAAAGAAAGTGCAGAGCAAGCATGGTGGTAAAAAGAATGTGTAGAGCGGTAACGAAGGTGACCAGAACGTGCAGAGCAAGAACGGGAAGAAGGTTTCGAGGAAAATAACCATTGAATTGAAGAAGGAAATTGTAGAGAAGCGTCAGCGCGGTATTCGTTGGACTGATCTGGCCTCTGAGTACAAGATAGCAAAGTTGACAATCTCGACTATTTTAAAGAGTAAAGATGCAGGAAAAAAAACCAAGTGACTTTAGACGGTTTTTTTGCCAAAATTGACCCTGCTGCCAAGAGACAAAGAAGAGAGGAACCACCTGAAGGAGATCTCCCCAGTGTCCTTACAGAGGGGGACTCTCCCTCCAAACAATAACCTCCCCCCCCCCACCTAGGTTAGTGTTCTCTACTGTACTGCACTTTGTTACTTTGTTGTTCTTTCAAATTTTTGTGATTAAAAAATGTTTACAGAACGGATTAACCTTATTTACAGTGAACCTTATAGGCAAATTGGTTCACGACCATGTTCATAGGGGGCAGAATGAATTAACCTTATTTACATTGAACCTTATGGGGGAATTTGACTTGGTTCGTGACCAATTTGGGTCATGACCAGAATTGTGGAATGCATTAAGTTCGTGAACCTAGGTGCCACTATAATTGATTACTGGCTTCAACAAAAATAGCATTGTATTGTAAATGAATCAGGGGATTGTGTTTCTCTGCAGCAAAAAATGTGGATTTGGGGTTAAGTTCAGTTTTGTTAGTGATTTGAAAGAAATCCATGCTCATCTCACACGTTTTGGATTTGTATAGTGCAAATTCATATTACTTACTAGATAAAATACTGCTGCTTTTCCTGCACTGGTTCTCTTCCACAAGACTACTTGCACAACAGGAAAAGGTGGTTCCAAAAAAGACTCCAAAAATTAGCGTTGAATTTTATTTAAATAAAATTGTAAGAGAGGAATAGATCTGGTGAGTTGAAATTGATCCTCTTACCCTTAATCTGGGGTAAGTCATAGCAGAGTGCTCTCGGCAGAGAGGCCTGCCTGCATCACTTGGATTGGAGTGCTCCAAACAGTGGAGTTTGGTCTTCATTCAACTTTTTTTAAGGACAGTTGGTGGATAGGATGAGAATCAGTGGTCATTGATGTATAGACTAACCTCAATCTGTTTCACTTGCTTCATTTGATATTTGCTACTGTTCCATTTGTATGTGGAAAATTCTGTAATGCAAGTTAGCTTGCTTGCTTGCTTGTTGTATAATGTTCACATTTACTTTGTTTTTAATCGTCTGAAATCGCACTGCAATGCTATTTTAAGCAATACTAAGTAGAGAAAATAGCATTTATTAGTTCAGCTGTTGTTGTTTTTAACAACGCAGTCTAACAAAAGGACCTGTTTCACAATTTCATCTCAGATTCTGTGGAACAAAACTAGTTCTACGTAAATACCTAATTGAAGGTTGTTTCTGCAAAAATACACTAGAGGGAGCACAATTTTCTTTATACAGCTGTAGCACTAACTTTCATAAGGAAAATATATTAGTATTTCAGAAACCAACATGCAAACAAGTGAGCCTGTTTTGATTTACACATTAGTCCTTTCTTTTCTGCTGTTAATTGACTGTATTAGAAAGGATTAGGCCACTAGAAAGAAAGATCAGATTAATTCTAGCATATATCAGGACGAGCCAAAATCTGAGGGTTAAACACTACATTTGTGTCAGTACATCCATGGAAATTGCAGAAGCGCACATGTTTTGGGCTATGAGAGGCCTGCTCTGTAAATCAGGGTGAGCACTGTATGGCCTGCCTTGGCCTACAACTCCCATCATACCCCACCAGGTCTGATGGGAGTTGTAGGCCAAAACCTCTACAGGGCCATAAATTGCCCACCCCTAGAACAAATGGATTGGACTACTTTCTGTCATTGGATATGAAGAGCTGGGGGATTACTTCAAACATCATGATGGATGATGCCATCCTTCATCCATCCTGTTTAAATTTCAGTAACGTATATATAGCATCATTACTCAGCTTGGTGCTCTCCATATGGTTTGAACTTCAGTTTTCATCAGCCCCTGCCAGCACGGCCAATGGTCAGAATGCTGGAAATTGTAGTCTAAAATATGTGGAGCACCCCAAGCTGGGGAAGGTTGACATACAGTATCACATGTTTGTCTACAGTGGGCATTTGGAGTACAATCAGCATCTCATTTTGATATGTGAACTAGGTTTGCCATTAATTTGCTTTCAAGGGTGAGCTGAATAGCCCCGAACCTGTGCTTAAGGGTAACCAAACTTTTGGTTATTGCTTCCCTTCCTCCCTCCCAGAATGCACCGTGTGAGAATCTCACCTTTGGGTCCCTTTAGAGCAGATGTTTGGAACCACCACTCGGTTATCTCCCCAAGTTCATCAGTTACCATTTAAGGGACCCTCCCTCAGCTGCTGCAAATTGAGAAAAGAATACAATGGTTTTCCTTTTGTTGTTGTGTGCATTTTCTTAACAGGGCCCTTCAGACTCCTTGGGAGTTAGCATAGCTGGAGGAGTAGGAAGCCCTCTTGGAGATGTTCCCATTTTCATAGCTATGATGCATCCAAATGGAGTTGCAGCGCAAACTCAAAAATTGAGGGTAAGAAGAAGTTTCAAAACTTGCCAATATGTTCTAGTTTCAAGGAATTTATGTACAGAGATCAGGTAGTGTTGTTTTAGATTCAAACTAATCATGTAAGAAAATGCCCTTTTAGCATTAGTAAGTGAATCTTCATCCTGTTTTGTTTGTTTATGTGTAATATTTGTAGACTTGCTTTCCTGGGCTCAGGGTGGTTTACAAATATATCTAGGTGGCAATCTAGCAAATACTCTGGAAAGTTCAAGTGAGGATTACCAGAATCAAAATGGCTTTCTCAATTCACTGCACAGCCATTGCCAGTGTTTTATAGCGCCCTTCTGGTCTTGCAGATATGCAGTTCCAGGATGGAGAACATGGTTCCCATCTTGGAAGGATGTTCTCCTATCAGGTGAGGGTTAGGAAATAAAAACTTTCCAGTTGATGGATCAGAGACCTAAGACATTGTCAGGGTAGGGTGAAAATTCAAAGCAGGGATGACCTAGCTATGTAAACCTCTGCTCAAATTGTGTATGCAGGATATTTATTTATTTACTAGGTTTATATCCTGTATTTCGTTATATTTTTTTTAAGAACTCAAAGCAGCTTCCATCCTCCCCCTCCTCCTGCTCTCAGTCTTATCCCCACAACAGCCCTGCAAGGTAGATTGGGCTGAGAGTATGGGACTGGCCCAGTTGGCTCCATGGCCAAGCAGGGACTAGAACCCAGCCCCATGCTCTTAACCCCTACAACACACTGGCTCTCTAAAGACTCAGCCCAGCAGTCTCTGGCAGTCTCTCCACTTTGCTTCTGCTCAGCTGCTATCCCATGACTGCTGCAGCATTATTAGGCTGCTGTGATAGCATCTCAACAAACTGCGACTTGTTAGCAGAATTAAAGGTCCCTTGGAATGGATTCACTTTGCCCCCAGGCAGCTATTTCTTACAATGCAAAATGTAAGACTGGCTTCTTCCTGTGGTCTGATCCTGTCAGTGTAACTGCATACGTTAAACTCTTAGTGAGGGACCTCTGTACATCACCCTCTTTGTCCACTTAGATAAATATTCACCTTTTTTGCTATTTCAAGCTGGAGAATGCCTGAAATACTCACTTGCCCCTTGCCTTTTTCCAAGTTTCCAGTGCAAAGAGACCTTCAGCTTCCATCACACACCCATCAAAGAAGCAGCTTTTACTGAAGGGCAGGAAAAAAACAGCTAATTAGAAGGTTCCCATTTGTTTTTCTAGTTGGGAATGAGACCAGCCACATCAGATATAACAAGAAATGATCCATTTGCCAGCACCTTAATTTTAATGGTAGAGAGACAGCAAGCCCTTTCTTTAGTTAAAATAATTTAGCCATTTCTTGGTGCATCAGAAAGTGGAGCTGTATTCATTTGCATCTGCTACAGAAGTGGTCTCAAACCGGCTTTCTTCTGTTGGGAAGAAAGGTTGTTAAGTCTCAACTAGTTAAAATCAGTCATCTTACCAAATACACTTCAAAGTATTCAGTATCATCAATGTCTGATTCCCCTTTCCCTCTGTCTCTCCCTTTTATATTCTAGGTTGGGGATAGGATTGTTAGCATATGCGGAACATCTACTGAAGGCATGACTCATTCCCAGGCTGTCAGTTTACTGAAAAATGCTTTGGGCACTGTTGAAATACAGGTAAGTTAAAAGTTGCCCGCAGTGCAGATTAGAAAGTAGATTCAATCTTTGTTTTCAAAGGTGGACAAAGAAATCAGCAATTATAGCTTGTAAGGGTTTGGTGAGAAGTTAACTTTCTTAAGAGATCAAGAAAAGATACTATAGACTCTTTGCATGCTTCTTCATGTGATGATCTCTAATCTTTTCATTTCTGTCTAAAACGAACCTGCAGGTCGTAGCTGGTGGAGATGTCAGTGTCATAACCAGCCAACAGCAGGACCCCCCAACTTCAAGTTTGTCTTTTGCAGGACTAACATCGAGCAGCATCTTTCAGGATGAATTGGGGTATGTTTGTGTAAACAAGCTGGTACTAACCCATTCCTCTTTACATTTGAGGGTTGTTCCATCCTCAGTAAGAGCAGTCGTTTAACACTGGTAAGGTTTCTGGGGTACAGGTTCAAAACCCATTTCAAGTTTGAGTCTTGGGATGCTATAGCTATTCAGCAACTCTTCAACACATTAGATTTGGGGCAGCACAGAGAGACATGATTGGACTCGGAGTTTACAAGCCACATATGAACTCTTAGTCACATTTCTGCAGATTCTGCTTGGATGTCCTTAGTTACAGTAGATGCTTGCCTACAGCCACCATAATTCCAGGATGCCCCACCGACTTTAAAATTGTGAAAGTATGAGATTCAGTAAAATGATTGCAGGAAGGAGGAGGCTGCTTCACATGCCATCCTTTGTACGGATGTGACAAGAACGTGCCATTTAATGTGGCAATGAGGCCTTGAAAAGGTTTGCCACAGAAAGGTAGTGGAATCTGAAAGAAATACTGAACTTAACATATCTAGCTGTATAAAAGCTAAGTTTAAAGTAAGTTTTACCAACTTACGCATTGATATAATAATCTAAGGCATTTTTAGAAGTACCTCTGCCAAATGAAGCAAGACAGTAGCTACAAGAATGGGACTTTTTAGTGGTGGCACCCTATTTGTGGAAGGTTCTTCTCAGAATTTTGCCTGGCACCGACAACTATGAGCTTTCCAGCACAAGGTGTAATTCTTCCAGGAATTTTAGGAGCTGTTTTTAATTTTCTTAGCTAGCATTATATTATGTTTTTTACAGCTAGTTTGTATTGTTCTATTTTTTTATTCTGTGCTTCTGATTTTATCTTGGGGTTATTCTGTGCTATTTTTATTTTTTGTTCCAAATTGTCACTCTGTGTTTTAATGTATTGCTCAGAGAACTAAGTTTAAAAAGGCATTAAATCAATAAATAAGATTTTCCTTTCTGGATCAGAGCCTGAAGTACTAAGCAGTGACTACCCAAATGCTAGCAGTTTAAAGCTGTTTAAAGCTAGCAGTGTGCATATAAATTATATTACTCTTGAATAATTAACATTTGAAGTGACTATGGCTGGACTTCAAGCATCAAAGAACAGTTTTTTCCTTGTATTTCAGACCTCCACAGTATAAAACTATCACTCTAGATCGAGGACCTGATGGCTTAGGCTTCAGTATTGTGGGTGGATATGGAAGTCCTCATGGAGATCTTCCCATTTATGTTAAGACAGTATTCGCAAAAGTAAGTGCTGGCATCAGATGGCTCACAATATCTGACTTTCGCCTCTCAAGTACAGACATCTCCTTTGTATTTCATTTCTGTCCTCTCTCTGTCCCTTAAAAAGCACATGACCTAAATGATCAAGATACATTCACACCAGCTGATTCTCATGCAGTGTGTTCTCCTTTCTTATCTTGTACCCTGATATTACATGATATTACATGGCTCTGTTAATTCAGACTTACTCTTGTCTGTTTTTATAATTGCACCATTATCTGGTGCGCATCTCATTCCAGTCTCTCTCTACTCCTTCAATTCACCTGTTTGCCTTCTCTGAAACATCTTTCCAGTCTACTTTTTGTGTGATCCAAATCCATGTGCTGCCCTGTAGTGTTCCCACCACCACTTCATTTTGATACTTAATTATTTGGTTTCTCTTCAGGTTGTACACATTTTATTCCTGCAAGGAATGCAAGTTGGCTTGCATCGTCTTCATCTTCCTCCTCCATGCAACATGTCCATACAACTTCCCTGTTAGGCTGACAGTCACTGACTAGCCCAAAACCATTCTAGTCATTCCACGAGTAGGTACTAGAACCCATATTCCTTGGATTCCCAGTCCAACACTCTACCCACTACACTGCACAGGCTGTGGCTCATGTTTCTGTTAGTGGAAAGACAGACTGACACCATGAGACCCAAAGAATACATGTAGTCGCTTGAATGCCATGGCGAAAGGAGGCTTTGACAAATATTAACAAATGGTTTTTTAGAAAGAACACAGGTTGTGGGGCAGCACTGAATAAAGATCCATGCAAATTGTTTCAAATCAACGTGAAGAAAACAAAAATGGAAGAGTGAGTTAATACCTGCCCATTAATAATACCATCATATCAACTAGTGTATCAGCCAAGATATTGATGGTGGCATAGGTCTTGATTTGTGTCAGATCTGTTTCCAAGCAGGTATTAACCTGGGTAATCATTAAAGGAGAAATGCTATAAAAGTGGTTCATGCAACCATGATTTAAATGCAAGTGCAGCATTAGGGAGAAAATGTGTATCAATGACTTTTTATTTGGGTCACACAAAACAGGAAAATCAGGCCTTCATTCAGACTCTGATCTGGCCAAAGCATGCGTACTTTTAACAATGAGACTTTGGACCATTCTGAAACCCTCCAAAGAATGAACACAAGTGCAGAATGCTGTTTGTTTTTTGACTCTTAATTTCTAGTTTATTCTACAGACATAGATAATCAGTCCCAAATTTGCTCATGATCCCTTTGTTTTGTATTGAAAACACCCATGAATGGTTCTGCACTTAACATGTGCTGAACAAGCCACTGCCTGGTTATTTTTGTCATTGCAGGGTGCAGCAGCTGAAGATGGACGCTTGAAGAGAGGGGATCAGATCATTGCTGTCAATGGGCAGAGCTTGGAAGGGGTCACCCATGAAGAAGCTGTAGCTATTCTAAAAAGGACAAAAGGAACGGTCACGTTGACTGTTCTATCTTGAACCCGGTACCCAAAGAGGCCAGCATAAGTACTCTGTCCACATTCCACATAGACAAGAGAATAGAAATGTTTATGTAGCTCTCTTGTTGTTACAACTGCCAAGCTGTTTTACATCTTGGGTGAAAACAAGAAATGATCTTATTTTTATATACAGTAGAAATGTTGTCTTGCTGTCAGATTGCAGGGATTGGTTTCTGTAGTGTAGGACAGTGACAGGAGAACCGAGAGCAGCTGAGACAAACCCAGAGTAAAAAAGGGATGAAACAAAAGGTGAGCAGGGGTGGGGGGAATCTCAGAATGTGTTGGGAACAGGGTAACGTGCAACGTTTGCTAGCTGAGGGATTTCTGTTCCGATATTCTGAGAATGTGCAATCTTTTGCTTTGGCAAAATTAACTTTCCAGATGTCAGCTACCCAGTGTTAACTTACAAAGGAAATTTTCAAAAGGTGTGAATTGATCGGTCTGATTACATTTGGCTACTGTTGTTAATTACCATGGATCTAACAAAAGGCGAGCTCTTTTTTATAATATTACATAGGAAAACAACACTTTTAAGGAGCACCTGCTAGAGGCCTGCTGGGCATTTGTGAGAGCCGTAAAGCTGGATTGGGCTTCCTGTTCTTCCCTTTTATTAACTAGTAGCAAGGTTCCCATTATCAAAGGGGATAAATGTGAGAGTACTGCCCATGATTTTCAAAGATCTGAGGAATACAGTGGACCTCACCTCCCTTTCCTGTGCGTTCCCTGGCAGTAATGATTGGACTACCCAGGTACAGAGCAGGTTTTCCTCACTACAACAAACATCTTCCCCCTGCTAATAGAAGTTCAGGGGCTAATACTCTCTTTAGAAGGATCACGTATGCATAGTTCTAACAGTTACTGATCTTTAACCATGGCTTTAAAAAAAATTGAAAAATTCCAGAAAATGTTTGCAGATAAACCTTTTGGAGAGTTTGACTGCACTGTTTCTAGAAACCAAACTTAAAAGCAATGATTTTAAAGCACCTGATTGCATAAGTTTGGAATCAGACTTAAAATAGACAGCAGCCCTGTGTTAGGATGTATGTACAACAGCATACCAACATAGAGGTTTATGCAGCTGCAATAAACCAGGAGCTAAGCTGAGTTGCAGGACTCCAGATTAGACCCAGGGAACAAAGACCTTGCTCTTCGGTGGCATGTTTGTCATCAACCCCAAGCTTGCTGCCATGTATACCTATCTTTCAGAATGGCTCTACTCTTCGTGTAATTAATATCTTTTCACATGTGCTGGAAACCCAGTAAGCCACAGGAAGCTCCAGAGCAGTGCGGTTGTTTCAGAAAGCTCAGAGCTGTTCCGCTACTTTGCTGCAGCTAAGTACTCTACACAGGAGCAATAATGAAACCTGCCATGATCACTTCATTTCAGGTTCAGAGGTACATCATGTGAGATGAAAGAATAGTCCTGGAGAAATATGTGGCTTTAGCAAACTTTTTACGGCCCTGATGGCGCCTTATATTAAATGGGAGCGTCGTGGAAGGAGTCAACAAGGCCATAAGCTGATGCGAGCGCAACATCCATAGCTCTTGCTAGCGCAATGGGTTTCCCATTTCTGTATGTTAGTGCAGTGTCAGTGGCACCAACGCCATGACATTCCTGGATGCTTCCCTTGGTCCATATTGTCAACCCCAACTATGGCCTTGAGGCCCACCCCGTCTAGGATCCCTTAAGAGGCAATTTCAGAAAACGTTAACCTTCTGTTGGGACAGCTATCTGCTCAGCTTGGAGGTCCTCCATTACTGCACTTGATACCCAGCAGCAGTCATCTTGCTCACGTCTCCTTTCTCTTTGTGACACACAGTAACCCGAATGATGTGTTTGATGTGTGGTAGCAGGTCAGGTGGGTGCCTTAGAGGAAGGGGTTGTATGACATAGGGAAAGGGAATGTGTGTCCCTCCAGATGTTGTTGGGCTGCAACTTCTGTCAAGCCTCATATTTGGCTGCAATGGTCAGGACTGATGAGAGAGGCAGTCCAGCAGCACCTGGAGGGACCACCATTTTGCAACCTTGCATTAAATCATTCTTAGGTCCCTCCCAGTCCTGCGATTGGACGATTTCATCATCACAGCTTTCTTAAGAATCTGTGAATTTTGCAACAGGGCATATGTTTGCAAAATTCAGAAGTAATTTTAGAACGGAGTTCAAAATGAATAGAATTGCTGTCACTGGCTGCAAATAAAAGAAACCCAGAGAGTAGGTTTAGGCTGCATTTTCTGAGAATTAGGTTGGCTAAAGTCTGTCTGTGCCTGCTGTTTTTATGTGATATATACCTGAAGATAAAGCAAATAGTTGGTACATTCTTTCAGATCACTTTTCCACTTCTAGATTTATTTATATAAAAATAAGTGTTGCATAAAGGAGGTACTAACTTTCTCATAATTTGTCTGCTTTAGAAATATATGAGAGGGATGAGTAGCTTTTCCTCAGAATGAGAAAAAGATAAGAGACTTTCTTCAGATGTTCTTAGAGAGTTGGTAGTTCAGGGCAACTTAATGATACTAAGGAAGTTCTTGGTATCTTTACTTTTAGATGTTACTTGGACTTAGAGAGAAATCTCCCATGAAGTACAATAACTGGAAGAAATCAGTGTTGAATTGTCTTGTATACACTAACAGCTTAGACTGTGTTATGCTTACCTTACAGTATGTGCAACCACTTGAGATATTCTTTATATTTGTAGCAGATGTAGTGTACAGATATTTTATTACTGCCTTTGTGTCTAAATGCAGAATTAGTTTAATAAATGTGAAGCTGTCTGTGGTGAACAAATGAGATTTCCAATGTGCTAGTGATGGTGGAGCTGGTCTTTCCATCTTTCAGAGGGGTGTGATGTTATCCTGCTTTCCTCAGTTTTCCAAGGACTGAGTTGTAATACATGACCCAAATGAAAGCAACCATGGCTACAAGTACTTGTGTACTGAAGACAGCTAGATAAATTGCATATCTAGCATTTTAGCTTTCTAATCCTGATCAGGTAAAAGAACCGTGAGTGACTGAGACCCCAAATACCTAATGGGACATTTTGCCTTCATGATTACTGCATGAGTATTACATTCATTCTCATTACAGAGTATCCACACTGAAGGCAACAGAAGTTAAACCATGGTTTATTGGCAGCTCCATGAGGCCGCCATAATATTTGAAAGATGCTTACCTTTGTACCTGGGAGAGTAGCTGGCAAGAAGGCACTCCCAGAGGGAATGATCCACAGAAAGGGCAGTTTGCAAACATTGTCCACACGTACAAGTGACACTACACTGCACAGACTTTGTGGGGGAAGCACTCGACTAATTCCTGTGAGAAAATAAGGAAAGAAAGAAGAAAATGTGCTTCTTTCAAAGAAAGAACAGAAAGCCAAACTGCACCTGTCCTTTCATCTGAACAGTTATGCACAGACCAAACCAACAGGGTGCTTACGTGCCCAAATGGCAAATAATTCACAAATCTTCTGTTAAGCCAAAGATGCATTCAGTATCCTCAAACTATACCTTGAAATTGAGCAAGAGCTCATCTGCCTCACACCAGACCAACAGTGTGTCTTCCAGAGTATTAGTGATGCAAGACCTTTATTAATGCCCTAGTCCAAGGATCAAATTTGTTTTCTTCCTTTATTTCTGTCCAAATCCTGTTCATCCTCAGGGGAAAAACTGAGATAGGTTAGATGTATACCAGGAACTTCGATTTTACTTGGACAGGACTTTGGAATTAAGAAAATGGGATGCCTTACTCACGCCCTTGCAGTAAACTCTGGGAGTAAGGCTTCAAGTCCACTATTTCCTAGTGGTTGAGAGAATGCACTGTAGAGGTGCATAGGGTTTTGGAGCATTCACCTTCCGGGAATCGCAGCCCTTGAAGGAAGTTCTTCCACTGAAGAGGTTTGACGTCTGCTTAGACTTCTGTGTATGCCTTGGCAGAGCAGTATCAAGTTGCGAGACATGCTTCTGCATCAGCAGTGTTTGGGCACTGTGCAGCGGCGTGCCATTCTTGGAAGCTCACTCTGAAATGCTGCACCGCCCAATATCCTTAGGTGGAGCAGTTCTCCCATGCAACACAAGAAAAAGGAGCACTTTATACTGAATGTCAGTGTTTTGAATTCCGCTGAGGGCAATCCGCCCACCCCTGATTCCTGTCAGGCATGCAAGGAATAGCATGTGGATAGTCAGTGTAAAACATTTAAATTTATTGCTACTTCAGACTCTGCTGATGGGCTGGCAATTGGCTTCTGGGACTTCTGCTTAACCACAATTGCTTTTTACTGGTTAGTAGTCAGACATGCACTACCAGTGTAATTCTTTTGCCATTTTTCTACTGTGTTACTACTGGACTTCTTCCAGTCTCATTAGGGAGCTAGGATGCTTCCTTTTATTGGAAATATAAAATTCAGATGTGGACCCTGTCTGCAGGGTGCAAGAGGAGACAACATACCAAGCTGGAGAATGCTCTCCATGGGGCTCAGAGAACAGAAAGTTACTGTGCTAATTTCCATTGCATGACATGCCCGCTGACTTTTGGACACTTCTCAGCTTTTTTCCCCCCACCAGTGCAAAATATCTGAGTTGTTAGCAGGTTATTCAGTTCCTCTACCACTCAGTTAAAGAAGTTTGCTGTAGCACAGGGAATTCACATTTTCAGGGATACCTGGATAAGGTGATGCGTACAAATGTGTGATGATGAAGCTGTCTGCTCATATTTCCTTTGGAGGGAAATTTGTGAGTACAATAGATGCCAGCTCCCAGCAAGATCAGCACTGCTGGTAAGGCTTTCAGGCCACATTTGCTGTCCAAAAGCCATCAAATGGGGCCACCACCATTTCATCACCTACGAATGGGGCAGGCAAATTGCATGGGCCATTTTCAATCCAGCCCTAAATTTTGCACCACACAGCAGTCGATGCGCAGGGATTACGCAGTTCTTTTCCCTGAATTAGCCCAGGATTCTCTGGAGCCTTAAAAATCTGCTTGTATCTGACTGAGCAGTAATTAGCTTTTAAAATGCAGACAATTGTACATGAAATTCAGAGTGATACGATACAGCACAGCCAGCATAATGAGCCAATTTTGTCCTGCAGCAAAAAAGCATTTCTTTTCCCCAGAGTGTTCTCCAGAGATGCTTGTAATTTTTGACCTCTTTCAGAATAGGAGGAAGGGTTTTCCATCATAGAGTAGAATCCTTTCCACAAGCAAGATGAAAGATAAAGTTGTGTTCACTTTAAATTGGGATCATGCAATGCTTCATTACAGCAATACTTATTAACACTTATGTTTAACACTTATTAACTAGAAATTCAACTTATTAACTAAAGCAAACCTTGCTTTCAAACCAAGTACTGTGATCTGCATTCAAGAAGAATTACTGTTTACTTTGCAATTTTTTAAAATCCTTTTATTTATTGTTTGAACTCCAGAACAGGCAAAATTTTTACCTGGTGAGTTAGATGAAAGTAAATTATGATTTTGCTCAGCAGGCTTTACAGTGAAAGTTGCATGGATTATCATGTGTTGCATACATATGAAATAACACTTTTCCTAACTACAGCCGGAACTTGGCACTTTCAAGAAAGCCATTCAGATCTCATTTTCTCTCAACTGCACAAAAGAACCTGCAGCATGGTAGCATGTGAACTTAATGTTCCTCTTTCGGTATTGTTTTTCTTTGAGTCATCTCTCATTTCTGCCTTGATAATTTATGTACTGCTTCGAATGGAAGAAATTTAAGGTCCACGGAAGGTACCATCCAAGACTGCAGACCAAGGCACTCCGAGGCATTTGTCTTAAGCGAGTGCAAACACTGTTTAATTTGAACCTTCATCACTGCTGCTTAGAAGCTGCATTTGTTGTGCAGAGCATACAGCTCAAGTACACGCACCCCAAAGTAGCTACTGCCCTCAGATCATTTATACTACGATTACAATCCTATCACGTTTACTCAGAAGCAAGTTCCACTGAATTCAGTAGGACTTAATATTGCAGCCTTAAGAGGCATTTGAATTCTAGGAGGAGGACTATTTCTGCATGCATTTGTGAGTGTGAAACCAGTCTCTACCTTCTTGCAGCATCTGTGGTCGCATAGTAGACTGCAGCTACACTATTTCCATCATGCATGTGTACCAACCAAGAAGAGAAGCATGGTGCAGTTGGACCGTGTGAACCGATTCAAGGCAGTCCCGGGTAAGGATGGTCGCACAAGGCCTTTATTCCTTGAACTGGACTGAATGAACAGTGTTTGCTAAGGGCAGGTGTTCAGAAGCAGCTACGCCTGATTCAGGTGTGGAGGGGGCACAGTGTCTCAGCATTAGCCCCAGGTAATACAAGCTTCCCAATTGCAGAGAAGTGGCTTCCAAGCACATTCAAGTGAACACAGGTTAAGACTCCTTCAAAGCTTGGTGCTGCATGCACGGAGGTGTACAAGTAAAGCGGCGAGCTGTGTGGGGATGCTGGGGAGCTGTGTGGGGATGCTGGGGAGCTTGTGGGCATCCCAGAGCTTCTGCAGTGTCAGTCTTGCATTTTTAGCAAAGTGCCTGGAAAGAGTGATGTAGTAAATTAGAGATACTATCAAGCATCTCATTAGCAAACGAGGGGCCACTTGGAGATGTCAGGAAGCACCCAAGTGACTTTCATCTGGAAGAAGTGCCATTTCAGCTCATTCCTATCCAACCGAGAATGCATTTAATAGGGTAGATACACAGCAGCTTGTGCAAGTAGGAAATGGGACTGAATGGACGCTTCACTAAAGGCACCACTGAAGAATTCGGCCTGTGCTTTTCCTCCCACTGTACAACTGAGAGGTAGGCTTACCTGCCCCCTCCTCCTCCTGCTTGCTGCCATTTCTGAGCAGAAGCACCACTCTTGGCCTCCTAGCTGGTGACAGAAAAAGCAAGTCAGCTTTGCAAGCATTGTTCAGTAGTGAGACATGCTGGGAGATTAACCTGCCACTCTGTAAATGAACCTCAGGACAGAAGCCACCTTTGCCTTGATCCAATTGAGATGGACGTGTATTTTCTCATATGAACACTAGAGTGCAGTAAAGCACCAAATTCTTGCAGCCAGTAAAATGCACCCAGTAAAGTTAGGTGTTTCTTGCTTCGGCCTACAACTTTGGCTCAGAGACAAACCACAGAAAACATCAGTTGGCAGGGAGCCCTTTTGCTATTTCTGGATTCTTAAAGCCCAACTCTGCCACTGAACTAAGAAAACATTCTTAGATTTGACCAAACTTGCTGAGATCAGGCTTGGTTATGAACTTCAAGGGCTAAAAACGCTCACCTCAAAAACAAAGACAAATTCTTCTCTCTTCAAATGAAAAGCTGAGCTGGAGAAGAGCTCCCAAATTATCCTTATTGCCGAAACAGCCCCCTGTTCATAAAAATACACGGCCACTTGAAAGCCTGGCCTGGCAGTGGTGGGAGCAGCAGCTGCATGTGGGGAGAGGGCAGGGTGGGGTGGGCGACTTGTGCTCTGCTATCTTTGCATGAAGCTCTGCAGGGCCCTTTGAGAGAACGTCTTCCATGGCCTTCGATTCTTTTGCCCTTCCCACAACGAGGCATTCAGAAGAAAATGGGAAAATGCTGCAGCTTTTTGAGCACCTTTCATTTAGCCATTGATGGCATTGCTTTTTGCACAAATACATTCATGTTCACATCCAAATTCACTATTCCTGAAATGTGCAAATCCCCCAAATGTGCATTTTCATGTTAGTCTGGGGGGGAGGGGGCATCTACACATTCAGGGTTATGTAAAATTCTGCTACAACTAAATTTGTGTACAGTTACA